TTTAGATTTTGGACACTAACGTCCGATTTCTGATTTTGGACACCATTGCCCGATTTCCGATTTCGAACGATAGTGTCCGATTTTTCATTTCGGACATTAACGTCCTATTTCTTATTTTAGACACTAGATTCCGATTTTCAGATTATAGACACTAGCCTTCAATTTCAGATTCACGACTCTAGTGTCCGATTTTAGCTTTTGGACACTGGTGTCCGAGTTTTGATTTTGCAATGGATACTAGTGTCCGGTTATTTTCCACTACAATTGTATGAGGTTCCCAAAAAAAATTACATCTAGAATTTTAACTGCAAAGGTAGCATAAACTGCAATAACTTAATGGTAGGTGCAATCATTTGTTTTTAAATACAGCACATAATTGTTTCTATCACTCTGAAATAAGTTCATTACAAAATTTTTACCCTTATACCTTATGAATAAAAACATTTTTGCATAAAAAGTTGATAAACTTTTTGTATCCTTAAACTCGAAGAATAATTTACTGAATGATTACCACTCATTCATACAAAACATTAATATTTACATGATGATTTCCTGAACACGTATACGATTTCAAACGATTACACAGAATAAAAATATTTGTGTCTTAATGACATATTATATATTTCAAATTAAACATTCATTTTTTCTTCAACCCAGCATATTTCTCCCATCTATTGACACGCTGGCGCGGTACGAATCATAGAATTTCTAGACCTACAAAGGAAATCAGAGGGAATTGAGAAATGAGACACTTTTTGGAACTGAGACACTTTCCAGGGTGTATTGATCTTAGATCGTAAACTGTGGGTAAAAAAATTGCCAATTGGATGGATTTTCTGAGCGCAAACCGCCTTTGCGTGGACAGCGGTCGAAATTGTAGTGTGCAGCCTTCACTCTGTCTTATGACAAGAATATAACAGTGATGGCAAAGCAGGCCCAAAACGGCAAAGATCACCAGAAACCACAACAGACACTCAAGGAGTGAGCAAGTTGTATTAATTTTGCGTGTATAATGTTCATATGTCCAAAATATTTAGCGTTGTAAATCGACCATATGTTGTTTCCCATACTACCCCTTAAACAGATTTAAATTCTCAACGATTCCTCGCGTAATCTAACGCCGCATAACACAGCGCGAGACACTTTCATGAATAAATACATGCGTGTTGGAGAATTAGCTCCCTCTTCTCTCAATACGTGAGCTTGGGATGCCTGTGATTAAACACTTTGAATGTATGCGTCGATCAATTCAAAGCTTTCGGCAACAATCCTTGTCGGAACTTTCGAAGATTGGTTCGTTCAAATTCCTGCGCAAAAAAATTGCGTTCAAATGCCCCACCCAAGCACAAGTGCTTATTGAAAGAGGAAGCTAAGGAGATTACTCAAACCTACGAGCACAGAAAGTACGGGGCCTTTGATCAGCGACAGGAGCTGGTGGAAGGTCTGCAAATGGTCTAGACCCCCAGCAAACCTCTCCGCGACTCGTCGCAAATTTTCTCGCGGACGAAGAAACGTGCGTCCAGCAGTGCTAATAATAAGGGCTTGGCGACAAGCTTACACTGCCCTTCCTTCGTCAAAAACAAAATCGTAAATAATCAGTTAGAGATAGTTGCCTCAAAAATATTATTCAACATAAATTTGCGGTGGAAAGCAAACCAAAGCTCTTTTTTTCTATATCTAACCAAAGATATTTGCGGTCTCTGTTCTTCGAACCACTCGATACCCTAACAACATTTTTTTTTTTTTTTGTTTTAAAAAAAAAAATGACTTAAAATGTATAAAAACTAAGTTAATAAATGATGCTCACCACAGATTTATTCGGTTTTCTTTAGAGCAACTTTGCTCTGGCTCCCCAATTTCTCCTCTTTGCTTTTCTTGGTATCGTAATTTTTTACATCTACTTCTAATGCTGTTTGAGCATTTCTTCCGCTCTTCCAAGTTCTCGTCCATGACGAATTGCTTTATCGCTTCCACTATCAAATGAAGAAAACCAAACAATATAATTTCGTGTCTGGTTACAAGTGTTTTAAAAGGCCTGTTTGGGAATGTTTTGTCTGCCTAAAAAATGAAAGGAAGCTATGTTCTAAAAGATGAAAGCGTACATGAAAATGAAAGCAACCGTTTACAAATCCGTCCTTACAGAAAAATTGTAAAGGAACTTTATTTTATACAATTTACGCGTAAAGACTTGATGTAGTTTTTCACCAGCTATAACGCAGGGTATAATGCCACAATAAAATTACCAAAAAAAATTGAAAAAATATATCATTTTGAGAAGGTTATAGTAACGATAACGTTATTTTGAACGAAGCAAATAAGAATATGATTTGAAAATCCGATGTTTTGTCCGATGTTTTGCATAAGCTCCCTGACATGAAATTAGTAATTCATAGCTTTCCCTGTTATGATAATAACTTCTTGCTAACTGAGTGAGAGGGCCTGGGAGGAACTGGGGATTGATCGAGGCCGATATGTAGTCCTTCATAGAGTATGTAGTATGTCATTTGTATGTCCTATGTATGTCAGATGTATGTCATATTTAGTCCTTCATAGACAATTTTAGACTGGCAGACCTTTTCAGGAGAGAATCCAAGAGCATGACAGGGATATCCGACTCGAGAGGACCCAGACTTCCACCGTTACATGACAGCCCACAGTACAGGACTTCTCCCGCCTTTAATTTAGTAAAGTTTGAAATCGTTATGCCCATATCTACACACGCTGGTTCAAAGATGCAAGTAAGACCTTCAGCTTAATAACATCAACAAGGACAGAGGAATCGATAAAGAAACACAACAGCAGAGGAGGCGTGCGGCAGCGGACCGCAAAGGGAACCTGATCTGAAGATGCACCGATCATACCCGTGGAATTCCATCAGTCACGGCTGGGCACGACAGTTTATAGGTGACGCGTACTCATCGCTTGAAGAAGACTACCAGTATGAAGTTGACATTCTTTTCCAAAATAAGACACTGGTGTCCTTACACGGAGAATGGTTACTAGTGCTTATTATTGGATACTTTCGTCTGTTAATGGGAATTGGTATACCAAAAATTGACACTTTTGTGAGAAAATGGACTTTTGTTACCAAAACCGGACGCTTGTTTAAAAAACCCAGCATTACCGTTAGAAAATGGACATTTTGTAACGGTTGTCAATTCCTTCGAGGATGGTGACTCAAGTTTCTTGGGGGAAGAAGGTTTCTCTCGTCGTTCGTGTTCGTCGTTTAGAGGACTGGGCTTTCGTTGATCCTAGATTCACAGATAGCAAAATGGCCCCAGTAAGTTGTGTTTATCAGAGCAAGTGAGTAATTCAAGGTAAAGAAAATATCATGCTGCATTAACAATATATATACAGCTGGAGATTGTTTTGTGTTTTTTGTTTTTTTGAAAAGCATACTTAAAAAAAAGTCGCGTAGTTTTCAAAAAAGAGCATAATTTTGCGCATAATTTGGAAAAAATTTAAGTAATGCTAGTACCTTGGTATGCTTCCTTTTCGAACACAATTTATAGGGGCCTAGAATGCTGATTAAATGTTTGTCCATACTTTCAACAATCATGGATCGCTAGGTTTTGAAGCTGGAATTTCGGAAGCATTATCATTCAAATGAGCTTAATCCATCTTTCTCCACACAATTATGGATGATGATGATTATGTTTCATATGGTAATTATTAGCATTATACGGGCGTCCATTTGATGGCTTTTTGTTTGGTCACGAAATGAAAAACTTGTTATCTTGCCAAGCTGTATCTGTCTCTTAAGATACTTCCACGCTACTTTTAGAACCATTAAAATCATTTGTTAATATATCATGCCAGAGAATTTAAGACGCTTTCGACCGATTATAGACAGCTCCGTCATTATTCTGCCGTTTCGGTGTCATTTTGGCTCATTGCGCTTCTTATACCTGGAGCGGCCAGGGGCGGTGAGGGTTGCGATGGAGCGTAATTTTTGGCGCGGTTTGTTGGAATATTTATTCTAGCCTGTGGTATTGCTTTTCAAAAGCTATGCTTTTGCGGTTTCAACGCAATTTAGGTTCTCGTAATCGGCATAAAAAAAGGGTTTTCGGTAATGGTCATGTTAGGGACCTGTCGAGTTTAACATGTCACTGTTACGGTATAATTTAACCGACAGAAAAACACTACAATCCCACAAATTCAACGAATTTATTAAACAGCGAGTAATGTTCTTAACAATGAACGACTCCTAAAAGCAGTAAAATACTTATCGTTAATAAACTTAATTAAGCCCACCACAGTCTCTATCCTAGCTCACTACTAACACAATCTCACTGCTGTCTCCAAAGTTCCTTGGAGTGAACAATCTTCCGCAGTAACTCTCTCTCGGATAGCTTTAAAAACAGTCGTTGCTCCGACAACAACAACTACTTCTACTATTGCATAAGTGAGTCTTTAATGAATATTCTAAAAGTGTTCTGTAACATTCCAAAAGTTTATATAAGAACTATTTTAGTAGTAAGCGCGTGACTTGATGACATAATAAGCGCGTGACTTGATGACATAATAAGCGCGTGACTTGATGACATAATAAGCGCGTGACTTGATGACATAATAAGCGCGTGACTTGATAACATGTTCGGAAAGTTCTATGGTACGCAAGTCAGCATGACTCAGCAATCTGGAAATTTCTAGAAGCTTCTATTTACAACAATGACACCTAACATCACGCTATGTCGATCCTTTCGCTTTCAGAGTTTCTCAGTACTCGACTACAAAAGGCTCACATCTTACGCATAAAGGTAATATTTCTAATGGCAAAGTGAATCTTTATTTTGATTTATTTCCACGTTATTTTGCAGTTTTGTTTCTGTAATTGTTTGAGGTTTTGCAGCTTCGGGACCTCTCTTGCGCATGCTCGCCGCTCTTCAAGCTGGTCGGACAGCTGGTCGGACAGCTGGTCGGACAGCTGGTCGAAGTTAACGAGAGAGGCTTGGGGAAAATACAATTAATGCCTGACTGAATTTGACCAATCCTGGAACTCTGATCACAGGTTGTAATACTCGAACTTCAACATAGTTAGTTCATTTCACTGTATTTTTTCCAGCGTCTTTAACCATGATTTCCATTCCATCTGCAGGTGGATATGATAAGCTCGAATACAAGGAGCTTTCAGAAGGTGAATTTACCGAAGGTGCTAACATCAAAACGAGCGAAGACTTCACAGAAGACGATCTCGTTGTTGTGAAGACTTATGCAAGCGGTGTGAACTACGCCGATGTTTGCATTCGCTGGGGCGTATACGAGTCAGCTAAGAGATTTGTTGGATGGCCGATTACTCCTGGATTTGAGTTCAGCGGAGAAGTCGAAAGCAAAGGCAAAAATGTGACGAAGTTTGAAATTGGTCAAAAAGTATTCGGAGTGTCGCAATTTGGAGCCTACTCGAAGCGGGTCAGAGTACCTGAGCATCAGATATTTCCACTGCCGGAAAATCTCAACATGAACGAAGCAGCTGGCTTCATTACCGTGGGTTTGACAGCTTGGTATGGGTTATTTGAACTTTCAAGACCCAGGGGTGGAAGCTGGTTACTCGTTCACTCTGCCGCTGGAGGAGTGGGTAGTATGCTGGTTCAACTCGCAAAGATCCATGGTTGTCACGTGGTGGGCGTAGTTGGGGGAAGTCATAAGGTGAACATGGCCAAAGAATTAGGTAAGTTAAAATCCACTGCTGAAATAACATACTTTAGCACTTTTTTGCAAGAAATAAACTATAGAGTTTGAAACTAAGGGAAAATCTTTTTTTTTTTCATCCCCTGGGTGGGGAGGGAGGTAGAGGATTTTGGTTATGCAATAAGAAAATTTAACTGATCCCCTTATATTGCTCTGTAATATTCTTATGATTTCCCCTCATTGGCAGGCAATTTTTTTATAACTCACTTTTAGGCATCCAGTTGACAGCATAAAATCCCCCTGAAAACCATGCAATTCTCCCCAAAATCCTCTGACTCCTGGTAATTAAAGGTGATGGGCACCTTGTTCCTTGGAGCCTTGGGTTTGTATAGGTCCTGGAAAACCAAAAAAGTCCTGGAATTTTTATTGTGACATTCTCCACGAATGGAAAGTCTTGTATGAAAGTGTTTGAGCTTGTATAATCAGTGTCTTTTTCATTATGGATAGGTTGTGATCATGTGATAGACAAATCTAAAGAAAACATATGGGAAGCATCCAAGGTCTATGTTCCCAAAGGGTTCCAAGTTGTCTTTGATGCCAATGGAGTGGAGACTTTACAGGCGAGCTATAATCACTTGGCACCTGGTGGAAAATTAGTTGTTTATGGTATGTGCCTTTACTCGGTAAAGTAGTGTCTTCACAGAACATCAATCTCATTGTGAGAGGGTGTACTTCTCTTGCATCTTGGTCAATGCATTCATAAGGATTTGCATGTAGTACCTTCAAGATATTCAATTGCATATGAGGCATAGCAGCTTGTTAAAGAACTCTTTGACCAAGTGCTATGCTTAAATAGACCACTGCATTTATCTGGTTGCAGAGTTCATGTAGGTTTTTATTACAGCTTGGGAAAGAATTCTTCAAATAAGTGCTGCTCTGGGACTGCTCCACTAATATGCTTAAGCTGTGCTTATTAACTTTTTTGTCCCAAAAACGGCCCTTATTTGAGGGAGATACTTACTCAGGGATAATGCTTATGCAAGTAAATATGATATGTTATGGTCTTGGGTGAGACCCCTTAAATTTCCTAGTGCCTCTTCCATCCAAGAGTATTAGTGGGTATTGTCAAGATGTTAGACAAACTTGAAAAAATATTGGGGCGTGAATCTTGTGATGGACTAGCACCCTATCAAGGGAGGGGGGAAGAGGGCAATAATTTTTGTCACTTCTTGCCATGGAAAGTAGGTTAAGCTCTGTTTAGATGAACCACTTCACTTCATAGCTGACTTTGTGTTTATGCCTTTACAGGTTTTCATACAATGCTTCCCAAATCCAGTGATACTAGTTCTGGGAATATCAGTTTATGGCAGTGGATAAAAATAGCAGTCAGCCTCTGGAACACTCCTAAATTCGATCCTGTGCAGGTACAATTCATGGTCTGTTCTAACACTCTCATTTCAATTTATTATTGAAGATATTACTGCAATTTCAAGGGACTCTATAGAGTTACAGACTATTAGGATGAGACTAAAAATGAAGAGAGAGGTGAATTGATCAATGTTTGGACTGCCTGACTGGCTGATTGAATGACTAACTGAGTGAAGGACTGACTGATGGACTGACTGACAGACAGACACTTGAGTGACGGATTGAAAGACTGACAACCAGCTAACAGCTAACTGACTGACTGATAGACTTACTGACTCACAGATTAACTGACCAATTTACTGACTGACTGTCTGACTGACTGAAATACTGCAACTGACTGGTTCATTGACTGACTGACAGGCTGACTGAAACACTGACAATCGACAGACTGTCTGACACTTGACCGGCTTACTGATTGACAGACTAGCTGGCTGATTGACTCAGTTACTGGCAACTGGATGACTGACTGATTTGACTGACTGACTGACTGACTGACTGACAACCCACTGAATGTTTGGCTGGTATATTGGCAGACTGCTTAACAGACTAGCCAACAACTGACTGCTTGGTAGCCTATCTGACTTACCAACTGACTGAGAACTATCTGACTGACTTACTGGTTGGCATGCTCATTCACTTCCTGACCGATTGCATATTCTCTGATCTCATTAGATGACTGATGAAAATAAAAGTATCATGGCATTCAATCTGAGCTTTCTCTTTGATCGACGAGACATTTTGGAAGAGAGCATGACGCAACTTCTATACTGGGTAAAACAAGGCACCCTTAAAATCAGCAAAGTGACTCCATATCCTCTGAAACAAGTGGCCAAAGCACATAGTGATTTGGAGTCAGGGAAAACTATGGGCAAGCTTGTACTCACCATGGATGAATGATGACAAGAAAAACAGAACTGCATGAGAAGCTCCTGACAGTATTAACTCTTGTTAAAATAAAAATTGTAAGCACTCACGTAAGGGAACACAATTTTCACAGTAAGATGGAACAGATGATCCATGGCTAACTTTTTTGTCAGTAAAGATGACTGAATAAAATTGTGACACCAGCACAGAGGCCTGCGTTTGTTTGTTTATGATAATGATTTGTCACTCTTGGTTGTGGCGAGGGTTTGCGGTGAAGCGGTATTGCGTAATTTTTGGTAGGGGTTTTTCGGGAATTTTTATTTTAGCATGCAGCATTTTTTTTCGAAGGCTATGCTTTTGCGGCTTCAACACAATTTAGGTTCCCGTAATCGGCATTAAAAAGGGCTTTCGATAGCCATGTTAGAACTTGTTGTGTTTCACAGGAGGGTCGTGTCACGCCATCTTCGATCCTCTCGCTTTTGGTGTGGCTCAGTAGACGACTACAAAAGGCTCACACTTTGCGCATTCAGATAATATTTCTAGTGTCATACTGAAGCCTTGTTCTGTTTATTCCCACGCAATATTGCAGTTTTGTTTCGTTAATTGTTGTGGTTGAGCCGCGGTCTAGACTTCAGACTGGCGGAAATGAGAGAGAGAGAGGCTTGAGGCAAATACAAGTAACGCCTGACTGAATTTGACCAATACATCCTTGAACTCTGATCATAAGTTGGAATATTCTAGCTTCAAGAAAATTCGCTCCTTTCACTGTATTTTTTTCCAGCGTCTTTAACCATGATTTCCATCCCTTCTGCAGGTGGATATGATAAGCTCGAATACAAGGAGCTTTCAGAAGGTGAATTTACCGAAGGTGCTAACATCAGAATGAATGATAACATCACAGAAGACGATCTCGTTGTTGTGAAGACTTATGCAAGCGGTGTGAACTACGCCGATGTTTGCATTCGCTGGGGTGTATACGAGTCAGCAAAGAAATTTGTTGGATGGCCGATCACTCCTGGATTTGAATTTAGCGGAGAAATCGAAAGCAAAGGCAAAAATGTGACGAAGTTTAAAATCGGCCAAAAAGTATTCGGAGTGTCGCTATTTGGAGGGTACTCGAAGCGGGTTAGAGTACCTGAGCATCAAATATTTCCAATGCCGGAAAATCTTGACAAGAACGAAGCAGCTGGTTTCCTGACTGTGGCTTTGACAGCTTGGTATGGGTTATTTGAACTTGCAAGACCCAGGGGTGAAAGCTGGATACTCATTCACTCTGCCGCTGGAGGGGTGGGAAGTATGCTGGTTCAACTCGCAAAGATCCGTGGTTGTCACGTGGTGGGCGTAGTGGGCGGAAGTCATAAAGTGAACGTGGCCAAAGAATTAGGTTAGTTAACTCCACTGCTGAAGTAACATACTTCAGCACTTTTCTGCAAGAAATCAACTATAGAGTTTGAAACTTAGGGAACATCACTTTTTTTTATCCCCTGGGTGGGGAGGGAGGCAGAGGATTTTGGTTATGCAACAAGAAAATTTAACTGATCCCCCTATATGGCTCTGTAACAATCTTATGATCCCCTCTTACTGACAGTCAATTTTCTATATTCTTCCATAGTTCTCCTGTTGACAACAATGAATCCCACTTCTGTTCCCCCTGAAATCCATGTGATCCTCACTAAAATCCTCTGACCCCTGGCAATAATTAGTGACAGGTGCCTTACTCCTCAGGGTTTGTATGGGTCTTGGAAAACCAGGACAGTCTTGAAAAACCAGGACAGTCCTGGAATTTTATGCTGACATTTTCTAGGGCTTGAAAGTCTTCTATGAAATTGTAGGAAACTTGTATACTCAGTGTCTTTTTGTTATGGTTAGGTTGTGATCATGTGATTGACAAATCTAAAGAAAACATATGGGAAGCATCCAAGTACTATGTTCCCAAAGGGTTCCAAGTTGTCTTTGATGCTAATGGAGTGGAGACTTTACAGGAGAGCTACAATCACTTGGCACCTGGTGGAAAATTAGTTGTTTATGGTATGTGCCTTCTCTCAGTTAAGTGGTGTCTTCACACAACTTCAATCTCATTGGGATAGGGTACACTTCTCTCACATCTAACTTCATGAATTCAAAAGGGTTTACATTTAGTACCCTCAAGATTCCCAATTGCATATAGGGCATAGCAGCTTGTGAAAGAACTCTTTGACTAAGTGCTGCACTTTAATGGACCACTGCATTTATCTGAGGACAGAGTTTATTAACATTTTATTGCAGCTTGTGAGAGAATTCTTCAAATAAGAGCTGAACTGGGACTGCTGCACCATTATTCATAAGCTGTGCTTTTTAACTTTTTTGTCCCCAACACAGCCCTTATTTGAGGGGGATGCTTATTCAGGGGTAATGGTTAAGCAAGTAAATATGGTATGCTATGGCCTCAGGCAAGACCCCTTAAATTGCACTGTGCTTCTTTTCATATAGGAATATTAGTGGGTACTGTCAAGATTTTGGACAAACCTGGAAAAATTTTGGGGCATGAAACTTGTGATGGACTGGTGCCCTATCCACAGGGGTTTCAATACTTTTTGTCACCTCTTGTTGTGGAAAGTGGGATGAGCTCTGTTCAGATGAACCACTCCACTTCATTGCTGACTTAGCATTTATGCCTTTACAGGTTTTCATACAATGCTCCCCAAGTCTAGTGATACTGGAGCTGGGTACATCAGTTTATGGCAATGGATAAAAATAGGAATCAACCTCTGGTACACTCCTAAATTTGATCCTTTGAAGGTAAAATTCATGCACTCTGATATTCTCATTTCAATTTATTATTGAAAATATTACTGCAATTTCAAGGGACTCTGTGGAGTTACAGACTATTAGGATGAGACTAAAAATGTCAAGAGAGGCCAATTGATTGATGTTTGGACTGACTGACAAGCTGATTGACTGCCAGACTGACTGACTGACTGACTGACAGATAGACACTTGACTGACTGATAGAAAGACTGACAGACCAGCTAACAGCTAACTGACTGACTGATAGACAGACTGACTAACCCACAGATTAACTGAATGACTGACTTACAGACTGACTGAGTGACCAACTGACTTATGGACTTACTGACTGTTAGAGTGACTGACAGACAGACACTTGACTGACTGATTAAAAGACTGACAGACCAGCTGACTTACTGACTGAAAGACTGAAACTGACTGGCTGACTGACTGACTGACTCTCAGACTGACCAACTGACTGGCTCACATACTGACTGATAGACTGAAACTGACAGGCTGATTGACTGACTGATGGACACTGACTGACAACTGACAGACTGTCTGACACTTTACTGACTGATTGTTTGACAGGCTTGCTGAGTGGCTGGATTGACTGACTGACTCACTAACAACCCACTAAATATTTTGGCTGGTGGATTGGTAGACTGATTGACAGAGTGGCCAACAACTGACAGACTGTCTGACACTTTACTGACTGATTGATTGCCAGGCTGGCTGAGTGGTTGAATTGAATGACTGACTGATAACCCACTGAATATTTGGCTGGCAGTTAGCAGACTGATTGACAGGCTGGCCAACAACTGGCTGACTGCTTGGTGGCCTGGCTGACTTACTAACTGACTGAGAATTACTGATTGATACACTCATTCACTTCCTAACCAATTGCACATTCTCTAATCTCATTAGATGACTTCAGAAAATAAAAGTATCATGGCATTCAATCTGAGTTTTCTCTTTGATCGACGAGATATTTTGGAAGAAAGCATGGCACAACTTCTATACTGGGTAAAACAAGGCACCCTTAAAGTCAGCAAAGTGACTCCATATCCTCTGAAACAAGTGGCCAAAGCACATAGTGATTTGGAGTCAGGGAAAACCATTGGTAAGCTTGTACTCACCATGGATGAATGATAAGAAAAACAGAACTGAGGAGCTCCTGACAATAGACTCTTCTCAAAATAAAAATTGTAAGCAATTGTAAGGGAACACAATTTCCACAGAAAGATGGAACAGATGATCCAGGGCTAACTTATTTGTCAGTGAAGATGACTGAATAAGATTGTGATTCTAGTCCTTGTTAATATTTAGTTGTTAATGATAATGATGCTCACTCCTGGATGTGAAGGGGAACATTTTTAAGGTTGAAAAAACACCAATCCTGATGAAACATTTCAGGTCACTAAATTAGGGGGATACTTAGTGAGATGTATAAATTTTTGTGTCTTTGTTCTTTGAAATGTCTTACTTTTCAATTTTAAGCTCTTGTTTGGAATGAGAGGTTTGTTAGTTACGTTTATGCAAGACTTCACTATGTAACTGTCATGAAGATTTGCAGACAGTGTTATCTCTTATGAAGATTATCAGTAATCAAACATTCAATCAGTCAATTCTGAATTGTTGCTGTTTGTTTTTTTAATGTCTCCTGTTAGAAGATAAGTACATAGTGATATATAGATAGTAGATCTTTACATAACTTATAACTCAAGGAGAGAAAAATAAAATATTCTTGTTTACACTCATGATTTATTTGTGACAATAGAAGGGATGCTGTCCCTTATGACTTTTGAAGTAAACTCAACATAATGCTTCTTGTTTTTCACAAAGAATTACAAGAAACTTTGAGAGAAGAATGTAAAGCACCCTGTTAGAAGCCACTGAAGAATGATTTCTTCCATGCACCCTGCCATTACAGTTTAACTTACAATTCCCTGTCAATTCTAGGGTTGCATATATGTGTAAAGTGGAATTGACTGCAAATCCCACTGCATTTTATATTTATTTTGTACACCATTACTTCCATTTATATTATTGATTTTAACATGGAGGATAATGTTACTTTCCATGTCAACTAAAGATAAAGAGAATTTTCATATTTTTTAAGTTTTCTTTTTTTATTTTGGGTGCCATCTTTTAAACTTTTCATACCTATAGGGCAGGTGCCTATTTGAGGGTGGGCACTTTTAAGTGATTAAAATGAAATAAATACTGTATAAGAGAGAGTTTTAGTAAAAAAATAAATAAACGTATCAAACAAATTAGATGAAAAAAGTATGAGACTGTATAATCATATGATATTATTGCACTCTTTAGTACAGCTGCCCCGTTTTTCTAGCCCCTGTGGTCATTAAAAGCACACTGTACACTGATTACTTCTAGTAACTACTGAGTTACACTACTACAACTACTGTGGAATGCAAGGTATGAATGGAACTACTGTGGATGTAGTTGTATGCTGCAAATCTACAATATGATGAATTACCTTTGCTTAAATAATTAAATGTTTCTGGTTTGCATTTGAATTTTTGAGGCCTACTTTTAATTACCAACCCTTTAAATCCCATGAGTGACCAAGATGGAATTTCTCCTAAAAAATATAATTACAATATTAAGCACACAAGTGAGGAGAATAGAAATATCAATTGGGGGATTATTAGTTGATCCAATCACAAATTCTCAGAATTCATATTATAAGAATTGTATGGCTGTTAGTAGGGAGAATTACTAATGAGCAATGAAAAGGTCAAGACCTTCTCAATATATTAGATACATCAAAATAATAGACTATGTTTTCATTACTCAAAAATACTTCACTAAATAGGATGGACTATAAAGACCACTTTTCAATTCTTAATGCGCGATCCTCTTGGTTCCTAAATGTCTTAATATATACAGTTAATAACAACTGCAAAAAAATAAAATTCTATCCATTTTGCTTCAATAATGTAAGTCAATAAATAGATTAATAATAACCTTGGTTTACTGTAACAGTTAGACATCCAATCCAAGAAAGGATCTTTATAATTTTCTGAACATGTTGGCTTCACAGGCCATGAAAACAAATTTAGCTCAAGTTTGGTGTGTTTATAAGAATTTGTTGCATGTAGATTAAAAATCAAAAGGTTTTTTACCAAGGGACTCAAAGCACATTTCCACAAATTGAAAGAGGTTAAGAACCAAACTTTCACTGCCTGCCCCCTGCTGTTCTTGTCCAAAAACCTGTTAACTTTTCACATAAGTTATGACAAGGAAATACTTCTATTTGGTTCAGGGTCACCTCCCCTACCTCTCATGGTTAACAACCAATTTGTTGACAGCTTGACTTGATAACTGGTACCTCCTTAGGTAACTTGCCTCCTTATTTAAGTTAGCATGTTAGCAAAGTGACCTTGGTTCTAATTTTTTCTACTGAATCTTTTCAAGGACAACAGGAAAGTGCACAAAAGCACAGGTAGATTTTGCTGTTTGTGTATGCTATAAATAACACTTCACATCCATCTAAAAGCAAACTTAAGGTCATACTTATTTCCAAAATTCTACCACTACTCAGAGGCTGGTTCTAATAAGTAACATAGTCACTGAAATGCCATGAAAGCCATGAGAGCCCTCACAACCAAGCGAAAATCAGACATCAGAGTTGAAAACAGAGCTGACAAAACCTGAAAATATTTTTCTAATTCCACTTTTGAAGTCTTGGTTTATGATCTAGTAAAAACTTGCTGGTTTGAGTATCTAACATCAGAGGGGAAATCAACCGATGACAATGTGTGTTCTTGGGCTTAAAGTACTTGCAACTCTAGTAATCTATTTTGTCCAGACCATAATCAAAAAGAGTCAAAAGTGGTAGCACTATTTTGCTTCTGTTTCTGTCAGTTTGATTTTGACTTGATTGCATACCACCGTTTGTTGCTGATTACAACTCCAACCTTGTCATTACTTAAAAATTAACTATCTATAAACTCCATTTGTTCCTCATTATCATCATTGTCATTATCTATTTGAGTCAGTTCAGTGTATCCACCTGCCCAAATTTGTTTGTCACCAGAAGAAAAGATGCAGTAAAATATGGCACCAATGAAGTAGATAAGTCCCCCAAGATAGAACACTATCCTCCACTCTGATGCTTGTGACTATGACAAAAAAGAATATATTTATACACACACATATTACTACAGTGTAAAATTGACTGTTAAAGAAGCACAAGAAGAAATTGAAGATCTAAATCTTGGCTTTTCGAATTTTGGAGCACAGTCCTTGTATATATACCATTTCTTAAGGTTTCATAGACCACACTCAATTGTTAATCAACAGCATTCCAATTAAGTTGAACTATAAGATTATTTTAAGGAAAACATCCTCGATATTAATTCCATTGGTCAGTCCATAAGTGAAAACTTGAAGTTTGGGGAGGCACTCAGCCCCTCCCCCCAGTTTGGCAAAATATTCAGTCTTGTAATCTTTTCAAAATTGCTACATCAGAATCATGCTTAGCACAATCATATTTGGCAGGACTTTTTTCAATTGAACAGCTCTTTTTGAGTTCGAGAAGTGAACCTTAATTAAAAAATGGGTATGTACTTTTTGGATCAATATCAGTATCTGGGCAACTGCCGACTTACCCCTCTCGTAACCCAACAGTAACCTTAGCTTGTTGTCAATTGACTGTTGTTGAGTTAGGGAAGGGGTAGGTGGGCAGTTCAAATACTGATATTGATTCTACTTTTCTTATTATACACAATGAGTCCCTCTCACACTTAAAGCACTCCACCGCCACCTCTGCAGTCATTTGCATAAACGCAGTTGAAAGCAATGCACAGTAGAGACCTCCCTACATAAACTCAAGCATCCAGTTGTAAAAAGGGCAGATAATGCTATTCAACAGATGAATTGCCATTCAGGTGATAAGTGTTAAGAAAACATAATGCCCTATCCACAAGATAGACATTTATCCAGCAGATAGCATTATCCACTCCTCTAACAACTAGGTCCAGTACTTTCGTTTCACCTTCAATTTCTTTTTGGTTTCTACACTGGTATCATAAAGCAAAGAAAAACACGTCAAGTAAAATTCAAGCCAGCATACCTGATGCTGCACAATGGTTCCAGTCAACAAAGGGCTGATGATTCCTGGCAGCGTGGCCACTGTGTTGGTGATGCCCATCAAAATACCAGCAAAAGGTGGAGCAATGTCTAAGTGATTGACATAGAAGCCACTAAATGCAAATCCTCCTCCGCCTACAGCAAGTGTTAAGCAAATCACAGCGACCAACCAGTTGGCAGTGTAACCAGCAATGATGATACAGATACCTTGACAAACAAAACCTAAACAAGAAGAAATTAATTCAAAACTTTAGATACTACCACCAGTATCTACAGTATCTACTGTATACTCTGCATACTCTTTTCTTTACATTACCTTGTATACTTACTAAGGGGATTTGTTTAACAATCAAGAGCTTCTTTAGCTGCTGATCATATCCTTTATTCTCATGACCTTAATGTGTGATTCAGGGGTGATCTTGTAAGGAGAAATTAGGTGCTCATCACTCTTAGAGGTCAAAGGGTTGTTTGGAAAGGGAAATGGACTCTCGATTCAAAATATGTACTGGTACATTTAACACCTCAATTCTATATGTTGTACATCGTTGAAAGGCACCCAGGTACTGCTTACTTCAAATTTCAGCTGGAAGGTCAAAGGTGCGTGTGGGAGGAAGACACTTATAACAGCTGTCAATTCAATGTCAATTCTTCGTTTTATTCAATCTGATCCACTATGCTCAGCACACTGTTTCAATACAACACCATATGAGAAATCCTTACAAACAAGCAAGTGTCCTTGTCCATAACCTTGAAAATTGCTACAATACACGGAATGATTCCATAATGTTCTATTCCTTCAATGTGAGTCTAGTTAAACAATCCTCATCCAAAAAAAATAAAGGCAAAAATAACAAGCAATGAAAACACAAGTGCGCCAAGGTTTGACCAAGGGTCAAAGGACAAAACCTCGGTAAAGACTGGGCCTTTTAATTTGCACAGGAAACCTAATATTTACAACACTTACTGAGAAACTATTAAGTTAAACCTGTACTGATCCCGCTGTAGTTGAAGCTTAAAACGTTATAAAGAAAGTGACAAAGGAAACAAGTCTTCCTTGTATCCCTACTATTCAAGAAAGCAAGGGAGAAGGGGGGGAGGCACTTATCTGAGAGGGGTACCAGTACTTGTTTAATATTTTGACCTAGAGAATGGGAGTTTTCTTGTGGTTATACTCAGCTTGTATTCCCTGTAGGTTCTCATGTATAAGAGACAGAGACTAAAGATTCAAACTGAAAATAAGGTTACTGATGCTAACTTACCAAATGAATTAAACAGTTTCCGTACCACTGTTGTACTTAATATTTTTTTTCTTCTTAGGCAATCTGCGATCTGTCCACCTGTTTGAATTGTTATTGCCATGACAAGGTAGGGCAGAGCAGACACAAATCCTGCCTGTAAAAAAGTGTATAAAAAAAATGCTATTATGTGAAATTTATACCCTTTATTTCAATAGATGTGTTTGCTTATGTCACAATGTGCTCATATCTACCATCTGGGTAAAGGTAAAGAATCCGATCCCACTGACGCATTGGCTGACACACTACTGACACACTACTGACACACCACCGACACACTACCAACACATCAGCCGACACACTACCAACGCGTCGGCCGACACACTACCAACATGTTGGCTGACACACTACTGTACAATGTTTAGTCTTTGGTAGCTTTGTTTGATTGTTCTTTTGATCACAACTTATTATTCCTGGTCCTTTATACTTTTCTCCTTGTATTAATATACCTACCCTTCCAATTCCTCCTTTCACTTTTACTTCCCTTCGATTCAATAATTCATTTGTTCATAATCATTGTCTGTTAATTCTTGCATTTTCTATTTGGGATCAATGATGGGTACCTCATGTCCCCTAACCCAACAGAGCACTTACCCTGCTAAGGTCAAAGTCAAGTCTGTGTTTGAGAAAACTGGGCAGCTCTGTCAATAGAGTGTAGAATCCCCAATTCTCGCTGAAATGAGCCACAACTATCGCCCAAACAGGCAAGGAGGTAAATATGGCCTTCCAAGGAACTTTCACATCCTGTTAAAAGATAGCCAGTGGGATAAACATGCATTAAACTTAACTCCCATGAGAGCTAGATAAGTATGACTCATAAAATACCCATGCCAAATCCAATTACCTATTGGTAAAAGGGAAGTGCAGGATGCTGATCAGAATGTCCCTTCAAAATAAAATCACTCTGACCTGACTTTTTCGTCAGTCAGTGCAGTTCAATTTTTTTGTTTCTGGTTATTGGGCAACATTGCTGATTCCTGCAGAGCAAGAATCCTCAGTTACAAAAGGATCTAAACCCAGTAAGGAGAAATAAGAATCTAATTTCTCCTTACAATATCACCCCTGAATCACACACTAAGGTCATGAGAATAAAGGAAATGATCACCAACTGAAGAAGCTCTTGATTGTTGAACAAATTCTCCTTTCAGCACCTTAGGAAATGTGTAGAGAACAGTAAGGAGAATCTACATACTGATGTTGGGGTGTTAAGAGTTGGTGGCCTAGTTTACTTACAGGTTTACCCTTCTTCAGTCAGGTGGAGCATCCAACAACAAAGTCCCTTAATGTCTGAAGGTTATGTGGATCTTTTTGGCAGTTCTGACTTTTCTTGTTGACTCACATTTGAGACAAATTTAAAAGAACCTTTTGTGAAGAATTTGTTTGAGTGATTACCATGGTATGTTTCCTCTGAGGAGAAAAATTTTTTGGAGTGTTTTTTATACAAAACATTTGTCTTCAACTTATACCTTCTTCTGATCATCATTAGCAAGTGAAGTTTCAATGTATAATCTCTCTTCCTCTGAAATATTTGGATCTTCTGCTGGTGAATTCTTCACAACTAAAAACCAGACAATGGCCCACAAAATACCCATACAGCCTGTGGAGTAATTGATAATGAATAATTAATGATTATTAATGTATTTTTGATGACTTTTTCATAACTAATCCTGGCCTTTCACCAGCCAGAAGGATGAAGTGATCAGTTCACCACAAGTGTGGATTGCATATAATATGCAACCTAACAAAACTCAAACACCTTGCACCTCACCAAAAACCTTTATATTTAGAAACTGTTGCTGACAGTACTCTGATGACACCTTGTAAAAAGCACAGCTACTACCGCAGGTAATTATTTAAATTACTGATTTGTTCTGTATGTTATGGCTAAATGGTGCAATTCTTTCTCACAGCCAATGCATTGATTTTTTCAAGAACCTAGTGGAGACTTCGTAAAGACTACCACAAAGATTTTCATTTTGTCTAACACAGATTTTCATTCAATTTATTTTGCTTCACAAATCACAGTAAGGCAAAATAAAGACCATTCCAACAAAGCTACAATGCACTTGAAATGCTTGACTACACATGTACACCAGAATAAAAGAAAACTTACCAAAAACATAGAACACCGAAGCCCAGCCAAGATGTTGTGCTAAAACACCTGATAAAGGCATTGCAACAACTGTGCCAATGTGAGCTCCTGTATTGCAACAATAAAAATTATTCAATGGTGAATATTTTTCTTTCATAAGGAAAAATTTTAATATTTACTAATGACTGTCAGTGTTAATCATAAAATGAACTTGCAGGATGTGCTAATGGTTCACTTTAATATAAGATTCCATTGTGAGGTGGTAATTGTTATAATAACTATAATTATAATAATATTATTAATAATAAAAATGATAAAAACAATTATAGTAATAATAATGTTACAACAGTTTTTTTTTAATTATTAATAATAAAAAAAAATTACAATTTCCTAGATTGTGGTTAGTTTAAAAAACTCCTTTGTTCCACTAAATTCACTTGCTAAATCATTATCAGACAACTCAATAAGCCAACCACATTCAAAGTTATAGTTTAACTCAACAAATCACATTCTAAGTTGTAGTTTACATCAACCAATTGCAATCTTGGTTTCAATCACCGCGGAAACAGTGTACATTTACCATTCCTCTGTCAGTCTATTAATACAAATTTTCCCTTTTTTTAATTACCTTGACAATTCTTCTTTTCTTGGAAAATGTAATTTTTATGATTAATTGGTAGCAAGACTTTGCGCAGTTCAATACTGCCTGTAATCATAATGTTTATAAACAAATCCGACTCCCGCTGTGTGGTTGTACAATTTTGTTATCACTTGTGTGTTTACAGACTGAACTGGACTCCAGTCAGTTCTCTTATCATTACTAATTAAGGATAATAATAACAATTTTATTAGACATTTTAATGCTTTGATTCTGCATCAATAGAATAAAATTACTGATTCAAATCACTACTCAGTAATGTTAATAATTATTTATAATAATAACCCAATTACTTATTTAAAATAGAGTAATACTAACCATTATAATAATAAAAAATTTTAATCATATAAAATAATTTATAGCTAGAAATCAAATCCATGTTAAAACTACAATTAAAACTACACTTAAAAATTGTTTAAAAGCTAATAAATTCTAAAAGATTTCACAAGCAAATTACTCCCTCTGTTGCTTAAACATCAAAATCAGCATTTGTCGCATCACAAGGGCTTCTCCTTGTTACTCTGGAACCCTTCAAGCAGTAGGATTTTAAAAAAGCAAAACATGTTTGCTTTATAATAGTAACAATAATAATAAATATTAATAGTAATAATTAAAATTACTATTAACTGTTTTTTCAAGTTTTTACTTGGTCTGGTTCACAAATCACAAACCTGATACAGCTATTGTGGCAAGTTTGCTTCTCTCCAGTGGTGGAGCCCACTTTGTCCAGACAGCATGATTTGCAGGAAATACAACACCCTGTTATGAGAGAAGAAGATCATCATTCTCCATAACACAGAGCCAATATACCAAAAATTGTTGCACATAGCAATGCCTTAGTTACAAGCACTAATTAAAAGTAATTACTAGTAAAGAAATATTGTCTAATGGCTCACAAACCTCACACAGTCCAATCAGAACCCTTAACGCTACCAACAGCCCAACACTTGCCCTGGCTGCTACTGGAGTGAGCAGAGTCAAGACTGCAGTGGATAGGATTCCAAGACCAAATAAGTTTTTACCACCACATTTAAGAGCTAAAAATCCACCAGGGAGCTGGGTAATTATGTAGCCATAAAAGAATGAACTCAGCACAATTCCTATCAAAAAAAAAAAAAAAAAAAAAAAAAGACAACCAAAAAAAGGCTTAAAATCAGCACTTGAAAATATAACATTTTGCAAAGAAAAAAAATCATGAGAAGATGTTTCACAACCTTTGGTTTATTTACTACAGTCAACTCACTCATGGGGGTTGAAGAGTAAAAATCTTATTTTTACCTTGAGTTCCTGAGCTCCAACTAAATTCTGCTGGTTTCTGTTAAAAGGAAAAAAAAGTTTAATGATAGAAATAACAGTTACTTTGCGCAGTTAATTAACTTCAGTCTAAAATTTGTTTAAATTGAATGTTAACTATGCAGTCGTAATGCATTTAATGAGTATGTTTTCAGCTGAGTTATTTTCAAAATGGTAATATCACTGACAATAATAATTATTATAACAATGAAAAAGTATAAGAAACAGTAGCAGTCACATACATTACATATGTGGCTTTTCCTAAAAAGATGTACCTCGCTAAGTAATCTTTCTATAGTTTATAGAAGTTGATATGCACATGAGTGAAACAGATCTATGTAGCAAGTGGTGCTATAGAATGAGGACTATATTCATGCCCCTCAATAAGGGAAGCCTGAAAAACTGCAGGGGAGGGGGGGAGTGGGGTGGGGAATGCCTATGATAGACTTACAGGCTTTTTTCCCATCCAAAGAGGGCTAACAATGCTCCTTGTCACTTTCTGTGACAGAAACCAGCTTTTGCTGGATGGACATCTTGGTGGACTTTTGTGCCTGAAAGTTTTGGCCAAAAGACTTTGGGGAAATATGTTGTTCATTTTCAGGCTACCACCTCTGTTTGTAATAAAATTGAATTTAGGCATCTGTACCTTTACCATTTCGCCTTCTTCATTTAAGGTTGAAGTCTTTGTCACCATGGCAACCAGAGCCACGCTTAAGTTGACTCGCAAGGCATAGACATTTGCAAATCCAAGGAGAGCCAGTACAGATATAATGTAACGTTTTGAGAATGGAGAACAGTTACATTTAGTCTTTGAATTTTGACCAGAATTTTCTCTTTCTTCTGAGGTGAAGAGTTGATCATCATAAGTTGTTCTGTCTTTAAGGGCCATTTTTTCCTCACTTGTGTTAGCTGGTGAAGTCATGACAACCTTTTGATGCTGCAATAATGATACAATTGTTAGTAATTAACAATTATTAGTAATTATAGACTAACCAACTCTTGAGATTACAGATGAAAAAATCTCTGACCTCACGCCAACCCTTTCCTACCAACCAATTTGAAGTCTCTTGCATGGCAGGAAAATGTGCTCTATTACACCTTTGAATGGCACTGTAATTTTTGACAAATTTGTATAGTCAACTGCATGCAGGCGCTGCATGTTGAGTAAAAAAATTAGGATTTATTTCATGTGTTTTCAGATGTTGTAAAAATTGCCTGTCCTGAGTGGTGCTGTGACAATGGCAACTTAAGCAACCTCTGCAACTTCTAAAAGCACAAGTGATGCTAATCCTTAATTCCACGCAGAAACAAGCAATTACTTGTTTCTATCATAAAGGGTAAAAAAAAAATTTTATTATAAAGGTCCAAAATGCACGCAGTCATTCGCTTATGTAGTAAGCTATTTCTGTGATTTGTTTGCATCAATGAACTGAAAAAAGGGCAATCAGCTCAATTAAATTTTATTTTTGTACAACAACACCAATGCAATAAAACCAGCCCTACTGAAAACTTTTGCCATCAATGATATTATAATAGAGATGTTTTTAGGCAAAGTTAAGCCTGTTTGTAATGTTTTGTAAATTTTGGTAATTGCCCAACACAATAACAAAAATTAAGGAAAAATGTCCTCTGTCTTAGCCAATCAAAATTTAGTTATTTTGCCCTCAGTGTAATAAAGAGAGTAAAAACAATATAAATCAATACATGAAAAAGAAGAGACCCTTGGCTATAATGGGGTGACTTTGTTAATTTTTTTGTTTAAAGTGGTTGTCTTTGTGATCTGATTTCTTGACTTCTTTTTTTCTTAACAAAAGTCCTTAGTACTTGGAAAACCCAATTAACAAAAGACACTTGATGATGCACTTGGCAAGTAAATTTTGGTTCCTTGAGCATGTACACAATTAAGCAATTACTAGTGAGTAGTATATGCAATTTATGTCTCTGATGAGTCCAAGACTAAGTATAATAATACCTTTCAAAAAGGCATCTTTCTCCTGAAAATCAGCAGTTGACCCCTAAGAGTGATCAACATCTAATATCTCTTTACAATATCACCCCTGAATCACACATTAAGGTTAGGAGAAGGAAGGAAGTGATCACCAACTTAAGACTCTCTCAATTGTTAACCTTATTTCCCTTTTCAGCACCTTAGTAAATGTAAAGAGAAAAGTATGGAGATTATGCATATTAATGTAAGGGTGTCAAGGGTTAACAATGCTTGGTCTCTCAAAGTCTCAAGTCGAGAGAGAGGTATATTCAAATTACCCATTCAAGTTTTATTCCCAGGAAAAAGGTTCTTAGATCTGCAATACACCCAGAGACATATATATATATAGACACATAAGATCTGGAGACTGGTTGCCAGGCACAGAAATAAAATTAAAACCACCCACTGGCATATAAATTTGAACACGAGATTTGATCATTAGCAGACATAATATATTTCTCTCAAACTATTATTCGCATAGCCAAGGGGAAAGTAATTGAAAATCGTCTCAGAAAATCCCAAAAAATATTACAACTGTTGAAAAACAATGCAACAACTCAGCTCAACATTCAAATTCTAAGAATATAGGTTACAAGACCAACCAGATTATAAGAAAAAACCAACTACCGCAGTACACTTGTTTCGCAAGAGAGCAGATAATTTACATTTTAACTAATTTTCCGGATTGTATGCGCTTTTTCAAAAACAAAATAATTGCTTGAAGCGAAATGTCTGCACAGATATTGAGATGGAAATCTTTCTTTCGGTCTTAATAGCGCTAGTACTCTGGCTAAGCTCAACTCATTTTAAATATATATTTCTTGTTTACGAAGACACAGAAAATATAAAAAGTACATACAGTAGGGCATAGAGCGAAATCAGCTGTTACGTAGGAGATCAGTCGAAGAACAAAGATCGTAAATTTTTTTTCCATTCTGAACGAACTAAGCAACTTGAATAGCGAACCATTATGTCGATCCAGATAAAAAAAAACTGTGATATCTTACCAAGACAAAACGAATAAATACAAAAAGGACCACAACCAAGGCAAAATTGTTCGTTAAAGAATACAAATGAAAAGTATTATTTAAAAAGCCGCACAATTCTGTCAGACAGTACCTCTATTTGATCCTGATAAGCAGTCAAATCAAGAAACAGTATCTATCAGAAATTCTCGTCTCTTGAACAAAATGTTTTCTTCCGTAGCCGTATATCATTTCAGAGAAGATGAACTTCATTGGGAAAGACGGCGAATGGCTGACAACTAATTATTGTTTCTTGCATAAATGTGCAAGATTGGATTGATTGATTGGCGGAGACCGAATTTCATTACCAGTTCCCCACTGAGCACATCCTCTCTTTCATGGATTAGGAAGCTCTCGCGCACGTTTGATAAGACTGCCATAGAAATATACCTTTTTCAAATAAATTGACAAAAAATAAAACTTTAATTTGACCTAATCTATAGATCAGATTCATTTTTAAGAATTTTTATCTGCTTATTCTTCTTTGCTACCATCCGCTGTCAACTCATTGTCAGATAGCTTGTCACAGTCGGTTCCGTTGGCCCAGGGTTGTTTCTCGCCGGAGGCGAAAAGCAAGTAAAATGTTCCACCAATGAGATAGACTATTCCGTTTATGTAAAAAACCATTCTCCATTCTTCGGCACTCTGTTAGGAAAGAAAAGAAGGACGTCTCACAGACAGACAGACAAACTGACTTTCTGACTAATTGACAGACTGACCGGCTGACTGATTGAAGTACAGGCTGATTGACTGTCTAAACGAATGAATGAAAAAATGGATAAATGAATGAATGAACGAGGGACTAAACATTTGTCAGCCAAACTGACTGAGTGACTGACAGACAAGCTTATTGACTGATCATGATTGTCTGACAAACTTATTTGACTAACTGACCCCCTGACTTACTATGACTGAATCGATGACATGCCAACCAAATCTCTGCCTGACTGATTGACTGGCTAGCAAGCCGAACTTGGAATCAAACAAAAAGAACATAAATTGCGTGAAATTTTAATACAAACCAAACCTCGTGAAAAATTTGTCACTATAATTCCCATCCACGGATAGGATTATCAATTGTAAAATGAAAAACATTGATTTAACGTTATTAAAATCGTCGTAATGACACTTCACGCGTTCTTACATGATATTGCACGATAAATCCCGACAGGGTGGGACTGATAATTCCCGACACTGTAGCCGCCGTGTTGGTGACACCCATCAGTACACTGGCCAGTGCTGGTGCAATGTCCAGAGGATTCACCAAAAATCCTGACTCAGAAAAACCATTTAGGCCTATTCCTAGCGTCATCATCACTATAGCAGTTGTATGGTCTGCTTCTTTGACGTAACCAGCTGCTATTGGAAAAATTACCATTGGTAAAAATCCTAAAATAAGGAAAGAACAGGATTATCATGACAAAAAATTGAATACGGAATTCGTTTGATTTAATTATTTCATCCCCTTCCCTGGACCCAACCTTCCTCTGCCCGCCACGCCATGACCCTTGATGAAAAGACATATCCACTTTACAGTTCGATCAAACCTCAGCCAAACTTTAAACCCTATCGTCACTAATAAAGACCTATCACTTATTCCAGTCCTCACGCAGAACTAGCCTGTTGGTAAAGCGGCGCGAAATAAGAAACGGCGTGATGGTAGCGGCGGTGCGAAAAAACGAGGAAGGCCTGAGTCCAATAACGTAACTTCGACCCAAGCCACTCCTTCGTTTCAATTGTCGTTCAACAGCGCTTCGTCTCAATAACTTAAGACCTGGGACAGACAGACGCGGGACTGGCAAAGAGGAAAGCAACCGAAAGAAAACGCTTCAAAACTAAGCCAAGCCGAATCCCTTCCGATTTCCAAATCGGAGAAGATATGTTTTTCGGAGGTGCGCGCTTGCACAGATCAGAGGTGGGGGTTAGGGAGGAGCATCGAGGAGGAAGGGAAGAGGAAACTGTGGCGTAGAAGTAAATGCATCTGAGACAGATTTTCTTAAACCCACCAAAAATCTCTGATCTTCCACTCAAGTTTATGTGTGTGTGAAATACTTCAGGAAACTTCAGCTTTTTCATGTTGTTTTAGACAAGGGAATGATTTTCCTCAAGCAATACCATAACCTTCTTATACTTTACCTAACGTGTTAAAGATCTTTCTTACTGTTCCAGTGCTCAAGAAATGTCTCCGAAGGTAATCAGCAAGTCGTCCTCCAGATATTAAAACCAGTAGAACTAGAATGTATGGCAAAGCTGAGGCCACTGAGGTCTAAAACGTTAGAACAAATTATTTACTCAAGATACCTAACTCGTATCTTTCAGCAATCACTTCTTATCATTATCTAGGAAGAGTATGGAAACTGCAATTCAGTTTGAAGTGTTGGTTGTTAAAAAAGGGAGAAACTCGTGGAACCGATAAAAGTGCACCCCCTCCCCTTGAGGATACATCGAGTCGGGGAACGAACCACTGGCCTCTCAAGGTCTAAGTTTGGGGCCCAGCCTAGTCTCATACCTAGACCCTCCACGGCCGAGCAGTTACATTTCAGCTACATGGTAGGATCTGGGAACGAGATTAGTGCTCGCCATTATCACTAACGACGCTTAATTCTCACAATGCGTATCTCTACCCAGGTAAAAAACTGACAAAATGACGGAACATAACCTCACGCAATAGACTAGCAGTAGAGGGGTAGCAATGGGGAAGAGCAATCTTTTACCAGTCCCCTACTGGTACAAAGCTGCGATACGCTTCAACCGCATGGGTCCCTGTGCAAGAATGTGGACACCGTTTTTCAGTGTCAAATTAGTAGAGCAGTTTCACAATACCTTTTTAAGGTCTAAATGAAGTCTCTGGTTAAAATACAAAGGTAGTTCTGACATCATGGTGTAAAGACCCCAGGTCTGCGTAAAATGAGCTAACATAATGGCCCACAGTGGTAAAGAAGTAAATATTGACTTCCAAGGAATTGGAACGTCCTGTCAAAAGAGGCATAAGCGTGACCTATAAGATTAATCAACCAATGATACTAGACGGTTGCGGTTTTATGGGAGCTGCGGTTCTCTTAGAAAATTCCAAACGGTTATTATGAAAATTTTCGGATCAGTCTTTCAAAGATTTAAAACTTTTTGGGGAGGGTTGGATGCCTTTTTGTTGATTTTCATACCAAAACTACGAAAAAAAATATGCCAGTTGTACACGGTTGGCTAACTTTCAAATGGTACGACACTTAAGTGCACCCCAAGAAGCAACTTCAGGTTTGCCAATACTCGTAAGGGCTAAAACAGAAACTTCATTTTGAGGGTTCTAAGCCAGTTAATCAGGGCTCGTTTCATTTACCTTAGCATGTAAATCACTTCCCAGACTACTCTCTATATACTCTAACTCCTTGGCAGAAATACATGGCTGCTTCGACGGAGAATTCCTGACCAAAGCGAACCAGATGACAGCCCACAGCACACCACTGGTTCCTAAAGGAGGATAGCACATTTTAATAAGTTCCAAGTTTAATTAAGAGTCGTCCAAACTCTTTCCCGAATGCACAGGGAAGAAGAAAGGAAATGTGCTGAATTAAATGAACCTCCTTCTGGGAGTGCTTCTCACTTTTGATAAGGAAAAGTGAATAGGCCATTTTACAGATGTGTACTTAGTTGCCAAGCCTTTGATTTGGAGTGAGGCTGAAGGTGACCTTGTTGTGATAGCGACCAGTATCTAGTTAGCATGATAACAAAGTAATTTACATTTAAAAAGCAGCAACGTTTGAATCGTAACAAGGTCGCCTATAGCTTCACTCCTAATCAAAGGCTTGGCAAGCAAGCATGCAACCGTAAAATGGACTATTGGAGACGAGACTGGTTTTCAATTCATTCGATTTTATACATACCAAAGACGTAGAATATGGAAGACCAACCGATGTTGTAAGCGAGGTAGCCTGATAAATACATTGATATAATAATACCCAGTCTTGATCCTGACAAAACAGAATTTAAGAAGAATATGCTAGAATTTTTTCATCCATCATGCATGAAATATCTAATTTAGAAGGAAAATTAATCGAAAGCTTTTTAGACTAGTGAGACATTTTTAGAGTGTTTGGTAATTTAAATCAAATAATGTTTTAATTAATACTAACTGAAGCCCATTCATGGGCTACTGATAATAATTAATACGATAGACAGCCTCTAACAAACTTGGAAATGGGCTCGGTAAACCTAACTCGGAAGGGTACTTAAGTAATGGAGAAGAGGGAGGGCACTGGACCAGCTTTTAATTTGAAACAGGGACCCTATCATATGCCGATGTATTTAATTGTGATGATTAAATATGTTAAATTATGATAATTATGCCATATTAAAAGGCAGAAGTGTCATAATCATGATACCAGCGGGGTTGAATGTGGCTAATGTGCTCCTCTCTAATGGAGGAGCCCACTGGCTCCATAGCGCATGTCCAGCCGGATACACAAATCCCTGGGAATATACGAAAAACAAAAGTGTAAGACCACGAATAGGGGAGGTGTAACACTCTTTTAGTACCAATGGGATCAACTTGAAAATTAAAAAGGTAAAATAATATGCAAATGTATAGACTAAGAAACGGATTAAATTTCAATTTTACCTCTGCCATCCCTATTGCGACCCGTAAGGCAATTAGCACCCCCACATGCACACGCGCAGCAAGAGGTGTTAACATTGTCAAAGCCCCACTGGTTCCAACACTCAATCCGAGGATCGTGGCGCCGCCAAACTTTCGTGCTAAAACACCACCTGGAAGCTGGGTTACCATGTAGCCGTAGTAAAAAGCACTGAGAATTACCCCTGGAAATAATTGGAAGGGATTGATTATCATTTTGATTCAATAGTCCAGTAATAAGATAGAAAGGAACGAAGGAAATAAAGAACGATGGAACGATAAAACGATGGAACGATGGAACGATGGAACGATGGAACGATGGAACGATGGAACGATGGAACGATGGAACGATGGAACGATAAAACGATGGAACGATGGAACGATGGAACGATGGAACGATGGAACGATGGAACGATGAAACGATGGAACGATAGAACGATGGAACGATGGAACGATGGAACGATGGAACAATAGAACCATGGGACAGAAATACCTTGAACTTTTGTGGTCCATGAAAACTCTGCAGGCTCCTAAGGTTGTTAGAGAAACGAGGGAAACATCTTTGTGATTAACAAATGAAACGTGTTCTCTTCAGAATAAAGAATTAAATAACCTGAAGTTTCAGTAACCTCTCGCTTTGATATGGTGAGTTTTCAAAAAACAGTACCTGAACTTCCATACCGTGGTGTATAACCGTCTGATTTGCGACCATGACAGCAATAGCCATGCTAAGATTTACTCGCATAGCATAGATGTTCGCAAAACCCAGAAAGGTCATCGAGGCTACCATGTAACGCATTGGAGGAAAACATTTTGCGTTACCAGGACTTGAAGACTGTGTTTCTTTCTTGTCCTCAGTCATTTCACAGGTACCTGCTGTTTTTCTGTTTAACTGCCAAGCTTTTTGTGATTTATACAAAAACAATGGTGCTGATGTTTTTCTCTTTATTTCAGTCTGGCAAAGTTGATGCCTATATTTCAACGACTGGAACCTGAAAAAAAAGAAAACCAGTAATTGATGAGAGCTGTAAGGCGACAGAGGATATAAATAGAAATATATTATTTATATTATGTATTATATTATGAGGGGAATGTCATTCTCCCTGTGCAAAAACTTCTTTAACTAAAAAAGAAAGCGAGCAATCTTTTTAACGTACCAGTGAGACTAGACTTCTCTATTTTTTTTTTGTTTCGTCAGCACCACGAAAGGTGGAGGCTTCTCTTTGTGGTCAGCTTAGTATACGCTGCCGTTAGCATTCAGGTAGGGAAAGCCTTGAGCTGAAGTAGTTCTTGATCGGCTGTTGATGTTTTTAAATCCAGTTTACGTCATTTGCTCTCTGACTGGTCAAACAAAAGTGCTGTTTACAGCAACAGAAATTGTTTTTGTATTGTAAATTAAATTTAACTGGTTACTCGCATTTTTTACCGTATCTGTGAGTTTCGAAGTGGACAGGGAGGGAGGCAGAGAACGTAACATAATCACCCCACTCCCAAGGCACAGGTTTGAAATCTCTCGAGGCTTGATTTTATTTTATTTTTTTTCTTTTTCCATTTTTTCAGCCTTCTCAACTACAAATTCGATTTTGCAAAAAAAGTCTCCGGTTGGAGCAAAAGAGACGGGACGGATTGTCAGCTATAGTCAGGGCATCTTTTTTTTTTGAGGAGAGAAAAGAAGGCCTGGGTACGAGAACCGTCACGCATCAAGAGAGAAGTTGGCGTGACAGATCAACCAAGGAAATCGATACATCAAAGCACTAAGTGAATGTTATTGTTTTGGAAAAGTCGTTTACAAAGACAGGCCCATCAAATAAATTATAATTTAAATGAGAAGCTCGAAAGGCTGCCATCTTAAGGATGGATGTTGGATAATTTAGCGAGAGCTTTAGCCAAAGACAAAAAGCACATCACAATTGAAATTGACATTTACTCTAACCACTCGTCACCCGAGGATTTCACACTGAGCTTCTTTCAATAGCAACATAATTGTAAACGCTGAAACAGAATATAAATGCCTTTGTCACCAAAGCGACGGCGGATGTGTTCATTAATTACGGGGTCGCATCGTTGTTTATCAAAGCTTGAATCACCAACGAAGAAGACAGTCAACATCTCAATTCGTTCTTCTCAAAATGGACATGGAAACACAAGAAAACGCAGACTCTGAGGACTTTCGCAAGCGAATGGCAGTCCCAAGTGGCTTCAGAAACCTGCTCGAGGGCCTGACTGTGGAAATTTTGCGTTGCCGTCCGGAGAACATTTATAAATTTGCTGCGGATTATTTCCATAAAAAGTTGAAAGAACGCCAAGGTACTTTTGCTTAAAATACTATCTCTAAATTTCTCCTAAGATGCATGTTGATTCCCTTATTTGCCATATCGATACTGATACTTACGTTCAAGTTGCTACTTTGCTAGTTAAAATGGAATCAGATGTGAAAACTGCTTGGCAAGTGTGATCTGTTCAACACCGGCACTGTTACTCAAACATTCTCAAATGCCCTTTAAACGCGCGAGTCAACACTGTATCGACAGCGTGCTTCAAATCATCGTGAAATGATGAAGCGAAATCTTTACCACCTTGTGCGCAATTCAAGCAGTGTTTGGTAGTGTTAATTATTTTCAAAAAGCTATGAAACGTTTATTAGAGCATTTTCAAAACACCCCGCTGAGTCAACGATAGACCTCAGGCCGAAATTGTATACAAATTAGGAGCTACCAAAGATGGAGGGGGCTATAAATTTTACTACAAAGAATGAAGTTTAGAAATGGTATATTCGGTGTAATCCTCCACAAATGCAGCTTTTTCTTCTTGGAATGAATACATGTAAATATAGGAAAACCATACTATTTTTTATATTATCTAAAATTCTGTGCAATTAACTTCGCTCTTTTTCTTGATAGTCACGCAAAACATAATTTCTCTCAAAAAATTTAAACTCAAATTGCTATTTTTGATGATCAATGCTAAAAACTGCTGAAAAAACGCATTGGAAATTACAACCTACAGATCTACCGCTTTGCTAAAGCAATTAATTTTCCTATAATTCAAGCCAAGTGAATTATCTGGAAAAAAATTATAGTTTTTATTTTTTTCCCCTCGATGAATAAATTGCCTAGCTTAGACCTTATGCGTAAAATTATTAAAATATTCTCATTATTTTACTGCCATCATTATCTTATTTTTTATATTCTTAGCTGGCCCGCCTTGCTCCGAAAACTTTTATTAATCGTGATAAGATATTATCTGGAGGCGCCTTTTCAATGCGAGAGAGCAGAATGCTAATGAAAAAAACCCAGCTACTATGTACTTAATAACACCTGCACTATCTCTAGACACAATATGATTTTCTCAAGAATCTTAGGAAAAAAATTAAAAGTTTTGTTAAACTTAATCCGTTGACGGAAAAAAATCCTAAACTTTGGGAAGTGTGAAATCAAACCTAGACTCGAATTCAAATCGGTGATCAATTCTAATTAGCGACGATAAAATGTTTATTCATACTCGGTTTTTTTTTCTTTAAATATTTTAATTGCTGTTCACGAACTGACTCATAAAGAGAAAATAACATACGATATTTCCCTTAGCCTCTGACACTGGCCCTCTCTATCAGAAAAACATGTTTAAAACTAAGAAGGTAATCGAAGAAATGATCATTGTAGCATAAAGCCAATTCCTTCTTTATGCCATACCGCTTGAAGCAGATGCGTATGCCTCATTGAAAGGCCTTTTGTTGTGCAGCGCCAAAAGGCAATTTAGCAAATAAAGGAAATAACTTTTAAAGTTACAATGCCTGAAAAGCTGAAGGCATATTAGCCAGGACAGGAAATGAAAATTGCTCAAGGAAGCCGAAACAATTGCTTTACAATGTCCTTGATAGTTTGCATTATCGCATTTGTGTTTCTCTTCTTTTTATTTTTTGTCTTTTTTCCTTGATTTGGTTTTTCTTTGTTTATATATTTATTATTATTATTATTATCATTATTATTATTAATTTAACTTTCCTTCCATTTGCGCAGTCCTCCAATCACCAGATTTAGTGAAAGCTGCCCTAAACAATGGATAAAAAAGATAAATTTTGTTGTATTGTTCAAACTCATTTTGGCTCATACATTTAGTATTCTTCGATTTATGTGGTTTTGCAACTGTCTTGCTTTTCTTTCAGAAATGAAAAATTATTTTAGTGTCATGACCCGGTAATTTCATAAAAAAAAATGATGCGCAATAATTCTGCACCCTTTGCGGACCTCTGTTGACCCGTAAAATGTAACGCAAAGAAATTGTGCGATTACTATCAATGCAATTTTACCATAGCAACATGAATCTTCCGGACATACATTACGAACGTGTGCATAATTGTGGTGTATGTTTTTTTTTCCCGTTTGACACACAGAGAAAGGGTACGATGATTGTCTATTGGGATCACAGATAGACGGCTATTACAGGTATGAACCTTCTGGGGCCAGTAAAAGAGAACTTGATAAAGCAGCCACGAAAATACAGTCAACATTCCGGGGGCATAAGGTGAGACAAGAAGCAAAAGCCTTGACGGAGACTGGGAATGAGGGACATCGCCAAGAAGAAGAAACATCAGCAGCCGCTGCAGAAAATTTTGGCGGGAAAGAACACGAGGCTGCCTCTCGCATACAAGCTGGTTACCGTGGTTACAATGCTCGCCAGACATTAAAGGCGCGAAACCAGGCAGCGACAAAGATCCAAGCTGGATATCGTGGCTACACTGTTAGGAAAGATTTGGAAGGAGGCGGCATTTCGAGACCAAATCGCAAAGATAGCCCAGTTCCATGGCGTGGAGAAGAAGAAGCTGCGGCTCTGAAAATACAGTCAACTTTTCGAGGGCACCGAGCCAGGGAAGCAATCCGAAGTGAACGGAATATGAATACTAGTGAAAACGAAGGCAAAATTATGGCTGCAGAAAGCAGTAAGGAAAACGAGAGAAACCAAATGGAGAAGAGTTTTAATGCCGTCAAAGATGCAAAAATGGCGAGAGATGACGCTGCTACCACGATCCAATCAAACTATCGCGGCTACTACACTCGACAGCAGCTGAAGAACAAAAATACCGCTGCAATAACCATTCAAGCTCATTACAAAGGATATAGAGCACGAAAGATTCGGCGCACCAGATCTGAAGCTGCCGTCACGATCCAGAGCTACTACCGTGGTCACAGGACGAGAGAAAGTTTAAAAAAGCGAAGCTCCACCAAAACATACTTGGAAGTGTCGGTTAGTGACGAGTTCGCGTTGCACCGTGACAGCCGCACATCGTTCAGTCTTCCCGCAGGAGTGAAGTTCGAGGGGAACTTGGACGAAGACAGCGATGAGGAGATTGATAAAATGGTGGACAAACTAAAGGCGATACAGGAGTCCTCTAGTCCAGATCTTGCAGATGACAAAGCTGATAGTTAGATTATACATAGTGCGAATATATACAGCATGAATTGTTCAAAGCATAGGCTGTTTTGATAGTTACCCTCATTTTCACAGCTTCTTCGGATTTAAATAAATCTTGCGCGAGCAAACTTTGAAGAAAAAAATTAGAACAGTTTGCGGGTGAGTTGCTTTACTCCGCATTGTGATTGGTTCAAGAAAACCCGTGCCACTCCGTCAGCCACTCCGTCAGCCAATCAGATGCAAACTTAGTCGCACGCGTTTTCCCGCGCTTTGGACAGTTTGCTTGATTTACTTTGACTTTGGCTCTTAAAGGTATTTTCCTACCTTCTGCCACTGTGATTACTTAGGTTTCGGATTTACGACACACAATCCAAAAGCGCTCAAATGCTGGAATATTATATCTGACAATGAAGTGCTTTTCGTTTGAGAGTTAGAAAAAAAAAATAATGAAATCAAAACCGAGGTCATCACAACGGCCAGTAAAAAAAAGAGGGAAAGTGTCCATCAAAATTCAAAGAAATATAGGTCAGCGGTTCGAGCGCAGGGAAACACGAGGCAGGATTGGCCGCATCTGATTGGTTAAAAGGGAGACTAATCACAGAGTAAAGAACTCCGGATTCCTCTCGATATTCAATCGTAAATTGCTCTATGAGTCTTGGCACATTGCAATATCCTTAAGCGTCAAAATGGTTGTCAAAATGTTTCTGGTCAAAACTGCTCAATTTCTGAATTAATTATAACCATTGCGATTTCCTCAAATGTAATTGGTGCGTCAGCTGCTTTATATATCACTAATCACTCTGTACAGTTGTAATCGGACAGTTGGCTGTGATCGGACAGCCAATCACACTAAGTTCACTACGCTAAATCCACCAATCACAGAATTGATCACAATAACCATAGCAACAACCACTCACCCTGAAAAGCAAAACTGGGATATTTCCAAATTTTTTGCTTTAGACATTGTCCCTAATAGAGATGTTTATCCTAAATGTATTTTATTTTTCGGAAATTGTTGTGGCTATGATTAATGGTAACAGGATTTCATGTCGTCCAATTCTGTCTGTAATCATACGAGTGATTGACAAATCGTTCGATTTTGTCGATCACTCGTATGATTACAGACAGAATTGGACTCTACTCGGTCCTATTACCATTATATATTTAGAAGAATTAGGGATTTTGATAATAAATATCAATTTATATTACTCTTGCATATTAAAGTAAATTTCTTATTATCCTTGAACACACCACACACTCCATAATTCCAAATTTTCCCTTAGCCTTTGAATAAGAAACAACGGCGAAAAGAATGCGGGTCATAGTTTCCCTCGCGACTGTAAGAAACGCTTGATTCCACCCAGAGCCCAAGTTTGAACACGTCACGAAATGAGAGCGAGCGTGTTGCGTGACGGGATTAAAAATCGACTTCGCGAGAAGGTTCTCTAAGCGCCACGAATCTTAAAGAATGTCTTGTCTTCGTTACAACGGTTGGGAAGGAGCCCGTGGCCGGTTACAACGAACATTATTGTATATATAGCTTTGACTAGTATTTTTTTATCATGTGGCGAATAGTCATTTTCAAAAGAAACTAATTGACCTCATCCGCTTTTCATATACCGGAAATCCCACGCCATTGGTTAGAAAGAGCGAAACCAAATCCATGGTTTCCGCTGCAGAAGCTTAAGAATGACGCTGCAGTTTTCGACACTTCAGAGCAATCACGGTCGGTCTTTTATAAACCCCAAATCTAAGAGATTCTCCGGACAATACTGAAAATTATGGTAAGTCTGCACTAAATTTCTTTGTTTCTTTGGATCGAGTGCTCTTCTTGTTGGCGGTAAAATCGTGCGCCGCTAAGCTGGGGTTGCACGGAGGAATTACACAAGCATCACGTACAAATAGAAAGGGGAATTTTTGAGGGGGAGGGGAGCAAAGCCGCAACACCGCCAAAAAAAAATCGAAAAACACTGCACTGATAGCACAAAGTTGGCAACAACCCCGCGCTCACCGCAATATTCAGCACAGTACCCGTGATGTGATAAGTACATGTATTCAGACAAGAATCGAACTGAACAAAATCACACTTCGCACTTGCATGCATGGAGGTTATAGATACATAGACACGTAATGCTGATTGCCAGGTCCAATATATAGTTACTTACATCGTATGTTTCTGTACGTGTTATCAACCGTTGATTTCAAGTCTTCCACGTAAAACTGTAACAACAGAACTGAGAGGGCAGAGTTTATTGAACGTTGATAACGATGACCTGTGCGTGGTGTTCGATATCATAACAGTTCTTTATGCAAAGCTATGCAATGAAGCGCAAATATTTTTTATCGTTTATGGTATTTTATTGGTGCGTGTCTCATAGATTTAAGTTAAGTCGAACGACGTAATTCCTCTTTTAAACAGAAAAAGGAAGAAAGTCGTTTTTTTCAAATAGAACGTGATTTCAGATTTAATGGTTCATTGTTAGCTGCTATGCTCACTAGGTACCTATTCATCCATCAAATATTTTTTGCTCGCGAGCAACTGCTTTTAACACGTCACATGATGTAGTATACTCTCGCAATAAATGGGAACTATCACCGGATATTCCCCGTGTGGTAGAGCGTAGATGATAGAGCGTATTGCTTTTGTGTATTACTTGTGGAAGAAGAGAACAACTTTTTGTTCAGGCAATCGAATCAAAGAACGTCACTGAACTGGGTCAAATTCTGACCCAATAGAATGTTTTGACGTAATAATATTTGAGGAATGATAACACAATAACCTTTATGAGGCTTGGAAATTTGTCCATGAAGATTATCTGTTCCTCGAAATAAGCAATTTTCCGAGAGCAAAACATTAGGAAACCTGTTCAGCTCACGAAACAGATAATGTCCGCACGCAAAGAAATCCAATCACATTTTCGTGCTTGTAAATTATATGCTCGTACATTTGTCGGAGCATTTAATTTCCGAGAGCGAAACTTAAAGAAAACTGGCTGCCTCACGAAACAGATGATATCCGCGTGCAAAGAAGTCCAATCACATTTTCGTGCTAATTGAAGCTGTTCTCCACTCAATAATATTTTTTTGACCGCGGTACAACGTAAATAAAGGTGTACATTTCCGGTTTTTTACAGGCAATTTATGTCGTCCATCGCGTAACAAACCAAGGAATATGTTTCTAGCTCGCCTGATGGCATATATTTCGTGATGGCTGGTGTGAGGCGTTTATCTCATTTTTCATACATTGAAACGTATATTGTAAGGTGTTTCCACGTGTTAATGTTTCAGAGTCCAGTCCGATCTATATGTTAAACCGGCAGCCAGCCAGCTACGTCCCCTGGGAGAAGTAATCTAGACCCTTCTTTACATCAGATTGGCTGATATTTTCGATGCCACTCCTTGGTAACTGTCATGTGACTTCGATCATGTAATTTCACCAGTAACTTCTATTACGTAATTTTGTTAGTGCACGCGAGGTCGGTTTAAGAACCCAAGAGTGTTTGGTGCTTATTTTGGTCTCAGATACAGTGATTTCTAGGCCAAGCAACTTCAAATATGGTGAGTGTTCTGATAAAGCCGTTAATAACCAGATTTTTCATGGGTACCAACAAATCTGATCGAATTAGAGCTGGTAGTTGAACGACGCAATTTCTCTATTAGCGCCCAATTTTGCTTTCATTGCATAAGGGAATTCGTTCTGTTACCTAAAAAAACTGTTTCACTTTCTTGCGGTAAGCAAATCTTGTCGTCAGCAACAGTTTCTTTGAGAAAACTTTTCAGAAATGCATTAAAATATCGTGAAACGCACTCGTTATGCATACCAATTGAAATGCAGGTATCTTTCAGAAGGCTCATCTATGTCATTTGTTTTCCATATTTCGAATTTTGCATATGTAAACATAATTTCATATTGCGCTTTCTTACGTACGGAAGCTTGCTGGGTATTTAAATATCTCTGCTGTAATCTACAGTTAGTTACGAGACTGGAGGCACTCTAAAGTAAGCGTGGCGGATTTGAAGTTTTCAATGCAGAATGCGAACGGGTGGTCATAAATTGAAGCGTATGCAAATTCAGTCGTGTTTGTCACATACTGATATTAATATAACTTCTCTGTCAGAATTCCTGATCCAAATCTTTTCGCAACACAATGTAATGTTAACTACGTGAGTTTGTATCTAATATGAGGAATCCGATATATTTCGTAATAGCAATTGATTCCGGTAAGATTTTGCTGCAGGGTTTCATTGTTCGACGAGCTTATGCCTTGATGCCTCTGGCAGTCGAGTTTATTTACCAGATGATTTTGCCCATAAAAAAAAAAAATAGCACTGAAAGTCACTATTCGTCAGCCAAACTCGAACGCGTTTTCCTGCGTGACGCTGCAGTTTTTCAAATGCGCGCCAACCATCAAAATTCAGCGAGACTCTAGCTCCGTAAGTCGACGGTTCCTAAGACATAAGGCTGCTGCGGTGAATGTTTTCACATCCTTCGAGGTGGTCTTGTCGGTAGAGAATTTATCACATCCACGCAAAGGTTTTTCTGGGGTCCCTAGAACACTTACGCGAATGTACAATACTTGCACCTCAATTAAATTTCCCAGTTGACTTGCCTCGGGTATTGGGAGAAAAAAATCGGGCTTCACGGGGTTTATGGCCTTAAATTCCGTGACATGGCTTCGAAAATGTTCAACCTTAGAGATCTAGGTCATAAACTTTCGACTTCACGGGGTTTATTTTTTTTTTTTTTTTTTTTTTTTTTTTTTTTCAACCTTAGAGATCTAGGTCAAGAACTTTGACACCGTCTTCTTTTGGATAGCTTTACCCAGATTTTTTTTAACAAGAAACTTTCCCCAGCAAGAACTTAAAACAGCATCTAGATGAGAAAAACAGCATCTAGATGAGAAAAACAGCATCTAGATGAGAAAAACAGCATCTAGAGGAGAAAAACAGCATCTAGCTAAGAAAGACCGGGGGAATTGCTTGTTATGATGTAATAGTGCCATTTGCTAAGAGAAATTCTAAACCCAATATTGACAGTATATAGACAAGAAAGATTGCAGGAATGTCGATTCAATCATCACCGGACCTTGCTCAGCAGGGTGTATTGTGTGGTTTTATGTGGTTGGCATGCATGCGAGGTTGAAGTTCATTTTAACAAAGAACCTTTCTCATTTTCAAATCCACCCAGAATTGTTGAAGAGCGATAGAATTGACTCTGTATATTAAACTTTAAGGAAAATAAATAGGGTTAAGTCAGACGTTACTTCTAACCAGTGTAATATGCTTATTGAGGCTTATGAAGCTGTCTGCTGAATTACTGAGGTCATATTTTCATGACTGGATTGACTCTGATATGGTTGATATTTCAATAGAATTACTAGACTGGGGTTGCACATTTGCGGGATTTAGGAGGTTAGAAAATTGTGGTAAGAAGGGATTTTTAAAATGGGAAGATTCACAATTGGAATGTTCTCACCGTTGGGACCACATTCATTCAAAAGCGAATACAAATTGGGCCTCTAATTGGCCACCGAAAAGATTATAGTGATGAAGGGTTCTGAAAGGCCAGGAGCACATACCCAGCTCAAACATACTCAAATTCTTCCCCCACCCCCTCCACAGGTATATAGCACAGATTTTGCACCATTTTGTGTAACACAATCACATGCATCAAGCTAATTATATTTTGTTTCATTTTTAATAATTCAAATTTGTCTTCTCTATGCAGAATTCCCTAGCGTTTTTGATCACTCTCGTGTTTGGATTTGATATGACTTGTGGACAAAATGTGAAATGCAGTACTAAACTTCAGACACACATGGCGGTAAATGCTCTAAGCAGATTTGCTTTTTCATTGCTTTTGTTTGGTCCTCACTCAGCCATCTCTGTCTCCTTTGACGCTGTTTTTTTTGACATTTTTCATGAGGTTCTGCAAAGCTCTGACTGTTGCATGACATTCCCAAGAATCTCCGTTAATAAAAGTTAAAAACTAAGCACTTGCTATCCACTCATTTGTTTGAACTGTCACACAACATTTTCTCACTTTGCGTAAGGAGACTGAAAACACACGTTTTGAAGGAGACAAAGTGTCCTGAGGAAGGAAATGTTTTCAATTGGTTACTTTTCGAAATTATGAGATCTTAGTTTAAATTAATAAAACGATGAAAGAGGGACATTCGAAAATATTTGCAATAAATTAGCTATTATGTCTAAATGATCTTTTTTTCTCTTTTTTTTCAAGAAAGGTTCCTGGGGTGAGAATCCGGTTGTTCACACAGACTACAAGGGTAAGTGGATTTATGCCTGCAACATGACCTGCACAACAGAAAGTATTTAAAGTCACTTTCCTCTTTGAGTATTTCTCTCCTTGTGCGTATTTCTCTCCTTGCGTTCTCCTCTCCTTCACCTTGTGCTTGCTGCGTTTCCAATTGGATACATGTAACATGAGAATTTTCACCTTAAGATGGCAGAAATCTGGCATAGTTTACTTAGGCAAGGAATGAAAAAAACCTTTGCTTTTTTCTTGTAACCTAGCACTTTGTTGGTGTTTGAAATTCAACATCATACAAGCAAAAATGAACTTAAAACGAATGAGCTCTTCTGTGGCTGACGTCACAACCACGCAATGTTGTCAAATTTCATTTCCTTTGCAATGGAAGGTACTTCATGGGTTTGCTTTCTTCCTCAACAGGAACGACAGTTGTTGATCCGCCTTTACCATTTATGTCTCCCTTTGCTGCAACCACTGAACAGGAAATAAACAAACAAATAAACAGGGAGCTATTTGCCAGTTACACGTATTTATCAATGGTGAGCTTTTAAGACAGACCTTATAACTTGCTTTTTTTAATTGCAAATTAGATTCTTATTTTTGCATCTTATTTCGTAACCAGGCCATGCACTTTAATCGTGATGATATCAATCTGCCTGGGTTTCACAAATTCTTTAAGGAGGCCTCAGAAGAAGAACGCGAACATGCCATGAAGGTATTCCTGTTTCAACTCTTAATTAAACCATTTACACCTTAGCATCAGTATGTGTATTCTGAATTTTCCAAAGATACTGACCAGGAGAATTTAAGAAGCAATCAAGAACTTCTTAAATTGGTGATCATATCCTGTATTCTCATGATCTTAATGAATGATCCAGCTGTGTTTCTGAGAGGAGAAATTTGGTGCTGGTCACTCCCAGAGTTTTAACCCTTTCACTCCCATGAGTGATCAAGACAGAATTTCTCCTAATAGTTTCAATATAATATTAAGCAGACTAGTGACAAGAATAAAGAAAAATATCAGTTAGGGGATTGTTGGTTTGATCTAAGACTAAATTCCCTTAACTAACATCATGAGAGGGGTATGCCTGACAGTGAGGAGAATTAATCATGAGATCTTGGGAGTGAGAGGGTTAAGGGTTAAATTTATAGGATACTGATTTTAGTAAAAGTAAACAAAGGATTTCCATGCTTAGTTTTCCAGTAATGGCTGTTGCTTAATTGTTTCTTGCTTTGGTTTCAGTTGATGGAATACCAAAACAAACGTGGAGGCCGCGTCTTGCTTCATGGTATAATGGTAAGTTAAAAGACCTGGACCTACCCCTCATCTAACCTAACATTAACCCTAGCTTGTTATAATTTGGCTGTTGTTGGGTTTGGGGAGGGGTAGGTGGGCAGTTCATTGATCTAAGATGAGAGCATCCACACGGAGCCATAATGGCTGCTATTGATTAGTATTTAGTCACAGTGAGGAACATGACAGTGTAGTTGAATTTTTTTCTTGTTCTGCATGTTTTCTTGGCAGAAACCTTGTGAAACGACATGGGGAAACGGTCTGGAGGCCATGAAACATGCCCTGGTCTTAGAAAAAGACGTGTACCAGGCATTGCTTGATCTGCACAATACAGCTTCAAGGAATGAAGATCCACAGGTAGGCAGCATTCATTCAATAAGAGTGCTTTTCAATTGAGTGTCGCAAGCAATCACAACAGTCAATCAGAAGAAAGGGAAATACCTTCAAGAGCCAATGAGAACTCAAAGAAAAAATAACTAAAGCGCGGGTGACCAAGTAATAATTTTTTTTTATCAGTTTAGCATCTGATTGTTGAGAGAGTGGTGCAAATTTTCTGCACCAAACAGAGCAAGGTGAAGCAAAAACGGTACAATCACAAATTACTTTCAACTCTTAATTAAAAATTTGCTCTTATGTGTTTAGCACATCTGGGCATTCAAAAGAGCTGGTTTAATTTTCCTCCTCTTCCTACTCTCTCTGCCCTGAGTAACCTTTTTATTCCATTGCTTAACAGTTGCAAGACTTCTTAGAGTCTAATTACCTTGGTGAACAAGTGGACAGCATCAAGCAGCTCTCCGACTACATTAACACCCTTAGCCGTATGGAGGCAGCTGGACAATATGCTCTTGGCGAGTACCAGTTTGACAAGATCACCCTTGGGGGAGAGAAGAAAGATTAATTTTTTTTTTTTAATCAATGTATAACTTTACTTATGTGGACTTGGACTGATTTCTTGGTTTTTGATTGTTACTGAAATAAGTTTTTATTAAATGCACACAACTTCTGTGTGGTGCAATTTTTTTTTTTTGTAGTTTCAGTGGTTGGAGGTATTTCGATTACCAACCAAAGTAGAGTTAATGATTTTAAAGAAGTGTTCCATGGGAGGTTTTGACTTCTTCAGTTTTAAATGATGGCTTGGTGTGTCTAACATTTTGGTGAATCCTAGCTTGTGAGCTGACCTTTATTCGAAGCGCTTTGGCATGAGTGTTTCATCACCTACAGGAAACTAGGTATGAAGCCTTGAGCAACTCAACACGGCAAGAGGTCTGGATGGGGTGTAGCACTGATGAGTCCAAGACTCCTGGCAAACCTCTTCCCAGCTGGTCTCAAATCTTCCTGCGGACAGGGAAACGCATGTCCTGCAGCACTGATATTGAGGCTTGCTCGCAGATTAGGTGAATCCTCTTGGCAAGTGACCCTCAGAAATTTACCTTTGATTGTTCAATTTAGGTCTGGGAACAGTGTATCCTGAGATAGTTGAATGTTGATTGTATGCCACAAAATTGCAGAGAATTGTTGTGAGATCAGTTTTTTAACAAGATTGTTTTTCTGGCAATGTTTTGCAATTGAGATAATAAACGGTTTGTGACCAATGTTTCAGAATTTTATCTGTCATTTCTCAATCTTCTGCTCTTAGCCCTTTGACCCCTAATAGTGACCAGCATCTAATTTCTCATAACAATATCACCCCTGAATGAAACATGAGGGCTCAAGATTAAAGAAACCAATCATCAACTATAGGTTGTTGAATCAAAGATTGTGAAACAAATTCTCCTTGGAAGTCCTTCTTAGAACTGTAAGGAAAAGTATAGAGAACAGTATGGAGAAGATGTATGCTGATGTTTGGGTGTAGAGTTCACTTTTTCTTGTTACTTGACACTTTAATAGTGAAATTTAACTAGAAGCATACTTGCATTCACCTGGGCTTTCTGTTTGAAATAAACTGATTTTTGTGCTTGCTTTGTCAGTTTTTTATGCAATTACCGGTTTATCCTGTAACTGTTTTTCTCTTGGCATGCAATCCCCAAAGAGTCAGGTGACAATATAACACCGATGTCAGACCAAAAGAAAACACGATGAGAATGGTACTGTCAGATTTAAAACTGATAATAATTGACGAAGTCTCTGTGGTATCAAATACTTTGCTACTGCACATCCATCAATAACGTGAAGAAATATTGGTTTTTCTCTGCTGACTCCATTGCTTTATAGTATTTAATAATTAAATAAATAATTATTAATTGATATTTATTAATAATTAATTAGTTAATTAGTATTTTTTCCATGATTAATCTTTTTTTTTCTCTTACCTTTCTGTCGACTACTTTACATGAACATGTAGCTAACAGTATTCTGTATTGCCTTGGAGTACTATATTTCTCTTGTATTTTTCTAATGGCAAAACAAGTGAAGCCGTTCCATCTATGCTTTTAGTGAACCGAATAGGGTACATGTCTCTTTTATTATAGGCAGGAGGGATTTCATATATTTTTATCTTTTTGTGGGTTTAAAGATACAACTGATGCAGTATGAAGAAAACGATAGCGTTTCCTTTGGAAAGCTCGAGTAGCAAAATACAGGCAAAAATGATCTTGAAAGGACCGGCTCTTTCCCCCCGCCTTCTCCCAGCTCCGCTCCCCCCTGCTCCGCTCCCCCCTCAGCACCACCGAGGGCGTAAAAAAAGGGGATCAGTCGCCAAGTTTCCTGAGCCGGCTTTCTATTTCAGACGAAAGTCGCTCTTCAAGTGAAAGATAAGCACATATAATATATCACAAATAAAACGGATAGCCTGCCTATATAATTATCAGGATAGCGAACGGGAGTTAAAATTGTGGCGTAATCAAAGTTCAGTGCCTCGTGCGTAATTGTAGTCGATAAGAAAACATTTCGTCATGCTCTTATAATTAAACATTAAAGAAATATAACTACGAACTTTCGGAGCCATCTTGTCCCTTATCAAATGCAATTTACTTTATTGTTGGTTTTGTAGAGGAAACAAAACACACTGAACAAAGCAAAAATTTAAAACACTCGACTTTGCAATGGCAAGCTATTCTTCCTGACCACGTCATTGCGAAATGACTACCCCTTATGTTGAAATACGCAGTCCTTATGGGGCGATGTTTGTTTTTAAGCGGATTGCAGTGTTAGAGGTCAACCGGAAAACATCGGAAGAATACACGAATTCTTTTAGCCCTGTGCTTTGTCGTGTTCACGAATTTATTGACGGGAACGACACGCAATAAATTATTTCCCGAAAGGTAGGCATTGCGTGTTCAAATGTGACTATTTAGTCATCATAGAGGTCAGATTTGTGCCAATCGTAACCTTTTTCTATTTCAGAATACTCTGATATGTAAATAAAAAGAGTTGTTCAGTTCCTCCCTCTTCCTAAGGCAGTTCACGTTCTTCTGGCCGCCGATCTGTCCATCCTGTTCACTGATACTTTCTTCCCTTGACTGAAGGCGTTCCATTTCTATCGCGATGACGTTTACCTCCCTAGTCTCGATAAGTACTTCAAAGCATCTACTGATGAAAGTACGAAGCATGCGCAAAAGGTGAAACACTGTTTAAAACAATATCCGAAGAGCGAGAAAGCGCGTTTAATCAGATCTCTCAGGATGAAAATTATCTAAGGAGTTGGCGGAGCTTTCCTCCCTAAGCTAGGAATTGCCACGTCAGCCGCAAGAAAAATAACAAAAAGTAAAAGAAAACGGAGGCGAACTATCGGGAGTGGAAGCTGAATAATGGGACCTCGATTATTTATTCTTCGGGGTTTTTTTCGAATTATTCATTATACTTTTTTAAATTTTGTTTGGTATTCATTCTTCCCTATTCCTTGAACTTAAGCAAGATTTTTCCTTGTTAGAATCGATTTCGGTCTTAATTAACGATTATACATTTTATTAGAAGTATCAAACTGTCGCACCATACTACACGCTACTGCCACACCGTGCTACACAGGCGATATTTTTGTCAAACTAAGCTGATGTCGTATTTTTCGGTGCTATGGTTATTATTTTTACAATGTATCTTTCGCTTTAACGGCAACTAGTCTCTTCCGCAAGCAACTCCATCGTCGCACATACCTTTCCTGCTCCAGTTATTAGTGACAAACAGCCTGAATGATGTTTGGAAAAACCACAAAATAGGCAAAAGATAAAAATCATCTGCATGTAGCTTTTACATGATGAAGTGGGACTTTGTAGGTAAAAAAAATAAAAGACTTGTCTCTGTTAACAAGCATAATGCTTGTGTTTGTGTTCACTCGTTTAGAGCTTTTCCGACTGCCTCAAGCTGATACTAAAGTTAAAGGAAAACTGTTCATAACAAGATATCAAATAAATTTTCTCTTTCTGATATTATTGATGGAACTATGTAGCTCCAAATGCAATGTCAGTGGCTATTTTTGCAAACTTGAGGTCGAGCCTAAACTTGCAAGCACGTAGAAAGCAAAATCTGTCAAAAGACGACAAAAAATACAAAAAACTATGATGCCTATCTTGACAGGTAAAATGGGCCAAGTAACGCAATTCGAAGTAATGTAACAATCACGAGTAGGTTGCAAAATTAAATGAAGCATTTCGACAACAGCTCAAACCGTCAAAAGAACGTCAGAAAATATTTGTAGATATATTTTTTCTATTTTTCGCGGATTTTGTTGTAACTGAGACTTGCACTGGGAGGCATGTGCAGGCATGAGGCATCTGCTCGTATCTTATTGATAAACACTTTATGGACGCTGAAAGCCTTAATGTGTTCAGTGATAGGCATGTAAAACGATAAGTCGGAAGCATTTCGTGGTATGCAAAAATAACACATGTAATGGACAATTTTACGCGTTACATGCCGCAAAAAGGGAGCATAGAGTGATTTCAATTCCCGATTGGTAATGATGACGAACCATTTGCTCTTAAGAGCGGACCCTGGGAACGAGGTCGTTCAGTTGACTTAAGTCTCCCCTCCCTACCTGCCACCTTTGTTAAGAAACTATGATGTCTGAGTAAAGCAAAAAAAGGGATGTGCAGTGTGATCTTTGTGGTCAACAAAGAGTTTCGTGAAGTAATTAGGGCCATTTTCTAATTATTTCGTCACAGAAATTGCTCATTCATGCAAAAACAAATTACATCACGTCCTATTTTTCGTTCCCTCCATTACACAGCAGATTTGCTTTTCACGTGGCTTAATGACGACATACTTGAGAAAAATTAGCCAATCAGTGTTTGATACTATTGATATCTCATGTCATATGACTAAGGGAATATAAACTGCAATTCTCACGAGAATCGCCATCTTGGATTGTTTCGCTTCAACAGTGATTGAACGAGGCAGTTTACATTCGAGGATTTTACAACTTTTAACATCGTATTTTCCCGATCTTTACCACCACAACCATCAAAATGTCTCTGTGTCGTCAGAACTACCACGAGGAATGCGAGGCTGGCATCAACAAGCAAATCAACCTCGAGTTGTATGCAAGCTACGTGTACATGTCCATGGTTCGTACTCAATTAGTTCGCCACTTGTTTGTGACCCATCGTTCTATTTTCCATCGATGTAACAATTACCTTCTTGTTCTTTAGGCTTATCACTTCGATCGTGATGATGTAGCTTTGCCCGGATTCCACAAGTTCATGCTAAAACAGTCAGATGAGGAACGCGAACACGCCCAGAAGGTAAGCTTTAAGAGCAGCATTCATCTAGATTCTTCATCGCTTGGTGGTCTGATCATTCTCTCTCCGTTTAATTTCAGTTGATGGCTTATCAGAATATGCGGGGAGGACGTATTGTGTGGAAAGACATTAAGGTGAGTGTTCACTGACACGGTTTTCTGTAAGGGCATGCTCTTTGTACTACGAATTGTGCGCTAACAATCGAACCAAAATTTCTTTATACTGATATCCTTTTTATTTAAACGCAAGCGACTTCAGGAGTGCACAAATTTAGCCGATACTGCTTTTAAGTTTGTTCCTTTTGTGTGATAGACCTCACGCGGTGTTACGTAATAGGAACATCTTCTGATGGCATAGATCTTGTACCAGGCACAATCTAATGTTTGACAATATTCGGTCAAAAATCCTCCCAGCAGAGGTCAATGGAAAGATGCTTGTCTTTCGTTTCCATATCTTAAGTCACAAACTCAAGACAACTTGACCTAAACTTAACGCCTCCTGCGAAGAGAACTGTTGGCTTTCACACGCTTCTTCCTAAACAATAAACCACTGTGATGCGAAATCTTTCAAAAGAAATGTTACAGTATCAGGGCAACTGTCCTTTGAGACAAAAAAAAAAGTCATGTTTGGGCAAGGCTATTCGAACAGCCTTCAATCATTTCAAAATGCTAGTAATGCAAGTGTATTAAGGAGCACTTTACTTTGGTAAAAGTCTTGGAGAGTAGCAGCAATCTGGTTATCTACATGTTAAAGTTGGATTTACTGCAAAGTGATAGGATTCTTATCTTAATAAAAATTATTTCTGTTGTCTGTTTGGGATGAATATAGCCATGTTTTTGAAGACAATCCCTTGCACAGTTTTTCCTTCATGCTTAAGCTGAAATAGAACAGAACTGAATGTATTTTCTGATTACCCCTGTAGAAGCCAGAGAAATTTGAATGGGGAACCGGCTTAGAGGCAATGCAAGCAGCCCTGGATCTGGAGAAACATGTTAATGAATCCTTACTGGACTTGCACAAAGTGGCAGATAAGAATGGCGATCCTCAGGTAAGAACCAACCAGATCCCTTTTGTGGCTATGATCTACAGTCTTTTGATAGGGTTGTTAGCATATGAGGTATTGCAATATTATCACTTGTACTTGGAAGGGAAAGGTTAGTTATATAAGTATTGTGGTCAGCCAAGTTGTGCTACAGGTGTGGTGTTGTATTTGCTTGTGGCTGATGCAAAGCTCTTTTTTTTTTTCTTTTTTTTTTTGTGCATTGTACTGGTAAGCAAAAGCTCTTGTATCGTGACTTCTGTAAGCAATTTTGTAAATTTTCTCTACTAGGCATCTCTTGGGTGTTCCTCTCGAGGGTGCTTCTCTTGAACAAAGCGAACAGTTCTCCATCTTTTAGAAATGGGCAGGAAACTGTCCAATTCTTGTTCAACTCTGTAATCAGACTTGGTGTTATTAGTGAATTTTTTTTATATAGTTCATAAAATCCATTGCTTTAGTCGACAGACATCATTGAAGACCTCCTGGAAGAGCAGGTTCAATCCATCAAGGAGTTTTCTGATCACATAACAAACTTAAAACGTGTGGGACCCGGACTAGGAGAATTTCAATTTGACAAACTGACATTAGGCAGTCAATAAGTTCTTGTTTGCCTTAACCCTTCAACTCCCAAAAGCAATCAATGTCTAACTGCTTGCTGCAATATCCATTCATTCTCCAGCAAACAGATGATGAGAATACTCAAACATATAAGATAGAAGTTGTCCTGATCTAACACCAAATTCCTCTAACTAATTTAAAAGGAAATATGTAGTAGCTGGAGGGGAGAATTGACTATTAGATCTTGGGAGTTAAAGGGTTAAGCTTCAATCACACTAGGTCATTGTTAATTAAATTCGCAGCTCTAGGTCTCGTGCAATAGCCTTGTCATTTAGGGGTGTCTTTGTTAACTGCCAAGCAGAAACAATCCAAGATTTTTTTTGTGTGCATCCTCAAGTTGTGTAATTTCTTTTATCTTTTAATTGGATGATTACGTATTTAATTGTATTGGGTTAAATATTTAAATTAACTTATGACGATATATTTAATTTAATTTTTCTTGAAGGAGAGATGGAAGTATTTTATCTGAAAACTTTAAAACATGTATTTGTAATAGTCAGGATCTGTTTAGAAAAAATAAACTGGATTTGTCGAGGAATTTTTAGAGAGGTCTGATGTGAAGTTGTGCACTCTTTGCTTGCCTTTGTATTGCCTTGCTTAGCTTTGCTTTTCTTAGTGTAGCTGAGCACACAGTTATTTTGCAGTGTAACATTTTTGCTCTGACAGAACTAATTACCTCCTAAATGAGTTGGTATTGTAAAGGATTTCTGTAGAACTGTTTTAGTTGTCTAGTGATTATTGTTCAGTTTTCCTCTTGTGGTTTGGTCAACTTAACCTTGAAGTCTTTGTAACATGACAGTCCCTTGGCCCTTTGTTTCATTTCCTTAAATTTATACAGAAAGATAGAGAAGAACAAATCTATGTCTTGAAAGGAAATTAGGACAATGAGGCTGATAAGTTCCCCACATTGTAGCATTTATTGAAGGGCTTTTTTCAGTTCAATGGCTCATAGACCGCTGTTGTTATCTGTTATCTCCTGGATAGATGATGGACTTCCTTGAGGGTGAGTTCCTTAAGGAGCAAGTGGAATCCATCAAGCAGTTCTCTGACTTTGTCAAAAACTTGATTCGTGTTGGTCCAGGGCTGGGCGAGTACCAGTTCGATAAGCTAACCTTGGGTGATGATGACTAGAGGCTGTCAGCAACATTCCTCTCCAACCAGATGGGCTGTAGACGTTAAATTACTCAAACTGGATTTGCCTTTTCTGTTAACTTTTTTCCTTTATTTTTAATTTTTTTGCCTTTTTTGGCTTTTTTTTTTGTTTTGTTTTTGTTTTTGTTTTTTTTCTGTTGTTTTGCATTTTTTTTAGTTTTCTTGGTCAACATGTGCATGAAAACTCTTGTCAATGATCAAAGTTCTACCCACATGTTTGTTAAAGGTTGGACATTAAAGAGGAGTATAGTCTTATGTGTTTGTTAACTGTATTCCCTTTACAAGTTGCATACATTACATCCACAAGCAGAAATGTGTCCTTTTTAGAAAAGAAATTTGAAAAAAGGGAAACTTCAACTGGGCAATTTAACCCTTTGAATTTATTCAAACTAAGGGAACATGGATATGAAATAATATTTAACGAAAGGCAAAAGAACAGGTTTTCAAGACAAAAACCCATTAGCTCTTTCATCACAAAGACATGTTTGACCTGATTTCAAATGTCAACTCATACTTCAAGGGACAAGTTTGCTAATTTTTCCAAGTCAAGTAATACAATTTTCATGTTGATTTTTAAGAGTCCTCTCTGTCAAATAGTTGTGGTCACCACTGAGACCTAACTCCCTGTTTGCATTATTGTATTGGAGTGGTCACTAAACCCTTCACTCCCAAGATGCCATTAGTAATTCTCTGTGTTGCCACACAACTTTTATGATGTTCTAATAATTTGGCGCTGAATTACCTAAATACCCCTATTTGTATTTTTCTTGAATTTGAATCACTCATCTGCTTGATACTGTAGTGATGTTGTAAAAAGAAATTCGGTGTCGCTCACTCACGGGAATTCAAAGGATTAAAATGGAACCACCAAAATGAAACTAGGATAACCATGCAAGTACACTGTAATCCATGTTTACCTCCAGAAATCAATTTTGGCATTTAGGTTGAAATGTCAGTGATATGTTCCAGGTGATCTTTCTACTTTGACTTTAAGGACAGATACACTACATGAACACCACACTCATCATTTGCAGGTCAACCTGTATTAGGGGGTCAAACTATTTAACATTCAGCTTGCCAATATCCATGGGTGACTACTGACTGCCCATTACAAGTTGGACTGTACACTCCCTTCTTTCACTGATCACATGAATCATCCTGTAACAGATACAGGATTTGTCCTTCTAACAGAGGACATAACGCCATGGATAAACTGGACATCCCTTGTGTCCCACTTTACTTTGAATTCTTCCTAGGAAAAGGGGGGGGGCGGGGTGTAACCACTTAAAATGACATAGTGCTGATAAATTTAGAAAAAGATTTTCCTTGAGTTCGAGAACTGGATTTATTTCCCTGTCTACCCTATCATATCTCTCAATGAGTGAAGAAAGTGCAGTTGGTACTAAGACTGGATTCGCAACATGTAATATTCTCTCTGCTCAAGATTAAATTTAAGATACACAACAAAAAACATCCTTTTATTACATGTACACCTGTTCTTAAAAGAATGACCTTGAGACAATTTCATCATTTTCCTTCACTCCTGTGTGTGAGGATTGTTTAACTTCAGAACCACCCCCCCCCCCAACCCCACCACAGATTTATGGAGCACCAAATAGTTAAAAATTTGTCCTTAACTAAAACGGCTTAAAAAGAAAACCATTCTGTCTCTCAACAGTGGCCAGTCACAACTAGCGAATTACACTGTAGCTGAACCGATTCTTCTGCCACCAAACCATAACTTTGACTTATACATTGTAAATTTTAGACACAAATGATGTAGTAACAGGCATGTTTCACTATTGGTGTTGCATGTTAAAGTAATTATTGTATGAGTTTTATAAAATATCCCAACTTGACTCTGAATATAAGTTCCACTCAGTTTTTCATAATAACTTCCCTCACTTTCCAATACCAGAGGTCCAGTCCAGCAGTACCTCACTTCCAATACATGTGTTCTTTCATGAACACAAATGAAATGATAAATCACTTTTAAATAATTGTAACGTTATCATTTCTCCAACTTGTCTTAGATATGTCCCTTTTGATAGCCTCACTCTTGCACAAAACTAAGAAAGCCCTTGCAAAGAGCTTTTTTTTGTCCATTGCAAGCAATATGTGATGCTGCATTGTTTTCATTCTTGTGTCCTACAGGCTAAGACACTTTGCATTCATTTTTTAGTTCATCTGGTAACTCTGGTGCCTCTTGAGGCATTTCTGGAAAAGGCCCAGGGAACCCTGGAGGCTAGTGGAGGAAAAAAAGTGATAAATATCTGACATTAATGACAGTGATAAAAAACAAAGCATTAACAAGTAAGTTTGTGGATTCTTGCACTACCAGTGACAATTTTCTTCAAGATCTCTGCTATTCCTGTCTCTGAAAAACCAACTCCCAAATACCAGTTCAATCTGGAAACAGTTGATGTAAAGCTACTTCTTGGAGATACTACTGTGAAATTCCTATTTTAAATATTTTGTTTTTCACAGCACTACCACTGAAGCATCAAATTTTTCTCTTGGCACAAATGTTTCTCCACCCATTTAAGACCATTAAAGCAGTCAAATGCAAATCAGGCTGGAAATAAATAAAACAAATAAAAAATAACTTTAAGTCTCAACCTCATTACATATCACACCTAGAACTGATCATACCATTTCTCCAACAAGTTCTGATGGAGGCTGCCCACATTCTTGCATCTAGAAGATGATCAACAAATGCAAATAAATTAACCTTAGTCTAACATCACACATACCTTTTTTTTACTCTCATTTACTGTGACTGTATTTAAGTTGGGCTAAAAATGACAACTTTACTTTAGTTAACAATAGCCTCCCAAAGAGACATAAGGCAAAAAAATCTTCAATCTGCCATTATTAGACCACATAAGATTTCACAGAGCTGGCTAAGTAGACATGTTACCACACTAAAGGTTTAAAATCTTGAAGGTAAAAGGGTGAATTTGAACATAATCACCTGTTGCATGAGTCCAAGTAGCTTTTCAAAGCGCTTTTTCCTCACATCATCTGAGTCACTACTGCTCTCAGCCTCGTACTCTGAACAAATTCTACCCACCACTTTATACTGGTTGTCATAACGAGCAAACTCCTCGGATGTTAACAATGCTTTATTGTCTTCTAACCACCCAGGATACTAAAATTTAAGGTTAAATATCAAAAATTAGCATGTAAGACTCTGTGAAAGTGCTTTTTGTGTGCACTGATTTGCTAATTTGAAAGTGAAAAGCAAGTAGTCTTCACCTCTAAGCAACTAGTGTGACAAAATCAGGCATCAAGGGTTTAATTTTACAGTAATTTTCCATATGTCAAAAAATAAACTAGTATGTTTTTAGTGTCTTTGGGGTATACACTGAAACTATTATTCACCTCAGAGACAGTGGAAGTCGTGGATATTTACCTTGCAGCTTTACGGCTCAGTAAATATCCAATACTATTCACCTTCACTTTGGTGAATAATTGTTAATTAATCCATTGCAAATGAAGGAATGTTTTCATGAGCATGTCTACAGTATCCCCCATCAGAACTGAAAACTCAGCTGCTACATTCTGATGTTGTAAGCTAAGCCTAACAAACAACCACTAGAGGTGTGGGTTCAAGCCCTGAGGCCAGTTTCTTGAAGGTCCTTGTAAATTTTTTGAAACCCTGCACTACAAGCAACCCTCATTTTTGGCAAAGTCCATTGTGTGTGTCAAAAAGATTCAAAGAAGAAATGATAATGTTAGCGCACCTTGGAGGGCTCTTGGAGTGAGGTGACTTTGCCGAAGAGGAGGAATTGCTCATAGTCTATTGGGACCCAAATCCATAATTTTAAACACAATTTTAAATAATACTAGGTATAAGCTCAAAAACTTGCTCTTTCCTTTTTGGTGACCTGTTACAAAACTATTATAATTGTTTGAATGTCAAAACTATCAATTTCTTGACCTTAAACATTAACACTTCAACCAAAATTAGTTTTTCAGGTCCATACCGTTACTTGTAAGAGCCTTTGAGAGAAACTGGACCCCTAGTCAGGCTATTGCATTGTGTTGTCAGGGAAGATGTTTTACAGTAACTCTAGCACTTCTCTCAGTCCAGGAGAAAAAAAAAGATACCTTTGAACTAAACTAACACTTATAGCCAAACACACAATCTCTGAGAGGCCTAGATGAAAAAAATTCCAAAAACATGGCCTAAAAATCTATGCAGAAATTCTCCAAAAAGTGTCTAACTTGTGTGTTAATCTCAATTTTGTTTCTGAAATAACCACATAATTCACATAAAATGTGAGATCCCTGTGGTAAAATTGCATGGAAGCACCTTCAAACCAATTCATTTCAAGAAGAATTTCAAAAGAGTTTATTTGCTAGACAATGTAAGTGGCTTATCAGCTTCATATCCTTACACAGTTCTCTTTAAAAAAATCAGTAGCAATAATAATAAACAGTTAAAAGAGTTTAACATTTTCATGAAGCCTGCTTGAAAACAGTGGAAGAAAAATTAAGCTGTAAATTATTTTTCATGTTATTGGCCTAAAATCCTTAAGTGTTCTAAAAATTCCTCAAATTTTCTAACAATCCCATTGACTTTAAAAGTCCAGGAAAAAAATCTGGATTTTTGTATCTAGCCTTAATCTTAGATCACTTAGTTTATATACAAGTTCACCTTTTCTCTCAAGTCTTTCAATGCCGGATAAAGTACATCTTTGGATAGCAAGTTCTGCATCATTCCCTGCATCAATGGAAGGAAATCCATGTCTCCATCACCACCAGACAAGTTCATGTCTGCCATTGACTTGAAGAAATCTTCATTAAGAGACCCAGCATTCTGTACAGAAAGTAACAAATAAAATATCTAGATCAGGGAAGAGTATTTGCTGTTGATAATTCATAACTGAACACATTTTGCAAGTTATAAGATCATCACTATTTTTCAATCATGACAAACGTCTACCAATTTGTCACTGAGCTATACCAATGTACCCCTGAATTTTCAGAAAGAGATATTGGAAGGTGAAAATTACAAGTTATTAGAGAAAGTTATTTTTTCGTTTTGTCGTGAGCAAGAGGCAAAGAAACATTGGTCAAAATTATTCAACTTGCTGACAGTTGTCTTTGGTCTTTGATATTAAATTAAAAAAAATTAGTGTTGGTGCGTTGACCAAAGTAGGCATAAAGTCGACATTGATGAGTTGACATGCTGACAAAGTGACTGGTAACACTATTGCTTGTAAAATGATCATGGAACAGGAATAAATGCAACAAAAATTTACATTCAACATGTTATCAACTTTGATTAACAGTTTCAGAACTTAATAATCACCTCTAAATCTTTAGCATTCTGAGCCAAATGATTCATAGTTCTGGCCAGATTGGCTTCGAGATCTGCTACTGATGATGGATTATCTGAGAAATAAATATTTTTTCATTCAGAATAACATATTAAGCAGTATTCATAGTTTTTTTTTGGTGTACATACAAATAAATTGCATTGCTGAGAGCCAATCAGATTGCAAGGAGCACTAGTGATTTCAAAATGGATGTAATAAATGTTTAAACATCTTACCAGGTTCTGCATTGGCTGCAGCTTCAGCAAACTGTTCAAGTTGTGCCAGCAATTCTGGCTCATCTCCTAAAATTGATTTCATTGCATTTTCCAAATCTTCTAGGCCAGCTACTTGGCTGAAGTCAACTCCTGAACGAGCATGATCAGTGGTTTGTTGAGAAGAAGCTGACGCACTACTACTTCCCTCAGTTTTCAGTGTTGATTTTCTGCTGTTACAGGGATTTTTTGAAGAATCTGACAATTTTTCTCCATTTTCTGAATCAGTTTGTGAGCTATGTTTTGTTGCCAATGGTGCTTTGCTGTCAAAATCTTCCAATGCACCTAAAAAAAAAGATTAACAGAAAATGGAAACAAAGAGAGAGCAAATGAGTTATTTTCTAAATTTATCCACATTGAATCAATCATTGATTATGTTGAGCTTTTATCTTTTTCAATAAAAGGGCTAACCTAACCAGAGTCAACCAGAGTCAACAGTACATTAGAAAGAAATGAAAGTTTTCATCATGTGAAAACAACCCTGGCCAAAGAATAAAAAAGGAGCGGTGAACAGAATGACCCAACTTGGCTCAAAGGCACTCCTTTATCATGCCATATTAACCATTTAACCCCTAAGAATGACCAGCATCTAATTTCTCCCTACAATATCACACCTGAATCACACATAAATGTCATGAGAATTAAGGAAACAATCACCAATTAAAGAACCTCATGATTGTTATACAAATTCTCCTTGTCAGCTCCCTTGGTATTGTATAGAGAACTGTATAGAGAATATGCATACTGATGTTGTGGTGTAAATGGTTAACCCTTTATACTATTATTAGTAAATTGTAAATTGTTCTCTATACATTTCTCAAACTGCTGATAACAAATAATTGTTTCACAATCAAGACCTTCTTTAGTTGGTGATCATTTCTTTTATTCTCATAATCTTACTGATTGATTCAGGGTTGATATTTCAAGGAAAAATTAGACGCTGGTCACTTTGAGTTTTTAAGGGTTATTTAAGCTACATAACGACAACTTGAGGATAAAAGAAATGATAGTCATTACTCATATCATCACAACTCTGAGCATCTTGAGCCACAAGATGAGCAGTGACTGAAAGAAGCCAACTTGACCCTTATGCACACCTCTATCACGCCATATTTATCACTGAGTTACCTCTTTCCTTCCCAAAACTGATTAAGATGTAATGTTTCTTTACAATATCAAGACAATTATTTAGTTAACAGCTGATCAGGCACTCTTAAAATCTGCTAAAGGGAGTTACTTTAAAGGGGCTACGACAAGAATCACACACGTGCAATAGGAATTGAGAAATTGGTGACATTACCGGGTTGCATTTCTGTGAACGGCCTGGTCATGAAAAAATGATCCCATGATACGATAATTTTTTATGTTCATTTAAGTACGAAGAAATTGCATTGAGCTAGCTAACTGACGATAGGAAATATTCCCATAAGAAAAGAGACAAAAATAAACCAAAGATCGAAATGAAAATTTCTCCTGTGAATGATATTATTGCAAGAAAGTTAAGTTACAGAGTAATATAATTTGCAATCAGCTGAGTTCGAAGGTGAATGGGCAGTTTTTATTTTGGTCCTGAGCTTAAAATCAAGCGAGAAAAATTAAGGCTAAAAATTATCGAGCAAGAGCAGCTAATATTCGAAAAACAACTCACTATCAAGAAGTTCATCTAATTCGTCATCCTCTTTCCGATCTTTGTCCTTCGCACTTCTGTCCGCCATGATTTACACGTTCATGTTTCTTGGTCAGCGTTCTATATCATTAGTGCCAACCTTCTCCATAAACTCAGACCACGCGGACGGCGAAATGATCAGACTGTTTCTGCAGAACAGTAGCTCAGCTCGAGTACAGTGTGTGAGGCTCTTGCAAACTTTTCCAGTGATGGTAAGTTACAAAGCTGCGCTAAGGAAGTTATACTTTGTTTTATTTTCAATATAGAGTAAAAGTAATCTCTATGAGTTTCGTTGATCAAAATATTGTACAACTTTAATACAATCATCTGTACATCAGAACGGGTGATTCCACCTACACAATAGCGTTTTCATTTTCGCCTAGCCCGTTACTTCATTGGTCTGGCTATTTCATTTCTCTATATTCGGCTTTTAAAATCAGGAGGAAAATATAAGACCCTGGAGAATTATTCAGTCTGTTCCCAGCCAGTATTAAATTTAGTTGTAACAGGATGGTGTTTATGCAGTAAGAGCCTTGATGCGGTGCTCTCACGGACCAATTATTGCTTGAGGGATGACCAACTTCACTCCTCCACCCCCCAAACTCTACTCCGTTTGCTTGAGGAAGTGTTTTTTTTAATACCTTTTGGAGTGATTATGAACTCCTTCAATATTTTGTTCAAAATTGGTGACAAAAAAAGTCCCCTACCCTTTCCCCCACCTCTGTCTCTCTCTTTTTTTTCCTGATGACACCCTTAACACAAGGCTGGAAGAGCCCAGTTTTTGACCCTTTAACTCCCAAGATCTGATGGCTAATTTTTCCCTTGCCCTGTTACACATTTCCTTCTAAATTGATTGCAAGAATTTGGTGTTAGATCAAGACAACAACTTCCACCTGATAAGTTTGAGTATCCTCATTACTGTTTTGCTGGATAATGTCTAGATATAATAGGGAGAAGTTACATGTTTATCACTTCTGGAAGTTTAAGGGTTAAGACAGTGTGGGAAACATGAAGATGGGGTCCAAGTACTTGACTTTCTCCTTTGTTTGTATAAGAAATAACATGATTTCAATTGCAATTTGTTGTTAATAAGCACAACTAAATTTTTCAAAGACAACAAAATCCCATGAGCCTGTACTGTACTCTCAAGTGTAATTTGTAGTCTTTGAAAAATCTACACTAAATTGCAAAGAGAAATCAGGTTATTTCTTGTTAATAATGTACATGAAAAGACGCCAGGAAGGGTCAAGACAGACAAAATTTTGAAAGCAGGCGTGTGCTATTTGTAATCTGCACAGAGGTTATAACTTTGCATTCATGTTACATGAGAATACACTCGTTTTCAGCCAATCAGAAGTGCGTAATTTTTTCATGCACATTATGAAAAATGTAACCAACAAGTCACCATAATTCTCCGCAGTCTTCACCAAAGTCTACGAAATTCACTGCTGAAGAGAGAGAGACAGAACTGCAGCCTTTAAAGTCCTCAGGCTGGACAGAGGTTGAGGGACGCGATGCCATTTACAAGGAGTTTAAATTCAAGAATTTCAACCAAGCATTTGGTTTTATGACACGTGTGGCTCTGACATCAGAGAAAATGGATCATCATCCAGAATGGTTCAATGTTTACAGCCGAGTGCAAGTAACCTTGTCAACGCATGACTGTGGAGGGCTCTCTGCAAAAGACATCAAGCTTGCAAAATTCATGGATAGAGCTGCTGGGTCTATGTGACTGTAAACACAACTCAAAAGGCACTGAGTTACTTTCAAGAGAATGTGAATGGTTGAAAATTTTAGTCAGTGTGGCTTTGTTACAACTATGTTAGATATGAGGACATCTACAACTATAAATGGCAGATATAAGGAGTTTGGTGACTATCTTCAAACAATGCATTTACTACACAGAGGTCTTCTTTACTTTAAGGCAAAAGGTAAAAGAAGTTTTCAAACCAGTACAGAAATCCCTTTACCTGTTGAATTTTCAAGAATTCCAAGAAATTTTAGGCAGTAACAAAAGGTACTATTGGTGGTAAATTTTTCTGGTGAACTCCTGAATAGGAGAGCTATGACAACAAGGAAGATATAAAACATAAATCAAGTGGATACTACTTAATTATGCTGTTTGTCATGTATGCACTTCTCCGAAAAAAAAAAAAAAAAAAAAAAAAAAAAAAAAGGGAAATTTTGTGTCAAGTTTTGTGGAATTTGATAAATTAGAGCCAAACAGGTAACTCACTCAAGTTTTCCAGTTCCCTTAGTGATCAAGAAGTAATCTCTCCTAACAGTATCAATACACTATCAATAAGACATATGATTAGAATGAGAAAAAATGATCTAACATCAAATTATCAGAACTAACATTGAAGGAAATGTATGGGAAAGAGTAACAAGAATCTCTGTTGAGATCTTAGAAGTGAAGAGGTTAAATTTCATTCAAATACTTTCAAAATATGAATAAAGGGGACAAGTTTCTTATCAAAAACTGTGGTGCTACCTTGATAGGGGTATTAAAAATCTTTTTTTTTTAAAATAAACTGAAGTGATAATGTTAATTAGCCACTGTAAGGAGACTCTAAAGCTGACAAGCATTACTCCTTCTTCAGGGCAAGTTGAGGAATCATGAGTTGTGTGTGGTTTTTTATATAGAAAGATGGAGCTCCACTAATTGGTAGAAGCATGGTACATGTATCTCTGCCAATGTTATCTATTACATATCTTGTATTTATTGTAAAAAGTTATACATTGGTAAAACAGAAAGATAACTCAGTGACCGATTCCACAAACACCCTCATGACACAGAGAAAGATGTCAAAGACACATCCAAATCATTCGCAAGACACTTAGCAGTCTGCAGCTTTTATTGAACTAATTCATTCTTGTTTTTTTTCACTTTACTATTCAGGTTATCAACCAAGTTACTTTCAAAATATACTGGTAAATATGAAGGGTCTTAAATATTAAAAAAATGGAGCAAAAATAGTTTTATAACATAGCTAGTAAATTTGTCTACATAAATTCAATTGCGCGAGCATGCTTCATATTCCTATTGTGCACGCTCATGACGTCAGCAAACAAATCCTTCCAGATTGAAAATGTTATAAAACAATTGGTTCATACATCAGCTGTGTGTTCATCGAGATACGAAGCACTTGGGAAGTTTGGAGAGCACTCGAGAAGCTAGAGTTGCTCTCAGCTACGCCTCGAGCAACTCTTACACATCTTTCATGCTCTCCAAACTTCCCGCATGCTTCATATCTCAATGAACGCACACTGATGTATGAACCAATTGTTAATTAAAGGGGTAAAAAAAAAAAGTTACAAGATGCACTTTACTTTGGCAAGGTTTATATTAGATATCATTTTTGTCCTCTACTGCTGATCAAATGTTCCAAGTAAATTAAGAAACTGCTTTGTTTTGCATCTTATTACTTGAATATCTTCTGCTTGTAAAACTGAAGTTCAACAATGCTTTCTTTGATGTCATCCAGGGCTCTGCATTTAAAAGCAAATTATTGGTTAGATTTGCTATTTGGTGATTCAAAGTTCTGTTTTGAAAAGAACAGATCAGGGAAAAAAAAAATGATTGACAGAAGCATTCTTTTTAAATGACTGTCTCCTGTTAACAATCAGTGGTATACAAATCATCATAATACCCCATTGCCTTTTTGTTCACCAGACCCTTAAATTATTTTTCCTTCAAACTGAATAAGGCAATCTTTTGGAATGATCCTGGTTGTACGAAGGGTGGGTATCAACACTATCAACACGATAAGTCTGTCTTGTGGATAGCATGGTATGTTTTGTTGACAGCTATCCCCTAGAACTTTTTATCCCCTGGATAGGATAATATTAGCTCTTTGAACAAGTGGGCCTTGAAGTATCAAACAGCTTTACTGGGCTTTTGTTTAGAGGAGATGAGGAACATATATATGTACTTTCCCTCTGATGGAGGGCTAATGCTCGAAATGTCACCTTTGAAACTCTTTACAGTGGTCACTTTACGTCATCAACTCAGTTGATAATACTAAATTACCATGCATAATTTTATAATGGCACAGGCTAGCCATTTAACCAATTTCAAATTGTAGTCCTTAACCCTTTACCTCCCAAGATCTGATTCTTAACTCTCCTCTCTGGCTTCTACACAATTACTTGTAAAATAGTAACAAGAATTTGGTGTTAGATCAAGTTAAATCGTCTAGGTGATAAGTTTGAGTATTCTCATTACCTGTGTGCTGGATAATGCATGGGTATTATAGGGAGAAGTTACATGTTAATCACATCTGAGAGTTGAAGAGTTAAATAATTATTTACTGTACCTGTGGGTTTGCTTTTTCTTGGGAACTTGTTGGTAAATCTCAGGATACCATCTCCTAATAGAGGGAACACAATCAAAATTAATTTGAATTTGGAAGTGATCTTTGCAGTAATGAACACCACTCAATCCTTTAACTCCCAAGATCTGATTGTTAATTCTCCCCTTCAGCTGCTACACATTTCATCATAAATCAGTTATGAGAATTAAGTGTTGAGTCAAGATAACAACTCTACCTGATAAGTTGGAGTTTTCTCAATACCTGTTTACAGGATAATGTATGTATATTTTAGGGAGAATTTCCATGTTAATCACTTATGAGAGTTAAAAGATTAAGCTGTAGTGAACATAAAGTCTAAAAAAAATTTAGGCCTGTAAGGGATTTGAACCCATGACCTCTGTGATGCTGGTGCAGCACTCTACCAACTGAGCTAACAAGCCAACTGTGAGCTGGTCATTATCATAATGTTGGTTCATGTAATAAACCCATGAAGTGATGAATAAACGACTTTAAATACATTGAAATCATATATGTGAACTGTGGTTTAAGAATTGAGTTTGGAAGCAATCTTTGCCGTAATGAACACTACTTAAGCAGTACTGAAAAAAAGGCCTCAATTTTTTTTCAAGTTTTTTTTCCAAAGCTGCGCCTCATGCGCTACTCTTTTGTTGTTGTCACATTTTGACGTCATCTGTGATCTCTTATTGCAAAGGTGCAAGGCAACATGCCATCTAATTTTTAATTGTAACTTCATTATTGGTCCATTGTCAGCATTCAGTGCAGTTTCATCCAAATTTACTACTCCCATGAGAGACCAAGAGAGAATTTCTCCTTACAATATCAATACAATATCAACCAAATAAGTACAGTCGAACCTCGATTATCCAGACTCATCGGGACCTCGGTAAATAGTCTGGATAATCGAGAGTCTAGATAATCGAAAATATGAATATTAATGAGATAGAAATGTGAAATAATTATCTGCTTATCTTTAATCAATAGAACGGCTAGCTTTCGCTTCGTAGGCATGTTTTTGATTTGAGTTTATGATCGATCGCTTGTGTGTTTACATGAACTAATCAAACATGAAATTCCCTAGGCAACAAAACAATTGAGCCAACCATATATCAGCTGAACACATCAGAATATTTCTTTGTCTCGTCGCACTTTCGAATTTTGAAAAGCGCACAGGATAATATGCTGTTTCAACAGTCTTTTGAAAGGATTATTGGGCTTTTTGCGACTTTGAGTTTTCAAGATCACAACTAATTAATATTCATAGAAAAATTGGGACCAGAGAAGAAAGTCCGGATAATCGAATACTCCGGATAATCAGGGTCCGGATAGTGAGAATAAAGAAATATATCAATTTGGGGATAATTATTGATCCAATACTAAATTCTCTGAACTGACATTATAAGAATTGTATGGTTGACAGTAAGGAGAATTACAAATTTTATCTGGGAGTCAAAAGGTTAAACATGATGGGTACATTTGGAGAAAAGGGTTATGCTTAAAGACTACCTTGAATCTTAAAACCATGCATCACAAGGACATGATTGAACACAAAAATAAAAAAAGTAAATAACTGAAATGTAAATTTTACTGTGCTAAAATAAAAACAGGATAAAAACCAACAGACTCAAAAAGATATTAAAATTGCAATAAATTAATCCTTTAACCCTTATGAATGATCAAGACATGATTTCTCCTTTGTAATATTAATGAAATATCAATATCAAGGGATAAGAAGAAAGAAAAATATCAATTAGGGGATTATAAGCTGATCCAATACCAAATTCTCTGAACTAACATCATAAGAATTGTATGGCAGCCAGTAGGGAGAATTACTACTGAGATCTTGGAAGTGAAAGGATTAAAAGTACATAAAACCATTATTAATTATAAAATTTCAGTTCACTAACCTACAGAGTTCTTTCACTGTGCTAACATCCACAATTCTGTAATGTAGGTGATTCATAAATTTAGGCATGTACTTGTCCAGGAACTTTTTATCCCAATGCACGCTGTTTCCAGCCAGTGCACACTGCTTAGCTGGAGTGTGTTTTTTTATAAACTCCAGAAAAATTTGTTGTGCCTCTGAGAGGCTGGTTTTGGATGCTTTAACAGCAGCTGTTAAACCTGACTTGAAGAGTGAGGAGAAGGAATATTAACACAGCATTAATCCTCTACACCCTAACATCAGTATGCAAATTCTCCATACTGTTCACTATACATTTCTTTAGGTACAAGTAAGGTGAATTTGTTTAACAACAAAAACTGCTTTAGTTGGTGATCATTTCCTTTCAATGTTTGATTCAGGGGTGATATTTTAAGGAGAGATCAGATGCTAGTCACTGATATTAAGGATTAGAGGGTTAACCTTTTACCTCCCATGATTAGGGAATTATTAGTTGATCCAACACCTAGTTCTCCAAACTAACATCACAAGAACTGTATGGCAGACAGTAAGGAGGATTACTAAATGAGATCTTGGGAGTTAAAGATACATTACAGCATTGAAATTTTTGTACATAAAGGTACTGAAACAGTATGCAGAATATGTATACTTATTTTATTGTGTAGAGGGTCAAATAAAAGTTATAACATGGCTTGTAAATTTGTGTAATCAAATTCAATTGCACAAGTGTACTTCATATTCCTATTGTGCATGCTCATGACGTCAGCAAACAAATCCCTGAGAAAAAAAATTTTCCATGAACAATCGGTTCATGCATTAGCCGTGGGTTCGTCAAGATATGAAGCATTTGGGAAGTTTGGAGAGCACTTAAGAAGCTAGAGTTGCTCTCGGCTACACCTTGAGCAACTCTTACACATCTTTCGTGCTCTCCAAACTTCCTGCATGCTTCATATCTCGATGAACGCATGCTGAAGTATGAAACAATTGTTAATTATGAGCCAAAATCTATGCATCTTTACCTCTCCATGATGTTTGACACACCATTCATCCATGGCTTCTAAGACTGAGTTTGGCTGATGAATTACTAAGTCAGGTGCCTTTAATTAGAAAAACACATATATCAAAATAAAAATAACTTTGAAGCTTAACTGTGATGATGATGATGATGATCATTTATTCAGCCTTCTTGCAGTAGAAACTGAATTACAAGGCGGGTCAAAATTTACAAATACTTCTACATTATGCATACATAGAACTATTTTAGATATCAATTAAATATAAATATTAAATATTGTGTAAACATTAAATACTATAAGTAATAAGATAAATTGCAGTTAAGTATATTACACATGATTCTGATATTTAATAGTGCAAAAATTTCCAAATCTAATAGATCTTGAGGAGGTAAGTACAGACACAGTTCTTCCTGCCCTAGGGGCATATGGTCTTGAAAATTGAAATTGCGGTACTAAATTTCGTAGTAGGTCAGAAGAGTAGTAACTCCGCTTAAGGAAAGTGACGCACGCATCCTCCCTCCTCTGGCATAGATTAATTAAGCCTGACTTCTTAAGCACTTCCTCATAACTCATAAACAGGAAAATGATTTTTAGAGCCCTCTTTTGAACCGACTCAATTTGATCACTCAAGTACTGCATGAGGCCAGCCCATACAGGACTTGCATACTCCAAGACAGATCTGATGATGCTACAGTAGACCAAGATAAGCTGCCCATCAGTTAAACCACACTTCTTAATCATCTCTTCCTTTCTATTTCTTCCGAACATCAAAATATCATTTACTTCATTGAATTGTACTATGGACCTCCTTGAATTTGCCTTTCTAACAACATGTCACCTCACGGCTCTGTTGATGGAAGCTTCCAACAAGTCATAGTATCTAGCAAGCATGGGTTTGGCTCTTGTCAAAACCTGAATTTTTTTTCAGGCTTTGCAGCCAACCCACATAGATCATTTTATCATTTCAGTCTATATTATTCTTGGACATACATTACCTCTGCCACAATATTGAGGTTTTCATCTGTGATCAGGCATGCCATTTCTATAATATGACACTCATCGATGTCAAGACCTAAAGGAGAGATGTTAAAAGTTTTAGCTCTGTCCAATACCACTCTCTATAGTCTTCTTCACTAAAATTAATCATCACAAGTGTTAAGAGGGCTCAACATGTGAATCAGTATTTCTTAATTCCATATTGATAAAATCTTTGAATTTCAGGTTAAGTAACAGAATTCAGGACAAGATTTTACAGGAGAGGATTCCATGGTTCATTAATATAAGTTATCCTACCAACTTCTTGGTGAAATTTTAACTCTTTGACTTCCTTGAGTGACCAAAGTAGAATTTCTCCTTACAATATCAATACAATATCAAGAATACAAGTTATGAGAATAAATAAAAATATCAGTAAAAGGATTATTAGTTGATCAAATACCAAATTCTCTGAACTAACATCATAACAACTGTATGGCAGACGGCAAGGAGAGTTACTATTGAGTTCTTGGGAGTGAGGGGTTAATAGGAGTAAGAGAGTTTATTGTGCTTCAATAATGGACAAAGGAAAAGCTTTAATTACCTGTCATCTTGATGGCCAAACCAGCAGCAACAAGGTCAAGTTGAAGAGGGAATAAAAGATCATTTTCAGCAAAACACAAAAACAGCAACCACAAAACCAGACAATCTACCCTTGTTTTACTAATTTAAAAAAATTTCTGTTTCGATAAAAACTGCGTAGTAGACAACGAGGTTGACCTTCATCTTAAAACTGCTTGTCTGAAATCTCTTATGGATGAGAGAAACCTCCTCTGTGCACTGGTCACAAAAAAGTAAGGTAATATTTGCATGCAGGTTAGCTTTAATGCAACTTTTATTGTTTGCTTTAATAGTCCTATATAATCACTTTTCTTAACTGTTATTTACTGGTGCAGTACTCTACCAACTGAGGTAACAAGCTAACTGGGGGCTGGTCGTTATGTTGGTTCCAAATACACCATTCCATCTGCACCGGTTGAGGTCATGGGTTCAAATCTCATATGGACCTGAACTTTTTTCAGGCCTTATTTTCACTGCTATTCAAGTAGTGTTCATAACTGCAAGGATCGCTTCCATATTCTTTTCTTCAACCGCAGTTCACATAAATTATACGATTTTTACCTATTTACAGTCGTTTATAAAGTAAGGCTTGTTAAGTGAATCAAGTAACCGTAATGCCAGGGCGTGAAATTGCGCCTAATACAGGCGCCAATGCGACTAAATTTTTCACTTTCAATTGGCAACCAAATCCTGAAAATTAGTCGCCAAATTGGCGACTAGAATGTTTCATCATAACGTTACCTAGAGATATAGTGAATTAAAAAGATTTGCAAAGATAAATCGGCGGCAAGCTTCCTCATTAAGTTTGTTCCCAAAACGCAGCACATGCATCTCGATCGATAACTAGACGATACCATTCTTCTGCATATCACTTTCGAACTGATAAGTTTCTGAAACCAAATACAGTAAATTAGTTGGTGAATCAACTGACCTCTAGATCGACCCACACAAGTCTCTGGTTTTCCATCGTCAGAGAAGAAGCTATTTTTCGTGAAAGCGGCTTGATGAGGTGACGGGATCTCCCTAAAACACTCCTGAATGCAGCAAGTGAAGCAATCGGCGGGAAATTCATGGAGAAATGTTAATTTCCGCCAGGCGTTATTTCTACCTTGGTGGGCCTGCATATTAGTCTAGTTCCAGTTCCCACAGCCGAAACCAAACATCACCGGGCTGCTAAGCTGTAAAAGAATGTCTGGAATGTTTTCACAAGTGCCAAATCCTAAACCACAAGTTAAGACACAATATACCAGCGGATAAATCATTGTTTTCCACATTTCTGGCGTCCTACAGATGCCGAGTACTTATCTTTTGTAACATTATTTAAATGTCACTTGAAGAAGTTTCCCAGAGACCGAGTTCTGCGTCATCGAAAGAGCACATTTATTCGACCGAGAGAGAGGCTTCCTCTCGACTTACAGCACGCTTAGAACGATCGGTCAATAAGCGATCACGGGCAAAACATCGAGTTAACTATCATGATTCCTCTGCTCCAAGCCGCAGACGGGAACCACATCAGGATTACGGCCAGAGCAATAATATGGAGAGCGGAAATCAGAGAGCTCACCGCGAAAACGAGTAAGTTCATTCTCTTTCTTTCGTGTTAGACAAATCGAATTGTTACCCCATAATGCGAGTTGTTATCAACGGATAAGCACACTAATTGATTACCCCTAAAGATGTATTTTTCCTTGTCTGGGGTTTCACCTTCAATCGATGAAACGTTATTCGATACGGAATGTAAGTGATCGATCGCAGCAGTCTATCAAAGTCTTATTTTATTTTAATGATTATTTATTTAGCTTTCGAAGCTGAAAATCGAGGGAGTCTTTTTACAGAAGAAAGCTTCTTACACACTTTGTTTGACAATGTTTATTTTCAAAACAAATCGGTAATTTTTTTCGCCGTTATGTAACAACTTATACACTGCCTTTGGCTCGGTTTATTATGCTTATCAGAAGTTATTTTTATTCACCTTAACGAATGTTACGGACGACAAGGTCACGTTAACATAACACTTATGGCTCATTCTAATGGCTATTAGTCACTTCCTGTTTTGAACAACCAACAATGCCTTATTGATGGCTGGGTTTTAACGCAGTAGGCACATAGACAAGTCTGAACTTGTTTGATAAATGTACCTTTTCAATAATTATAGTCTTTTAGAAATTGGTGGTCAATCTTTTATGATGCCAAAAATATCCAGAATTTCTATTTAAAGACAACCAGTGAAATTTATCATAAATCTATTTTTGACCTTAAAGGTTTTGTTTTTTTTCAATATTATTGAGATATTTTTTGGGTTGGTAAATTATTTTTGTTTGATGCATAGTGTCAAAGAATTCACTAAGAAAACCAGTGCTTCCAAATATCAAAAAAAAAATCATTCTTAATTGAAATAATTTGTACTTGAGAGATGTTGTTTTAAATGTGGACGTTTTATACACCTTCATGGAAAAACATACATGTTTCCTGAAGGTTAATTGGGGATGAATTTATATCTTCCTATATTAGTGTGTCTGCAATTAAGTCACTAATGAATATGTTGATGTGTATTTAATTATAGTCTGTTGTCATGCAAAAATGACCCAATTCAATTTCTAAGTGAATTACCTTTGATGCCAATTAACTTTGTGTTAACAAACAAAATTTGATGTTAAAGCCATTTCTATGTGTATCCCTTTTGGCTGTTTTCAGTGTCTTCATTCAAGACTTTCCTCCCTACAAAGGGGAGCCTTGCATGACAACACAGGAAACAGCTGTGAGGGAGACTAGTGCTAAACTGTGGAGCTGGAAATGTTCACACAACGGAACTCATTTCACTGCAGTTTATTAACCCATTCATTACTGTTTACCTTTGTTTCAAGAGTGTTGCATTAGAATGTTAAACCCAGTATCAAATTAATGAGTATAGGAAATGATATTAGTATGAAGGGTAATCATGTCTGAACAAGCTTATTGTTCTCTGCCCATATTGCATGACCCCTGTTAAGACAAGAATGCATTCCACACATGTTGTTGCAAGCATGCTGGATTCTGAGCAGGCAAATTTAGAACAGGTTGCAAATTATGTACAAAAGGCAAGTATGCTTGTATGGCATTTAATATTTCACTAAAGAAAAAGGGAATGAAATTTTGCCCTGCATTATTAAATGATTTAACAGAAATACATTTTCTGTAGGGTTCAATGAACAGCACAAAGTCCAGCAAGTTGAAGTGGTTCTTGAATGATAAATGTGCCTTTTACTTGCTAAACCAACATCTTGTCGATCAATGTTTTTCCTATGCTATGTTCCTTTAGTAATTCAGCGTTTGAAAATTTGAAAACTTGCCAAGCCAGTAATGTTTATAGATATGAGCTGAGTTGAAGTATAGCAAGCAAACTAAGGGGCATTGAGATGTGCAGCCTGTGTGAGGAAATTAAATGGAGAAGTGTGTTAATATGTTATGAGGCTTGCTCACCTAGAATTCCCTTAACTAATAGCTTTGGCTGTTCCTTGCGTTATTGTAAGAGTAAAGAAATCACAGCCCAGAGCAGCTGAATTTTGTTAAGAAACGCTTTTTATTACTGTGCCATGACATGTCACGTCATCTTGTACTCTTACAAGAGCTTATTGTGTGCTTGTCAGGCTTTTAGTGTGTGTATATTTGTTGCATAGACTTGCTGAATGGTCAAGCTATCCAATATTTGTACAATTACATATACTGAGTGGTGGGTAAAGACAGCTATCTTGTCTGGTGGTTCTCTTCTCCAAGGTGTACCTTAATTTTTAAAGTATAAAGCTTTTAGCAGTATTGTTGCTCATTGGATTAGATGCAGATACTGCTTACATAGGAGTCCATTGTAGGTTACCACTCTTCCCCCCTCTTCCCTGTATCTTTCAGTGCCCCTCTCCATGGTGGATTATATAGGGATGACAGTAAATTGGCAAAGAAACTGACTTAATGTCAGGGGGGGGTGACTGTGTGATGGACTTGATACCCTTTGGAGGGGGAGGGTGGCAGGGAGTGTCATTGTCTTAAATACTTCATCTTTCAATTGTAGAAGTACTTATGATGTTTTCTGGCTCAGCAGGTCTCTGAGAAAAGTGCCACCCTTCTACGATCACAGGCAGGATGGCAGTCAACAGTTCTACAGAAAATCTGATACTGGCGACATGAGAAAACATGGTCGACCTCAGAGCTGGTACGGAGCTGAAAGTCCGGAAAGAAAATTCAAAGAGAGACCACAAAGCATACATGAAATATCTTTGGATCGAAACAATCAGAAGAACAACTGTATTCCTGGGCGTGATTACCATAGCTTCTCAAACGATACACGTTCGTCGAAATCTGGTTATAAAAGCACTGGCTTCAGAGACCGTAGAAGTAGACATTTTGAATTGTCAAGGTCGTTGTCGTCGAGTTTCAGCTCCCAAGTGGGGTCCTCTGCGGATGAGGGTGAGAGGGACCGTCATGGAGTTGACTCCGCATATGACATGACAGAACGATCCCCATATGGGTCCCTTGTACTAAGGCGTTTTAGCCAATCAAGTTTAAGCTCCTCTAGTGCGTCTTGGCAACAGTCCACGAACTCATTGAGTCACCATGCCGTAAGAGGTCACGGGGGATCTGGGTCACAAGGCACCAGTTCTCCAGATAAGTTCCACAGGCACAGAGACCATCAACGCCAGACAGTTCACAAAGAAGTTTACTTAAAACAATCTCCGAAGATTTCCGAACACATTTCGACTACGAATGCAACCTTTATCTCTGCCGCACCAGTGACCCAGTACTCGGGTCACGCCATTCGCGTCAACGCTCAACCTCATCGGTCACACAATTCTCATGTTTTCGTTCAAGCTACGCCTTACTCTTCTGGTCATCATGTCACGACATCTGTTCCAAGTCGGTTATACAATCACAACGTCACAGACTCCGCCAACAACGTTTCTCAGGTGTACCCTTCTGTCACGCAAGTTTCATCCACACCTACTCAATCGCCACGAAATTCTTGGACGCGAGATGATGAAGACACCACTGGACAACTGAGCCCGTCAGTGAAAGATTTAGCGAAACGTTTCAGCGGCGAATTTTCCACGGAATCATTTGAGGAACTGCACGAAATGAATGATAGAGAACGGAGGCGCGTAAAGGCTCAAACATGGCCCAAGTTTGCGTATGTCCACTCTCCGAAGGATCGCATTACCCACGGTGAACAAGACCATGGCCACGAGGTTGCACCGCCAAAACCCCCGTATCCACAGAGTTTAGTAGAAGACATGGCTGTTGTAGAAACGACTATTGAGTCAAGGATTAGCAGAAACGAAGCAGATGGTCCCTTACGAGCGCCTGATAAGGGTTACACATTGACAGCGCATGGTCAGTGGAGTTACATTAACGGCTCTGTAAGCGCTGATATGCTCGCCACGCATCGCTTAAGTCTTCAGGAGCTTATCAAACTGCATGAAAACGAAATAGCCAAACATGCCAAGAGCGCCAAGGCGACTGCGCATGCCCAGATTTACCTGAAACGCCCCGTTAACGAAAAGGCGCGAAACGCGCAAAGCCCACAAACGTCACCGCGAGAGCTGTCAAGGGATGGGAACTGGGCTGGGTCATCTCCGACTGCTCACAAACAATTTTCAGTCGTGAACAGAGTTGTGGATGGCAAGCAAGCCGTATCTCAGTATGAGCCAGTCGAAAGAACGCCGATAAAGGTGATTGAAGTCACCGATAAGGGCGGCACGCCGTCAGTTAACTCTGAAATACGAGAGCGATCCCCGATCAAAGGCAAAAGGCATCGTACAATCGGCGTTGTCGGGTTCCGACAACAGATTGATCGCGTTACCGAAGAAAAAGCCGAGAATAAACCGAAGCGTCACACAGCGATCGGGATTGTGAGTGTCAAGGCTGTGGACACATTAGAACGTCAGTTGGTGAAAGAGGAGACCTGTGTAGTAAGCCACGCTGGCTATGGGGTGAACAAGATTCCAGAGAAAGGGCTTGAAAGCTTGGACAGTGAACAGAGAAACAACAACGTTGTGCTTAACCAAGATTCACGACAACCTCCCACAAGCACGAGGGTAAAAAAACGTAAAGAATTCGACAGGACGGGGAGAACTGACTTGGAAGACAAGGACATCCATGATGAGGTTTTCGAGCGTAATGAAACATCCATACAATTCGTTCGCTCGGAAGGAGTCGTTCAAACTCGGCCGGAATCCGAGCATAACCGAGAGCGTAAGACAGCGAGATCTGAAGAACTCACAAAGGGCGAAGGATTGACTAGGATCACAGTTGCTTCTTCGGAAAAACCGGGTCAACCTGTTGAGCCGATAAGCACCCAGTCTACGAGCTTACGGAACGACGGTCGCACGTGGAACGTTCCAGTTTCAGGCCGTGCGCACAATTATCCCAAACCTTACGCGATGTCTAAGGCTGTACCAGTCGCGCAGGTTTCGCCTGTTAGTCCAGCCCTTGAACTGTCTTCTAGAGCTAATCTTACAAAGGATAACTTCACGGAACCTTTACCACTTTCTAAGTCTCAATCTGCTCGAGAAATGTACGAAACGAGACTTGCCTTGTGGAATTTGTATCCTCCTGATACTAGCCCAGCTATACATTCATCGGAAACTTCAGGAAATACGCCCCTAGATGAGAAAATTGGTGTTGAAACAGAGCGAAATAATTTAGGATCAATAAAGGCTTTGGATGCACCGGAAGATAGAATGATTCACGATAATGAAACGAAGAACGAACCGAGAGGTTTCGCGAGGCCGAACTTGGAAGAATATTATTCGAAATTTATAGAGAAGTTAAAAAATGAAAACAAGGAATTGATCGCGAAATACGAAATGGAGAAGAGAGAATTGAGGCAGAAATACGAGGAACAAAGAAAAGTAGCCAATGCTTATCAAAAGCTAGAAGACAGGTACAGACGTCGCGTGCACGAGTTACAGGAAGCCCTCGCCGGCTGCACATGCCAAAGCCCATTCGTGAATCAAAATCACGTTAAAGCACCACAAAGTGTGACCACAAGGTGAGTCGTTGAAGTAAACTGTGTACATCTTTCTAACTTGAGCGCAGGCCCTGCTCAGTGCGTCGTAATATTGGTATTTGGAGGTTTCGTTCCATCGCAAGTTCACTTTGCACTAGCTTGCGCCTATGTCGAGAAGTTCAGCCCGTTCGTTACGACAAGTTCTTCCCTTCCTTTATCAGTGCGCCCCCAAATCTTCGAATCGTTTCGCAACAGAAGAAAGTTTTCCCTATCTGATGAATTCGACCTAATCGGATCTTTTCTAAGACGTTTATTATTCCCCTCCTCTTAAGATAAAGCACGTCCCACCGCAAAGAAACTCGGTGAAAATTTTGGGGCGAGCGGGTTTTACTCGGTGGGGCTGTTGAGGTCGTGTTGATGGAGGCGAACAGGTAGGGGCAAATTTGCTATGGCGTCCTCCATAAACCGCAATATTGCGCGAGATACTTTATGATACGTTCTGTCTCTTTGAAGGAAATCTGGAAGTTCCTTGTTTGAGGCCCAAACTCTGTATGGTGTTCTGCAGGGAAACACCTTATAATTAGAAAGCCTCTGTCCACCCAGGGGTACAAATGGGTACCAGCGAACTGTCGGGACATCTCAATGAAATACCGTAAACTACGATGTGCTAGTTTCTTATCAAGGAAAATGATAATACTTCTAGATGAGATTACAGTTCATTGCAGGTTACTTCCCAGTACTTCTCATCAGTTTTACCTGAGAAAAAGACCACTACCCATTTATACTCCTCAGTGGAGACAGTCGCCGGTAGAGTAAAGAATCTTGCTTAGGAACACAACAAGATGATCCGGTTAGGGCTCGACCCAGTCCTCTAGTCATCAGGCCACAGCGCCTGCCACTTTCTGTTCAAGGTGTAAACTTTATTTACTTATTTATTCATTATACTTCTCTGCCTTTTAGAAGCGACAAGGAAGGTGACAGGTCTATCGTCTCAAGTATCAAAGGGCTAAAAACACTCGACGATCTAGAAGACTGGTTGAGCGAAAACTCAAAAGACAACAGTGCCTCTAGAAAGAACAACAACACAGAGAGTAGAAACAGTTTAATCAGCAGTTCGTCCGACATGACGGGAACCGCGTCCGCCTGGGACGAGCTCTATGATCGGCTTAGAGCCACAGGTGAGATTGATGTGGAGAATGGTACGCATGTCTGATGTAACAGTTCAGCGCCATTTTGGATTTGGTAGTGACGAGCCTGTTAACTTTCAAACACCCTCGTTATCAATGGTCAGCGGAAAATGGCGTTACCGCGGCACCAGCCGTGGCTTACAAAGAGTAACACATGGCGGTCAGATGCAAAAGAGCGAGAGAACTGAACGAATTTTAGGTGAAAATCATACGAACTTTTGTCATTTCAAGGTTGACTGTGCGGTCAACAACAAGTTTTTACTTGTCTCGGTCCTTGCCTTAACCAGGTGATATTTCAGGCTGTTAGACGCGCAGGCGTTAACAATACTTTCATTTTCAGTAACTCTCTTTCAGTGAAATACTTTCATTTGGCAATTTTGGCGGGAATTGTGGCCTCCGTAAAGTATGTACTAGTGTTTCTCGTTCAAAGCCCTTTGGGGTAAGCTCCTTTCCACATTTTCCGGCAAGCTTTCACAGACCATTGCGATTGAGATATTGAGGTTAGTTTTTGGTTCAAAAAATGGTTGTTGCTCGTTTCAAACGCTTTTAGAGTTAGCTAAAGGATACGTGAACAGGTATATGCGAGAAGTGGCCTTGGGCTCTCTTTTATCGATATTTTACCTCTTTCTTTTACGCTGTCAGTCTCTAAGACTAGCGAGTCGTTTTAATTAATTGATAAACACAAAAATGCCGTATATTTTGAAAATTAAGAGTTTATGATAAATTTTAAAATAATTATCTAAATGTGAGTTCTGTGAAAATCAAGTCAATCCAATGAGAGGGAAAAGGTTTTGTGAATATATGAGTTATTAATTTTCTTAGAAAAGTAAAAACTTGAAGTGAAACTTGTATTTTGACCTTGTAATCATTCTATTTATATTGGACTTGACGGTACAAAAATTAATCAGTCAATTCAAGGTATCCCCCGTCAAAGTAAAAGCTAAGTTTGGATTTTATTTTCAGCCGAATAGTCCAAGACGTAACCGAGTCGTAGTGTTGTTAAATTTTCGAATGGCGATGACGTGTCGCAAAGAATGCTGTCGAGGAATCACTTCATCTCAACACTCGACTGCTGAATCAATATGGAAACAATGACTTTAGTAGGGATAAAGTATCACGCATTCACAAACTAATGGGTATACCAATCGCGAGTCACAAAAGCTGTGGACTCAACTGAGAATGCCTTCACTGAGATTGGTAAATGTCGAGAAAAGAATGGGCATGAAATGATTGTTCGTGTCATTTATTGAGATTGGTAGATTTTACCAACACGGGGGATTTGACAAAAACAGCATACTTTCACACAGTGGTTTCCCTTTGGTGTGGTTGTTCTGAATTAGACCAGGATAGCTGTTAAGACATACGGCAACCATGCTATGGCTGGAATACATGAGCAAGTTTTATAATTGTTTACAAAGTTATTGGTCGTTTACTACAACAAAGTCTGGCACTCGAACTAGTTATCTAAACATTTTACTTAGCGTTATTGCGCATAATCAAACATGTTAAGCACGCAGTAATGACCTTTATCATGATGATCAACCACGATAGGGTCCAGTGCATTTCTGAAATCTAGGCAGAGAAAAGAGGCACTTTCAACCTAAATCTTGGTAAACCTAATAATTAGTTTGTTACTTCTACAAAGTTTCCCTCACTTGCCCATGTATTGCATAAGTTATTTTGCCCGAAAGTAAAGCGTCAGCCCAACTTCTGGACGAGGAACATTGCAGCCGGGGTCGTAAAGAGCATCTACACCAAACTGATTTGCAGGACCATAGCTGGTGCTATGCCCGGCCAGACACATCCCGTGACCAATATTCAGCGTCGTTTTACAATCGCAGTTGTCATCATCCATCAGAATGGACTTGACGCCATGCTGTTCACGGTACATAAATGAGTCTTGCTTGGCGACTGGCGTTTTTCCCTGTAGAACCACTGGATCCCAGCTGTCTACGTTGTTGACTACTTTGCCAGCGGGAGTGGTCACATGATCGTGGAAAGCCAACCAAGCCGCATGCGCAACAGCATTGTGATAGTCAAACTTCCAAAGGTATTCGTTTCCTTGAGAATCAATAGCAAGCATTTCAGTAGAGTCTTCCCTTGCCCAGGACGGAATTCGCCCGAAGCAGTATTCGCCATACGGGTTGCAATTACCGAAGGGGTAGGCTAACACATCTTCCTCATCAGCGGGCCAAGTTGCATCTGCTGTCCACCACCAGAAAGCCAGCCAGTTTCCGCCATGTTTACAAGATGACAAAGAGTGCACCACTTCTTCGGACACGGAGAAGTACAGTGCCAGACCAACGTTAGGTCGCGGCGTGTTACAGTAATTATCGTAGAGGGCGTCAACTCCATACCGATTTACAGGACCATAACTTGTAGAAAATCCGTCTGAGCACATACCATGTCCCATGCTGAGGGTGGACAAACAATCACAGTTATCATCATCCAAAAGAAAAGACTTCACACCACCTTGAGCTCGGTACATGAAGGAGTCTTGAGAGGCTTTTGGTGCTGTTCCTTTCAGCAATTTAGGATTCCATGCTTTGTTATTCTGTATCTTGTTAAATGGTGTTTCTTCGTGATCGTGTAAGGCTGACCAAACCGCATGCGCTGTTGGGTTTGCCGAGGAGAATTTCCAAAGGTATACGTTTCCTTCAGTGTCAATAGCGAGCAATTTTGTCCTATCCTCTTTTGCATCTGTTGGAAGCCTTCCAAAACAGTAGATATCTGTGTCCTTGCACGCGCCATGTGGCTTCTCCAAGACATCAGTCACGTCCTTTGGCCATATTCCGTCTTTCGGCCACCACCAAAAAGCGGTCCATTTCTGCCCAAAACCCTCGAGGGTTAACTTTTGTTTTGGAACTCGAAAGAAAAGACTCAGGCCATTGTGGGGGTTTGGCAGACTGCACGTAGGGTCGTACAAGAGATCTACTCCACGACCATTTGGATCGAACTGGTTACTACAAACAGTTGCCCCAAGTTGGATTGTCGAGAGACAGTCGCAATTGTCATCGTCAAGTAGCAAGGATTTTACACCATTTGTACCTCTATATGTGAATGAATCCTGGTCAGCAATAGGAGATTTTCCTTGAAGAACATTAGGATTCCAGGGGCTCTGATTTAGGACTTTACCAGCCGCTGTCTCTTTATGGCTATGAAAAGCACGCCATGCAGCTTGTGCTGTTGGGTTAGAAGCATTAAACGACCAGGTGTAAACGTTCCTTTTTGAGTCTTTTGCCAAGATTTCAGTCGAATCTTCCTCGAGCCATGCAGGAAGTCTCTGAAAGCAAAACGGAGCACCACCAGAGCAACTACCATATGGGTCTTCAAGTACATCGATATTTTGATTCTTCGGTGCACAGGCAGACCAGTTCACACCGGCATTCCACCACCAAAATGCTCTCCATCTCCCCCCGAAATCGTACAAATCAGGGCGTTTGGCTCGGAAATAAAGAGTTAGCCCGACGTTTGGCACAGGACCATGACATCCGTTATCATAAAGAGCGTCAACGCCGTAGACATTAGGTTTGCCATAGCTGGTAGAATGATCAGCTAAACACATACCATGGCCAAGACTAAGTGAGGAGTGACAATCGCAGTTGTCGTCGTCAAGTAGCAGAGACTTAACTCCGTTTTGCTCACGGTACATAAGAGAGTCTTGAGTCCTAGACGGTGCATTCCCCTTCAGAGCCATTGGCTCCCATGGGCTGGAGTCGAGAACATCTTTGTGTTGGACGTCTTGATGATCATGAAATGCAAGCCAAGCCGCATGCGCGACTGTGTTCTTCGGATTAAAGGACCATTTATAGACTGTTCCCAAAGAGTCAAGTGCAAGAAGCTCCGTGTCATTTTCCTTCAACCAGGAGGGTAAACGCTGAAAGCAGTACAGGTGGAACTCCTCACATGAACCATATGGGCTTCCAAGGATATCTGTTACGTGTTGTGGCCAAGTTAAATCCTTTTCCCACCACCAGAATGCTCTCCATCCCCCACCAAAGTCTTCCAGAGTAAGCTTTTTGGCTGCTCGAAAGTACAGTGAAAGGCCATAACTTGGAGATGGTCCGCGACAGCCTGGGTCGTACAGTTTATCGACACCAAACACGTTAGGCTTGCTGTACGAGGTGGAGTGACCAGCGTTACACATCCCATGACCCATGCTCAGGGTTGACAAGCAGTCACAGTTATCATCATCCAGAAGCAATGACTTCACACCATTCTGTTCTCGATACATGAAAGAGTCTTGCGTTGCTTTAACCTCATTTCCCTCCACTACTAGGGGATTCCACGCTTGCTTGTTCATAATTGTTCCATGTGGTGTTTCTTGATGATCATGAAAAGCTTGCCAGACAGAATGCGCAGTTGGGTTCCTTGAGTCAAACTTCCACTGATAGACAGTTCCGTCCGAGTCAACAGCTAGAAGTTCTGTAGCATCTTCTTCCGCCCATGAAGGAAGCCGCTGGAAGCAGTAAGGATTGTTCGGCTTGCACAACCCAAAGGCGTCTTTGAGTACGTCTTTGACATTGGCAGGCCAAGTTTGCCCGGGAGTCCACCACCAGAAGCGTTGCCATGACGACATTTCGATGGCAGAAGATGACACCACAAAAATCAAAACCACAACATGGACGCAGAGTTGCGAAGATGACTCTGAAACGAAGACAAGAAGTTAAACAATCATATCATTAGCATATGAATATGTATTCATGACTCCGACACTCATTTCAATTTGGCTAAATTAGTCCCTTTATTATATTTTTATTATTCTAAACAACTTAACTCACAATGTGGAAAGCTTTCGCCGTGGCATTTGCGCGATCGTTGCTCAGGAGTTTTTATTCCTGATATTCATGTCCCGGCACATTTATTCCTGTGTTGTCAATTAATACTTCATGTTCTGTGCAACCGCATTATTTTAAGAACAATCCATTCCTTCTTACGCAATTTACTTTAGGTCGTAGAGCCATTGTTTCTATCTGCTTACGAGATATCAACACTTAATTAAACAGACCATTGGCGAGAACAGGAACCTACTGTTATTACCAAAATTAATTATAAAGACACCACGAAAATTACGTATGTACGTGATCTAAAAAACATCGTAACGCCAGAAGATTTTGGATTGGTCGGTTCTAATATGCCTTATTTTGCAATAAAGTATGGCGTTACTTATTATCTTATATTAGCTCTTTGATTTGGTGTCTTAATGTCACAATCTCTATTCTTTTTGGTGTTTTGGAATTAAGACAATTTCGTTCAATATGATAGCTGTTATCAATCATTCCCTCGGAGTGAAAATGCGCGGATACAATGTAACACCATGTAACAAACACCACCGTATAATGACGAGAAAATAATCAGAGCATCCTTTTGGCTGTTAACTCAGCTGGCTGCGCCGCTTAATAGGCAATTATGCGAATGTACAAGAAAAAGAAAAGATGGCAAAAACATTCAAATACGGTGCGCTAAAGTTAACGTAGCATGCTTCTAAACGTCTTACCTTTCCTAAAAAACATAGTTAGCTTGTGTTCTGTCCTACCTCCGATGTAAACGCAATTCAAGTTTTTTTTTTGAGTGCTCAAATAATAAACAACACCGTACTATTGCACTGCAGGATTAGAACTCCTTTTATTGAACAGCGTACGTGACATTTAGATCATGGTCCCTTTCGTGCGCTTAACCTCATTACCCAGAAATGTAACAGGAAGGCCAGCGTGAGAAAACGACGTACGCACATTTTCTGGAAGAAACACTATATGCACGTGAAGGTTAAGTTGCCACGTGATTAGTGGAAGAGACAGGACCTTGAAAATCAAAACTGCGCAAATGACGATTAATAATTTTAATTATGACAACCTTGACAGTTTTTCTTTCAACATAAGATGGACAAATGCTTGTTCAGCTGAGTTTCATGTTGTTGCTGCAAATCATGTTCACGCGCTCATTGGCAAATTCTTAACCTGTTCATGCATGCGCCCTAAATTCTTCGTACAGGATGAGAGTTAAAATATCACTTACACTAATACCGGAAATTTTGCCCCTGCATGTTGCAAAACGATTTAAGATAAGATTAAGTATGATTTAAAGGTCGTGTAAGTTACACCAGCGATGTAATTTCGAGCCGCATTCAACGACAAAAGGCTTAAAAACTGCATTTTCATTTGATTTCATTTCAAACATACTTCATGTTCGCTTCAGAGGCAGACCCCTCCAATATTTATCGTTAAGGTGCATGACATGTGGCCCGCATGATAGAGCGTAGTCCTCCTAAATCTCCCGGTACCCATACGGCCCCATTAAATGGTGATCAGTTCTCACTTGTCTCCGGCTTACTTTGTATAGTCATTAATGCCCAAAGCTGCTAGAACTGATTAGATCGGAACCCTTGTATACCTTTCCGCATATCTTTTATGATGGATTTATCCAAGCAGATGAATTTATCCAAGACTCTAGATCTTACTGGACCAGCTAGTCCTTTCAGCGTAAAAACGAGACCTATACGACACGACCTCGTCTCAAGATGATAATAAAACTACGACTGATTAAGATCACATTTGATTGGACCCTTGAATGTTTGTATGCGATACTGCGCAAACATCCCAAATATGGTACAGGTGTATCCATCAAAGCGTTGTATATCAAATTTGTTTCATGGAACAACTTTAAAAGCAAGATTATCATGTCTCGACCCTTTTTTCGGCAAAACACTTTCCTTTGACGACGGGCTAACGCTTGAAACGTACGTGTCAGCTTTAGAATCTTTTAAGTGGCTAATGGACTTAATCAACTCAACTGATGAAACCAAATTGTCTGTAAAGAGGATAGCCTCGATAATAAACGACTTCGACATAGCAAACACCACCGTACAGCGAGCAATATTGTACCACAAACCCTGATGTTGCGACGGATAGGTTTTTCACCGAAAGCACAATAAAAATAGATGTTCTAACAAAAAAAGGGGCACAGTACGGAATGGCTAAAGATACGCGTAGTATGCACCCAAACGTCTCACCTGTCCTGGAAGACATGGTTAGTGTGTGTTTTGTCCCACTTTCGAAGTAAACGCGATGCAAGGGTTTTCTAAGCGCTCAAATGTTGATTTGCACAGAACTACAGGATGTACCTGCATTGCAGGATTAAAATTCCTTTTATTGAACAGCATACGAGATAACGTTAGGATCGTGATCTTTTTCTTGCCCTTGAACTTAAATCCCAGTCTAAACGTAACAGGAAGGCCAGGGTAAGAAAGCCACCCACGCAATTGTAGAAGAAATACAATAGTTTATGTTTTAAAGGTAAGTAGATTACCTCGCGACAGGATTTTGCGGATCAAAACTGTACCTGTCAATTTATTCATTATCGTAGCTTGACAGTTTTTATTTTGACATAAGAAGAGCTAGTGTTTGGTCAGTTGAGTTTCATGCTTTTGTTGCAAACCATTTTCACTCGTGCATCAACGAAGTTAGCTTACCCCTTTGAATATAACGTCTGAAAAAAAGATTCGTCCACTTTGGAGAGCTCAGTAAAAATAAAAATTTTGTGGTGATTTGCACTCAGCGGTTGCAAAGCTAAAGACCATGTACAAAAAGTCATGTTTCACATGGTTTGCCCGAGTTTCCGTCCCCAAGATGTTCCGTTTCCTTCCCATGTAATACCTCACGTATCATTTTAGTGTTTTCTATTATTCATTTCATCCCGATAAGGCATAGTGCCGGCCCTATTAGCTGATAAAAAGCTTATCGCTCCAATATCTCTAAGTAAAACATTGCGATCAATTTCTTACTGTTATCAACATCATGCATGCCGTGCTGAATAATTGCCAATGAAATAACTGTAGCCAAGTAAAGCGAATTGGACTGTTCAATTTGTATGAAATTCACCTTTGTTCTCTCTGAGCCGGGGGGAAGGATGGAACATAAGAAAAACCCTACCCTTGTATACTTGGCTAAAGAGACCAACACTAATTAACTGATTTGACAGCGATTAGAGTGTTCAATCTTTTTAAACGACAAAAAGAAAACAACTTTGAAACATTTCTAACATCGCACAAAAATCCCTTTCATCATGATGATATCCTGTAGTAAGCATATGATTAAATGATGTAGGATTGGTCTCAAATGTATAAAAAGCTTTACTAGTTAGCGTTAAGATTGCTTTTGGCATTCTCTTAGACAGAATAACTGAGATCGTTTTCTGCGAGCAGAGTGTTCATGTCTCGTGCCTCGGTCTAAGTAGATTTAACTGCGGTTACGAAACTTCTTCGATTATCTTATCCTCACTTGCCCAGACTTTGGCTAAACAATGCTTCAAGCTTTAAAATCGTGATATTCGTAGCCTTAGCCGAAATAGCATAGATGTGTTGACGAAATTAAGAAATGAAGAACAGTGATAGATATTGGGGAGAAACACCCCAGAGGTAGAGGGTAAGTTAAGTTTTACATTTCAACGCACTTGGAAAAATTTTGTTTAGAAACGAAAATTATCCCTTAGAGTACTTATCATGAGATATGTCAACTTATGAAGGAGATGAGATTCCAAAAAAATCGATCTTTATTTAAGATTTACCCTCTCTATAATTGACATTACAGTTATTTTTTTACGAAGTTCAAGTGAAACTCGCTATTCTAAGTTACAAGTTTGCTCGTATACCGATCCAAGAAAAATTTGTGACACAGATGTAACATTAAGTATGCTCACAGTTCGATGTTGATCAAGCAAAAGCTAGCTAACTGCCTTGGCACCCATTTTTTTTTTTTTTTGCACTTAGTGTATAAACCTACTGCATTTTAGAGCTGTTTATTGTTCGAAGTGCGACTCCTGAAGCTACTTCACTCGAAAATAAAGCGTTAGTCCTACTTCAGTTCTGGGGGCTTTGCACCCGGGATCATAGAGGGCATCTACTCCAAACCGGTTTGCAGGACCATAGCTGGTGCTGACCCACACATTCCATGGCCAATATTCAGGGTTGTGAGGCAATCACAGTTGTCGTCATCCATTAAAATAGACTTGACGCCATTCTGCGCTCGATACATGAAAGACTCTTGCTTCGCTTTTGGCTTTGTTCCTTTCAGTACCACTGGATTCCAGGCGTCTGGGTTGTTGAGGACTTTGCCCGCGGGAGTGGTCACATGATCGTGGAAGGCCAACCACGCGGCATGCGCAACAGCGTTGTGAGAGTCAAACTTCCAAAGGTATTCGTTTCCTTGAGAGTCGATAGCAAGCATTTCCGTGTTGTCTTCCCTTGCCCAAGATGGTATTCGTCCAAAACAGTACTCGCTATACGAACTGCAGTATCCGTAAGGGTAGGTTAGCACATCATTTTCTTTTGCTGGCCACGTTGCATCAGCAGTCCACCACCAGAAGGTCATCCACCTTCCACCGTGTTTGCATGATGTCATGGGTTTTGCGACTTCATCTGATACAGTGAAATATAAAGTGAGGCCGACATTAGATCGCGGGGTGTTGCACTTGCCATCGTAGAGAGCATCGACTCCATATCGATTTGCAGGACCGTAGCTCGAAGAGAACCCAGACTCGCACATTCCATGTCCCATGCTCAAGGTTGACAAACAGTCACAGTTGTCGTCATCCAGCAGAAGGGACTTGACACCTGCTTGTAATCGATACATAAAAGAGTCTTGGTCAGCTCTCGGTGAAGTTCCTCTTAGTACTGTGGGGTTCCATGTCCTGCTGTTTCTTATCTTTTTGAATGGTGTCTCCACATGATCATGAAGTGCCCTCCAGGCCGCATGCGCTGTTGGATTTCCGGAAGAGAACTTCCAGGTGTAGACGTTTTCTTCTGTGTCGATAGCAAGAAGCCTGGTCCTGTCTTCTTTGGCAGCGGAAGGAAGCCTTCCAAAGCAGTAAATGTCAGTTTCTTTGCATTTGCCAAATGGCTTCTCTAATACATCAGATACTCCTTCCGGCCATTTTCCATCCTTTGGCCACCACCAAAAGGCTGCCCATTCAAAGCCATATCCTTGAAAGGTAAGTGAGTGGCTTGGAACTTTGAAATAAAGAGTCAGTCCGTTGTTGGGGCTTGGTAGGTTACAAACAGGGTCATACAGAAGATCAATTCCACGGGCATTTGGATCAAGTTTATCACCGCACATAGTAGCCCCAAGTTGAATTGTCGATAAACAGTCACAGTTGTCATCATCTAAAAGCACAGACTTGACCCCGTTTTTACTTCTGTAAGTGAAGGAATCCTGATCAACGAAGGCTGATCTTCCTTTCAACACTGTTGGATTCCAGGCCTTTTGGTTTAGAATTGAACCAGCAGCTGTTTCTTTGTGGTTGTGAAAAGCATTCCATGCCGCATGCGCAGTGGGGTTAGAGGCGTTAAACTGCCATCTGTAGACATTGTTTTGCGAGTCTTTGGCTAAAATCTGTGCAGACTGTTCCTCGAGCCAAGACGGAAGACGCTGAAAGCAAAATGGGTCACCACCGGAGCAAGATCCATAAGGATTCTCAAGTACGTCCTTTTCTTGCCTATCAACACTACAAGCTGACCATTGCAACCCAGCATTCCACCACCAGAACGGTCTCCATTTAGCTCCAAACTGTTTCAAGTCCGAACGTTGGGTGCGATAGTAAAGCGTTAAGCCAACGCTTGGAACAGGACCGTGACATCCACCATCGTACAAGGCGTCGACTCCAAAGACGTTAGCTTTGCTGTAGCTCTTCGAATGACCATTGGAACACATACCATGACCAAGATTTAGGGTTGAATGACAGTCACAGAAATCGTCGTCAATAAGCAGAGATCTCACTCCGTTTTGCTCTCGGTACATGAAAGACGTTTGAGATCTTGAGGGCACTTTCCCTTTAAGAGCCACAGGAGTCCAAGGCATGGAGTTTGAGACTTCCTTGTATTTTGCCTCTTAATGATCACGGAATGCAAGCCAAGCAGCGTGGGAGACTGGGTTCTTGGGATTAAAGGACCATTTATAAACTGTTCCTAAGGAATCAACACCTAGCAACTCCGTATCTCTTTCTTTGAGCCAAGAGGGTAGACGCTGGAAGCAGAAGGCAGCGTGGTCTTCACATGAACCATATGGGCTTCCAAGGATATCTGTTACGAAATGTGGCCAAGTGAAATCCTTTTCCCACCACCAGAATGCTCTCCATCCCCCACCAAAGTCTTCCAGAGTAAGCTTTTTGGCTGCTCGAAAGTACAGTGAAAGGCCATAACTTGGAGATGGTCCGCGACAGCCTGGGTCGTACAGTTTATCGACACCAAACACGTTAGGCTTGCTGTACGAGGTGGAGTGACCAGTGTTACACATCCCATGACCCATACTCAGTGAAGACAAGCAGTCACAGTTGTCGTCATCCAAGAGCAAAGACTTCACACCATTCTGGGTGCGGTACATAAAAGAGTCTTGAGTTGCCTTAGGTTTCTTTCCTTCCAGAGTTGTAGGGTTCCAGGCCTTCTTGTTTTTAATCTTTCCGTTGTGAGTTTTTTTATGATCATGGAGCGCTTGCCAAACAGCATGGGCAGTTGGGTTCTTCGAGTCAAATTGCCACCGATAAACAGTTCCTTCATTGTCAATAGCAAGCAGTTCCGTAGCATCTTCCCTAGCCCAGGAGGGTAGCCGCTGAAAGCAGTAATGATCACTAGACTTGCAAGTGCCATAGGCGTTTTTCAACACATCGGTTACACTAGAAGGCCACTTCTTCCCTGGCGTCCACCACCAGAAGCGATGCCATGACGACGTGTTGTAAGTGCCACAAGATACTTCAGTGGCGAATATCAGCAAGTGAAGGCAGTTTAGGAAGAAAAACATTCCTATGAAAAAAAAAATGAAAACCTCAAGCTCTGTAATATTACAATGACCCCTCCCCCCCCTTTTTTTTTTATTGGCAATCGATTGTCTGGTCCTCCCATTATACTCTATTGGTGGCGACTAAACCCCACTCCGTTTCCCTGAGAACCATGTGATCCCCCGGCCCCCAACCAAAAAAAAATTCCCCACCCCCTCCCAAAGGCGATAAATATCGACTGGTCCCTCACCACATACAATTGTCTTTTCCCCTGACCACCCCTCTACCGTAAACATGAAAACACATCGTTATATAAAACTGTGCTAAGCTACCTTTAAGGGTCATCGTGTTGTCAAAACGGCCGTCAGCTATTTCGTCGGTCCTTTTACATGAAAAGATAACATAAAATCATTTAAATCTGAATGCGTGTTACGGCAAACATATTGGCTCTAGTATAAAAGCATTAGTTGTCCTCGCCATGACAAAAAAAATTCATTCTTGACACTTTTTGAACCTTCACTGAATCACTCGCTTTATTCTCAACTCAAACAGAACGTTTGCTTTGAAAGCCTCATTGATATGAGTTGATGAGCTTGTCAGCTCAATCAGAGCATTATATGACAGCTGAAAATTAACCCGCTTTCAAAAATGGAAAAAAGCTCGATTTTGGAAATGATTAACAAAGCTTAATTAATCACTTTGATTTAAAAGTTTTGTCATCATTGCATACTCGACGGTAAGCCTATCCTGATCAGTTACGTTCCCCTGAAAACGTATTTAACTACCTAATGTAAAGTTTTTATTCCTCTTGTGGATAGAAACTTGGCGGGCTCTAACGATGGTTATTAACACGATGAGGTGATGTTTTCCCGTGGAATAAAATAGCTGTTGAAACGTCTTTCGAAACGAAGAAATCTAGCGTAAAAATCAGTTAACGGAGAGCGACATCAATAATTTAGATTTTTCTGAAAATCTGTGAGAGACCTGATACTAACTTAAATAGAATTGATAAGAGTTCCATCGCTACCCTAAAAAAAACCGTGGCTACAAGCAGGACAAACGTCGTATTCGAGAGGGTGAAGAGCCCCTTTAAGATTCAAGCTTCCCAGAAAACCTACCTTTCAACCGAGCGTGGAAAGCTTGGGAGAAATGGAATGGTTTCGTCCTTAGCACCTCTTACGACTCTGAAGCAACATAACGTTGCGACCAGTAGTCCAACGAGAAAATTTTCCGGTTTTGTAAACATTTTCAAATGATCGCATTGTGTGGGACATAAATATTCTTGTAGATCGGTTGATGTTTGCTGAAATCATTTACTCTCTTCTAACTTGAAAAAGTTTCCTCCAAATCTAGGTTCATGTAACTCTAAAATCACCTGGCCAGCTTTAGAAATTCCTGAACGCGGAGTCTTGCGCGCACGCCTATAAAAAGATTGAGTTCTTTCAACTCTTCAGACATAGTTTGTTTTAGAGGGATATATTAAAACATTGTACTTATCGAGATTCTCAAAAAAACTCAAACTCAGTCTGTGGTTTTTCGAGAATCTTGACCGACTGAAGAAGTTCCCGATAACGCTTCGAGAGCTCGTGGGGCAAATTTTTGTAAATAAACCTAATTTAGCGGCTTCACTAATTATGCATGATAGCGTGTTTGAATACCATTACATCATGTTTACGGCAAAAACAATTTATCTCCACTGATTTTGCTGAGTGTTTTTCCTTTTCCTGTAATTCAAATGGTCCAAATGAAAGGTAAAGGAAACTTCTGCTTAGCAATTTTGATGGATTTTTCTCTACTATATGCAAAGACGGCCGAAGAATTGCGAAAGCAAATGTGAATTTTTTCCGTTTTATTTCTCGGTCAAAGTCTTAATTATTTGAACCATTTTTTCAGAGGAAGATGAATTCTTTAAAAAAGTGATTTTAAAAACATTTTAAAAAGTAGAGCAGAGCCATGGTGGCTGTGAACGAACATTTAACGAAAATACTGTAATTGCATTAGTTACATTTATTTACATTTAGCGGCTGTACTCTCATGGGACACTTTCAGCCAATCGTGGTTCGGTCTCGCTCACTGTGCACGTGAGGTCAAAATTGGACTATGAACTCTACGTGACTAAGCGAATTTCAGATCGCGGGCATAACCTTACGTGTAGTACTTTATATTGTATTAGCTTCTAAAACTAGCGTGACACTGGGCAAAACGACACAATTCTTCAACCATGAACGGCGACGAAGAAAGAAATGGCGAAGAAGCCGAAAATATTGAACAATTTGATCTTAACCTGGCGTATCGATTCCTCGATTCACTCCCAAACGATGTTCACATCTTAAACAATTTGCCAGATCCGTTGAAAATTACAAGGATCAATCTTGCCGGAAACACCATTTCAGTTCTCCCCGATTCAATAGCAACCTTTCCGAACCTTAGAGAATTGGATGTCTCTGCAAATGGCTTGGCTTATATCACTCCACGAATCGGCGAACTACGGAATCTCAAACGCTTGTTGGCAAAGAACAACAACTTGGCCGATTTACCGAAAGAGTTCGCTTCCCTTTTGGCTTTAGAACATCTTAATTTGAGCGGTAATCGATTTGTATCGTTTATGCCCCAAATGTTTGAACTGGTAGCACTCAAAGCATTGCTTTTAGGAGGGAATAGAATCGACGTTATTCCACCAGACATTCATCGTCTCCAAAGGTAAGGTTCGTAAACAGTACGGTTCGAAATTACCATTTTCAGCAAGCAATTATTTCGCATAAATTTTGTTTATCTTTTATGCATAGCCTGAGGAAATTTTTCTTCCTTTGGTCTTTACCGCTACCATTTTTATCAGCATGTTCATTTTGTATAAATGGAATTAACATGGTTCTAACTTGCCGTAATTTTTCGCAATTGCTGTGCTCGTGATATCGTTTCCATGTTAGGCCATGTCTTACATGTACGTGCTGAATCATCTGGGTTACGTAAGGTCTCTCTAGAAGATGTGTTAAGGCCTAAAGAAACGCTTTGTTCTTCTGTTACTCATTTATTCATTCATTCATTTGGCTTATTAGTTTTGTGAAAACTCTTTTAGTCTAGCTCCGCGATACAAATTTTCTAGTGTGAGCAACTGAACGTCAAACCATGGTAATTCACCTGTAATACAATAGATAAAATATCGATAGCTTGGTAAGCCCACTTAAGGGCAGCACTTTCCTAAGAAAAATGAAAATTTCCTTTAATTTTAGTTCATATGACACATTTCTTTTTCAAGTACTACTGCTTAAGTGGTGTTCATTACTGCGAGGATTGCTTTTGTATTCATTCCTTAATCCTCAGTTCACATTTAACAATTGGTTCATACGTCAGCGTGCGTTCATCGAGATGTGAAGCACTTGGGAAGTTTGGAGAGCACGAAAGATGCATTAGAGTTGCTTGAGGCGTAGCCAAGAGCAACTCTAGCTTCTTGAGTGCTCTCCAAACTTCCCAAGTGTTTCATATATTGATGAACACGCAGCTGACGTATGAACCAATTGTTTTATAACATTTTAAACCCGATGGAAAATTTTTTTTCTCAAGGGATTTGTTTGCTGACATCATGAGTGTGCATGAAGCATGCTTGCGCAATTGAATTTGAGTAGACAAATTTACTAGCTATGTTATAAATATGATTTTCATATATTCACAGTTGTTGATTCATCATTTCATAGGTTTATTACAAACCAATATAATGACCAGCTCCCAGTTGGCTTGTTAGCTCAGTTGGTAGAGCACTGCAGCAGTATCATAGTGGTCATGGGTTCAAATCCTGTACAGGCCAGGTTTTTTCCAGGCTCTATTTCATTACTACTTAAGTAGTATTCATTGCTGCAAAGATCACTTTCATATTCAAAAAGTAAGTTACTTTAACAATTTTGAAGTCAGATTTGTTGCCTAATTTTTGTGTACCATACATCACACAGGTTGGAAATTCTTTATCTTGGTGGCAATCAGCTGGCATCTGTACCAGCTGAACTGGGTATGCTGCGCAAGTTGAAGGCTCTCAACCTGTGCGACAACAAGATTGAATCACTGCCTTCGACATTTGCAAAACTGACACATTTACAATCTTTGAGTCTACACAGTAACAGATTGACACTGCTGCCAGTTGGACTTGTAAAACTACGAAACCTGGAAGAGTTAAGTCTAAGAGAAAATCCTCTTGTTGTGCGATTTGTTAGAGACATGGCATTTAACCCTCCTTCGTTGTTAGAATTAAGTGGTCGTTGCATAAAAAATACAGGTGTCAAATATGGTCCACAAGACCTACCTGCTCATTTACTTCAGTATCTGAATAGTGCTCGCCGTTGTGTGAATCCATGCTGCAAAGGAGTGTATTTTGATGCAAGAGTGCGACATATAAAGTTTGTGGACTTCTGCGGGAAATATCGTCTGCCTCTTGAACAGTTTCTGTGCTCACCACATGCTGATGAAAGATGGGAAGATTGTTCTGCGACCAGCAGCAGTGAAGATGAAGCCATTGGCATACCGCGTGAAAGAATGAGGAGAGTTCTTTTGGGATAAAATAATTTCCAGCACATTGCAAAATGCATAGCCCCTCATTTGCGACTCTTAATTCGGGGTTTGCCTTTATTCAAGAGACACAAACTTTGGTCCTGACTGAAAGAAATGCCTCTATGGTAAACTTTGCATCTGTTGTCTTCACTGACAGTTCGGACTCTTCAGGAAACACTAGTTTTTTTTTTAAGATGTCCACGTTATTATTAACCCTTTCACTTGCCTCATCTCAATATCAGCCCTCTTAACTGTGTGCTGATACATTTTATGTTTTGAACTTAAATAATTCATAATGGTAATTGAACTGAGTCAAGTGCAATTTGGTCTGAAATCATATACATGTTTTAAACAATTTAATCTGCACTGCACTTCTGTTTAATTTGAATTTACAAGTGTAATTTCAGACCATATTGCATAACATGAAGTTCAGTTATCACTGTAGGACATTTGTTTTAAATTTGCAAAATTTAATGACCCAAACACAGGATTTAAGTTATCACAAAGTTTTATTGATCCAGTACTTGAAGTCATGGGGACAAATGTTTTAAAAAAAATTGCGATGTAATGGCTTCTTTCAGTTTTCTGCAGTTTGATTGGTTACTTTAATTACTTACCTTGACTGATTACTTTGTTTGGATATTTTGGTGAAGAGTTGCTTTCTCATTGGGAAAAAGATGCAATTAAGAAACAAAAATGATGTAATTTGTGAATGAATTGCACTGCTGAGAGCCAATCAGATTGCTAGGACCATTAATTGCCAGTGATTTCAAAATGGATAAAGCAGAACAGAAATTCAAACAATATCCTCTTTTCTTTCTTCTCCAACCTGCTGTAAATTGTATTGATATCGTAAGGGGAAATTCATTTGTGGTCTTTCTTGGGAGTTACACTGTTAACCCTTTACACCCCAACATCAGTATGCATATTCTCCATACTGTTCTCTATACATTTCCTAAAGTGCTGGCAGGGAGAATTTGTTAAACAATCTAGAGGTTCTTCAGTGATTATCATTTCCTTGCTTCTCATAACATGAATGTTTGATTCAGGGGTGATATTGAAAGGAGAAATTAGATACTGGTCACTCTCAGGGATTAAAGGATTAAGTGAATTGCAGGGCTTGTTTAGTGACAGATGGTTAAAAAAATATTTTTTTGTCTCTAAATTTTTGGTAATTTTGACAATGTAGAAAATATTTTTAATCTGACTCTGTTGGTGGGAGAGAGAAGGAGAGAGGGGGGGAGAGAGAGAAAGAGTGTTCATAATTTATTGTAAACAAATTTACAGCTGAGTATGTAATAGATACAAAATACCGTCGTGAAGATATTTTGAATTATATTTATTTATTTTTACAAAAAATCAAAATGTTATGATTCATTTTGCTGTCGTTAATTTTTTAAGTCTCTGATTATGTTACAGTAACATGATAGTTTGAATTTGTAATGTAAACAAATTTAGCCCTTTAACTCCCAAGCTATCATTAGTAATTCTCCTTACTGTCTGCTCTACAGTTCTTGTGATGTTAGTTTGGAGAATTCGTTATTGGATCAATTTATAATACCCTGACTGATATTTTTCTTTATTCTCATTACTTGTCTGCTTGATATGGTATTGATATTGTAAGAAGAAATTCTGTCTTGGTCACTCATGGTAGTTAAAGCGTTAATTGGAATTAAAAGTTGAAGAGAATTTTACTAAATACAAGAAATAGCCTCCTATATGCATGTCACTGAATTGGTTTTTTAACCCTTCAACTCCCAAGATCTGATTGTTAATTCTCCTCACTCATTGCTACAGGTTTCCTTGTAAATTCTTTCAAAGAATTTAGTGTTGGATCAAGATAACTTCTACATGATAAGTTTGAGTATTCTTATCACCTGTTTGTTGGATAATGTATAGATATTATAGGGAGAGGTTTCATTTTAATTACGTCTGGGAGTTAAAGAATTAAAGCAATTCTACACAGCAGTTTTTAATACTGGGATTCAAAATATTTGTTTTCTGGACACTGCTGGCAATCACAAACTGTATGAACTTAAAATGATCTCCTCACGTCAACTGAAAGCTTTTAAAAATTTTTCCAGAAGGGTCACTCAAACAATGTTAAGCTGCTGTTTAAAAAAATGCACTCTAAACTATCTTGGATTTAGCTGAATCTTTTTAGTCCTCTAGAGTGAAACACAGATGCACAATTTTTATTTCATTATGTATCAATATTATCATCATTGTTTGTGATAAGGTATGAGATAATATGAGGGAAACCTCCACTTGTGAAACAATTTGCCCTTAACCTTTTTAACTCCCAGATCAAATTTGTAATTCTCTTTACTGTCGACCATACAATTCTTATAATGTTGGTTAAGAGAATTTAGTATCGGATCGACTAATTATCCCCAAATTGATGTTTTTCTTCATTCTCATCACTTATCTGGTTGATATTGTACTGATATTGTGGGGAGAAATTCTGTCTTGGTCACTCATGGGAGTTAAAGGGTTAAAATCTCTAGGACCTCTAAGAAAAATTCCTGAACATTATGACACCGCCTTGTATAAGAAAAAAATCATAAAACTATATTAAATATCTTTACACAAATATCAGAAACATATGTTAAAACGGTTACTGCAAATTATACGTTATACTCAATGGATTTTCTTATTTTATCTTTCTCTGTTTTTGGCTTAAACTCTGCCGGAGTTTTCACTTGAAAACAGGTTTCACCGGTTTGCGACTTGGACACAAGAACAACACTTCCTTTGCGTTGCAATTCTCCCTTGACAATTGGCGATGCATTTGCATTCACATCCGGGGTATCTCCTTTCTTAGGCTTAGTGTATCGTGATTTCACAGAGGGGAGGGGTGGCGAGGAAGCCGTTGTCGAGGGTTCTGTATAAAAGGGACTCTCCATTCGGTTATTCATAGATAGTTTCCTTCGAGGAACGCTCGTGGATTCGTCGTTTGTTTCCGTAAAGATCGCCGGGTTCTCGTAAGCTTCATGAACTTCGTTGTCAGCTGAGCGGGTCCTGGTCCTAGTCTCGATTTGAGAAACACCTTTTCTAGCCCGTGTGGGCAAGGAGTACTTCTTTGCTATGGCACTGTTTGCCTTCGTCACATCGTTACCTAAAAGAACACCTTGGTCGACATAGGAAGACGATGGGGAATATCGTTTTTTCGGTGAAAATGGTTCCTGGCCAGGTTTATCTGAAATAGAGCGCATTTCAATTGAGTATTGAGCAAAGGAAAATATTTTAAAAAGCCGAAGAAAAACAAACCGTTTAAAGCGAGGGAAAATGCGGGTAACCAAGTCCCGATTGATTTAGGTTTGAATCTAATTGGTTGCATGAAAGGTTGGCGTGAGTTTTCTGAGCCAATTACATTGTGAAGTGAAGAAAAACAAAAGCAATCCAGAATTACTTTAAAAATTCAATTGAAAATTGCCCCAACAGTGATAAGTTGATGCATAGAGACATGACACATGTGGAAATTATATGATTAAAAAAGTTCACACTGATGACAAAGATACCTTGTTTTTGAGACACGATGCACAAAATTGATAAACGATTTCATAGAGGCCTAATGAACCTTGATCATGTGGACGCCATAATTGTCCGAAGAGGAATTCCCGGAGTTCATAGCGAAGCATACAAACTTTCAACATTCAGTTGGTACTCTTCTAGAATATAACATGAGCAGTACTATGGATCTCCGCGCTCATGCTTGATAAGAAGAGATCTAGCGGATTCTAAGAACCACGTGATTTTCCTAACTCCTGATTATATTGCAAAAAAACGATGACGAAAATTGTTCGGTTTCCAGGAAAGGAAACGGAAATGAAATGAAACGTTTTGCGTGTGACCTTCCTACCTGCAGATTTAGAGTCGGATACATCATCCGTGCTCTGTGCTTTATCAATATGAAAACTTCCACCGTCGTCCCTGCAGAAACAATATAAAAGATTTTTAGTTAAACATTAAAGTGGTACCACGCAAAATTTCTACACGATAGAAGAGTTCTGCATTTGATTGGTTGAAAAAGTGGCACCTGATTTCTTCACTCATTAAAGAGCGTAGTGAATAAAAACCCCCTACAGTCTTGATAATGGTTAAGAATATATGAAAGTCATATATTTGAACTGCGGATAAAGACGTGAATGAAAGTGATCCTCGCAGTAATGTGCACTACTTAGTGAAAATAAGGTCTGAAAAAAATTCAGGCCTGTACGGGATTTGAACCCATGACCTCTGCGATACCGGTGCAGCGCTCTACCAACTGAGCTAACAAGCCTAAGTAGTGCACATTACTGCGAGGATCACTTTCATTCACGTCTATATCCGCGGTTCAAATATATGACTTTCATATATTCTTAACCGTTTATTCATCACTTCACGGGTTTATTTAGAACCAACATCATGCCTAGCTCCCAGTTGGCTTGTTAGCTTAGTTGGTAGAGCGCTGCACCGGTATCGCAGAGGTCATGGGTTCAAATCCCGTACAGGCCTGAATTTTTTTCAGGCCTTATTTTCACTACTGCCTAAGTAGTGCACATTACTGCGAGGATCACTTTCATTCAAGTCTTGATAATGTTCGAGACGTCTGTTGGCTTCATTCAGATCGCTTAGATATATTATTGCGTACCTATCACCTCTGATGAGCAAAGTGGGAGTCGACTCTGGTATAGCATCCGAATGTCGTGCAGCCATTGATATTCTCCGTAGCTCTGTCATTGTTACCCCTCGTCTTCTCAAACGGATCTCTAGTTGAGATATCTCCTCTTCTTTCTAAAATATTTGTGACAAATAACTCATGGAGACTCAAAATATTCCAATTAACAACATGCTAAAGATCCCTCAGTAAGGGGGACCAAAGGACTTCGTAGAATGACCAATAGAAATAGGGTCCGCCCAAAACGAATAACTCTTTTCGAGAATTCACTAACATAGGAGGTGGATTTGTGAGATTATAGGAAGTCTGTCACTTAAGTATCTAAAATGGTCTATAATTTAATTATCGGAGACAAATGCATTTAATTGGTTATTTACTCAAGGAATATCGTCACTCCTTGGAAAGTATAAGAAAGAGCAAGAGTTTTTTCAATACTAGTTTATGAGGTATGTAGGGGAGGTGACCCTTCGAGCAGAGCCTCCTCGATGAAAGCTTTTATGACCTTCCCCGTGCGCTCGGCAAGACTCGGTCTCTAGTCTGGTTTTCGTTCCTCTTCTGGCGAGGAGAGTGGGATCTTCTCCCAAGCAGTGACTGGCTATGATCCCCAACGTTCAATGACCTTAAAAAGTTAAATCACTTTTAGGCCATTAGTTCATTTACCAGAGAGGCCCAGATATGTCTTACCTCAGCTATCAGGGTCTTGAGGTTGGAATTCTCGGCAGCTAAGGCGATGAACTTGGCCCCTTTTATTCCTTTATCTTGTGAGGTTGATGACTCACCGCTGCTCTGACTCGCGGATGTGTTCGTTGCACCACTTGTGTCCAAAACATTCGGATTTCGTTTCACTGCTATGAACTTTAAAGCCGAGAGAGGAACGAGAAAATTAATAGACCAATTAGATTATTTGCTCCGTGAATAGAGAAGCCGTATAAAAGGCACCAACGCAACCTTAACAGTGCTATTCTTGTTCAAGGTGCAAAAAACGAGGAGGGTCTTCGTCTGTCGAACAGTCCGTTGGACGATCCTCGTTTCCATACCGCTGATAAAAAAGAACTAGACCCTTAGGCTAGAATGTGGTTTCACTGATACTGCGCCTGCGCAATAGAGGGTTGGTGTTTAAGCTTATGTCATCATGAAAGCCAGCCCGAAATGTTTGAAACTCTAATGGAGCAACCTATACCATCCCTCACCTTTGGAACAAATACTAAGCACAACGTCACTGTGGTTGAGAAGATAACGAAGAACGCCGTGAGGGCGAAAGAAGCATCCTGCGCTTGCTCGATCATCAATGCAGCAGGGACACCAACCACGCTCAAGATGACAACGTTGTACACAGACATTCCAACATAGCGCGAGTCGTTTAGGGCGAGAATTTTCACGTGTCGAGTCTCCCACGCGAGGAACACTCCAAACAAAAGTAGCAGGCCTTTAGTGGCAAATAAAACACCAAACCATATTGCCTTGTGCTGGCAGTCACAGTATTCCCACTGAGGCAATGTGTCATACTCTATTCCATGCTACAAAAGAGTTAAAGCAAAAGTTTAAAAGGGGGAACCAGGAATTTTTCATAGTAATCTTCCCGGCTTTGATTCAGAAAACAAAGGAAATCTTTTTACACCAGAGCCTAAGTAAGTTTGAGTTGTAACATAAGATCCTGACGTTGCGAGAATTTGTTGTCAGACAACAAGCAAAACAATTTTTAAAAAAAACACCCCACAAGTCTTATAGGGGAATGGGGGGAGGGGAAGTCCGGACCTCCTGGACCATAATTACCATGGATCATAAACTGAATGAAGTTGATTGGTTTCGTCTGGCATAAGAATTCCTTACAAGCTGGGATACAGACCGTCTGGACTACAATTAGCTTAATGATAGGGCAGAAATCAAGGGGAAGATAACCAAACCTTTTCCACCTTACCTCGATGGTGCCATTTTGTAGCCTTCTTGTCAGATGGTCCACTCCACTCCAAACGCTGAGGGTTAAAACATCGACCATCAGCAGAGCACCAACAAACATGAAAAGTTTTCCATCTTTGATAACCTATCAATCAAATAGTCAGTCGATCAATCAATCAATCAATCAATCAATCAGCTCTGCAGTCAATTACTCAGTTACTCAGTCGACTGACCAATCAATAGATAAATAAATCAATGAATAGAACATGTATTTCCTCGTGGTTACTGTATGTACTCGATTAAACTCTACGGCGTTAATTAAATATCAAGTGTTTCCGCTGCAGCGGGTACTCGAGTGAATAGGGTAATTTTGATTTCATATGTGAACAGTCATCTGGTTAATGCTCTATCTCGGTCTGTCTTCACAAGAGACTCTTGCAAAAGAAAGGAGGTAGGAGAAGTTAATTTCGGAAGGAGGTGCAACCATTAGAAATGTTTTGCCACGCTGCTGGTTTGCCGAAGAAATACAACTGACGAGACAAAAAAACAATACCTGTAGGAAAGGGGAAAAAATGGTTCCCTTACCTTTTTCCTTAATTTACGGTTGGTGAATATGACGTAAACTCTCCATAATTTGGCAAACATGGCGCCAAATGCGGTGGTGAAACCAAGTGAAGTCAGCCATATTCTTGCCTAAAGCAGAAAGATGAATCGAGTTTTTGATTCAGTATTGAAAGCGATCCCGGTTTTATACGGGTTTTTATTTTTCTTTGCTTAGTGATTGGTCGAGGAAACTCGTGCCACCATATCAGCCAATCAAATGCAAAACTAAAGCCAATCGCGATTTGGTCACTTGCGTTTTCCCGCGCTTCAACAAGTTGCCTATTTTTACTTTGAGTTCTCATTGGTTAATGATGACGTCAACCTTTTTTCTGATTGGTAGTCGTAAAGACTTCACTTTTTAACCCTCTACACCCTAACACGAGTCTCCGTTTTCTCCACGCTGTTCTCTCTACATTTCCTAATGTGCTGACAAAGAGAATTTGTTCAATAATCAAGAGCCTCTTTAGCTGGTGATTATTTGTTTTATTCTTTATGACCTTAATGTGTGATTCAGGAGTGATATTGTAATGAGAAATTAGATTCTAGTCACTCTTAGGGGCCAAAGGGTTAACACTCAATTTAAAACTGCTCTGAGTAATTACTTACGGATTACAATTTGAAGACCATTAATTTTAAAAGACAACGGTTGATAATAATAATGTTTGAATCTTACCTGGCAATTACTAGAATATCGATCAGGTGATATCAGGTTACCATCCAATCCAAACATAAATACTGATAGATACATAGCGATACATCCTATAACAATGGCGTTATTAAGACGAGGGCTTGACATCTGAATGTACCTTTTAATAAAAATTGAATGCAGAGGTAAGGAACTGACGAGTTGGAAATCTTCTAAGTGAATTTGCGTCTGCTAAGAGGAGAAAAATCTTCGAGTTACCTGTAATTCCGAAGTTTGATGTTAAAACCCAGGAAGCAAACTGCCAGGATAATACAAAGAACAGTGATTGCACACACAAATCCATACAGCTCAGGCGATATGGTCATCAACTTACATACGAGCCTGGCACTATCAGATGGTGGACCAGTTCCTTGGAAACATAAACAACAACACCTGATTTCGTAAATAAAGCATTAAACGAGTACATACATGATCGTGATCCTCACCATTATCGTCATCGTTGTCAAAATCAAAATCATAATCATGATCGCCATCGTTATCATTTGTATCATCTTCATCGTCATGTCTTAATCTTTGTCATCATTATCGTTGTCATAAGCATCATCGTCATCGTCATGTCGTAATCTTTGTCATCGCCATCGTTATCATTAGTATCATCGTCATCGTCATGTCGTAATCTTTGTCATCGTCATCGTTATCATTAGTGTCATTGTCATCGTAATGTCGTAATCTTTGTCATCGTCATCGTTACCATTACTATCATCGTCATCGACATGTCGTAATCATTGTTATTGTCATCGTTATCATTAGTATCATCGTCATCGTCATGTTGTAATCTTTATCATCGTCATCGTTATCATTAGTATCATCGTCGTCATGTCGTAATCTTTGTCATCGTTGTTATTAGTATCTATGTCATCGTCACATGCTATTCTATATTGACTGAATACTCTCGACCAATTGGAGTTTTTAAAGTAAGTCTAATGTAAAATAATCCCCATTATCATCGTCGTTTTTATTGTCATCGTCATCATAATCTCCACCTTTAATTAACCTACCTTGCCAGATAAATCTAGATGCAGGGACGTCGAGGATGCTATCATTTTGTTGCAGATATAAAGAGACAGTACTTTCCTTCCAGTCTTAGGAACAAAAATTAAAATATTTATTTGATAACAGAACCTCAGTTAAGGTCTAGCCACTGAGTTCCTTTATACGAGAGCTGACACAACTTCTCTACCTCGTTAGCATATGAGATGTGTGAACAAAGATCTCAATACTTTCGATAGTGTTAGCATAATTTATTAGAACAACTGTTTGCGACCTGAATTTGTTTCCTACAGGTCTTCTTCACGGAAAACGCGCTAATGGCAGGTCACTCAAAGCAACGTACCAGCCCTGGCCAGACATGTGCCTCGTGCGCAAGGAAATTGGTGCGAAAACAATCACTTTATCGTGTTTCTTGGTTGTTAGTATAGAGGAGGTTGGTTTTGAACCTTATTATCGTTGCATACTGTCATGCACTCTATTGGCTGTATATCTATTAAGTAATTACATACGATCACATAGAATATTAAAGGAAATGTTATTGCTTTGATTCTCTCTCTAACCTTGTAACTGCTCAATCTTCATGTAACCCATGCGATCTCCTTTGGATGTAAATTGCACCGGTCCCTTGAAATGAATACAACATGAAGGGTTAAATGTTGCCTTTTGGATTGACGAGGATGACAAAAATCTCCCCCAGGGATTTCTATTTTCCTCCAAAACTTGGTGCACCTGTCCATTATGGAACTCCGAGAGAGTAAAAAAATATTCAAGAATGTTTTGTACTTACTGTGACACCTTGGAATTGGGTTTTATTCAAATAACTCTTGAACTGCTTCATGATATCTTCATTAACATAAGTGAAATTGACTATGGACTGGGAAGGATTTAATCTTCTGAGATGTTCCTCGGTCATATTCAGAGCCAATGCGATGGCCCAAACCGCGTCGTATGCAAATCCACCATCAGTCTTCGACAATTCCTTCTCAGTGATGTTTTGGTACCGAGAACTTAGCTGCCCAGGAGACTAAGAACAAATTAAACATGGTTGAGTCATGATCAGCCTTACGCCTTATGACATGACGGATGAAACAAAGATTATTACAACATCCCCGGAACAAGATCGCAGCAAATGGAGGGGCAAAGGGGTAGTCACCTCCCAAACAATATTCAAGCAAGATTTTTTAAGTCTTCCCTTTTTCTCTCTGTAAAGTGGTAAGCAGATAGCTTGAATTTTACTGATTCGCCTATCTTTACGACCAGCGGCACTCGTGCACTTCTTTGTGCACTCCCACCCCCCCCCCCCGTCAATGTTGTTTTGCCATGGCTTTGCCGAACGGAATTTTAGTCCATCTCAGGTTTACATGTGGCGAAACATAAAAAAATATATCGTAAAATAAAGCTGAAATTAATTTCGATACTTGTCCAGATACTGTAGTGGTGTTGTCTGGATTGATCTTTAAGTTGTCGCAGGAGATGTATCCATTAACAGCTTTACTCATCTGTTCTACGGTACATCCTATGGACTCTTCGTCTAAATGTTTCTTCCACCAGTTCTCACTAAACCAGCCTGGTATAAGCCAAGCATAGCGAGCACCATACATCTCGTTTTGAAACGCCTGAGGGAGTTAACAGGTAGACTTTAAGAAAAAAAAACTTCAGTTATTATCATGAAAAACTTAATGGTTTGTTTTTATCCCCATGGTGCCTACCGACTTTATGACCGTGTCATTCTGAAGATCATTTTCGTGATTGATATTAAGACTTAGAATTTCATGACACGGGACTTTAGAAAAAGAAATATTCTCCATGTAAAATTTTGCTACACTGTAGTTTGATGAGACTTTTTAGAGTAACCTAACTGTTCAAAAATTGGCCTGAAAAGGGCTATGAATTCGACCATGGAAGTCGCCATTTTGAAAACAACTTAGTAACCTGGCTGCATATGCAAAACCGAATGAACGAATCACAAACAGAAGTTGCTGTAACTTGTGAGTAGATAGCCTTTTCGTAGCTCCTAATTTCTTACAAAAACACTCAAAGATGAAGGCAAAAATAGGAAAGGAGTGAGAATCTATTACGTTCAAAGGTAAGCTAGTAGCGTGGTCAGGTGCTAAGCTAGATTCTAAATAGCAGCGTCTTTATGTATTCGAGATGTATTCCTTAAACTTCTAAAGGACAGTGATTTATCTAGAACTCAGATTACGAAATGAGGAAAATTGATGACGGGAAGAGAAATGAGGATTATAAGGCTTCTGTGAACGAGTTACCTGGCATAAAACCTTTCTTGCACTTTTCTCATCAAAATTTCCAAGAATTATTCTGGCTTCTTTCTCCTAGATGGATCACCAACAAAACGAAAATTAGGAGCTTAGCTAGAAGTCTTCCCAGTACAACACATATATACGTCCTCGTGAAATTTTAGACTTATGTTTAACAACGGTTAGTTGCCTTTTACCGATAAGCTCTTCACTTGGGCAGTGGGATCATCCACAAAGGTCTCTGAGGTAAGGATCTGAATATCTGCGTTGGCCAGTTCTTCTTGTAGGTCAGCAGTAGTCTAGGAAAAATGTTTAAGTAATCGGTTCGTCAGGTTAAGAGTCTTTCTAAAGATGACCTTTATCTCGGAGACTCATGAATGACGTTTCGACACCCTAGGCGGAATTCATCATTTGAGTCAAGTCTGCTGATTTCCATCCATGCAACCGAATGTCATCTTAAGAGTATTTTTATGACTTACGCTCAGGTTTTCAAAACGTCATTCACTGTCGCCGACAAACATTTCTTTTCTGGACCATCACGCGGCAAAATTGGCTAATATTCCTGTGTAGAAGAAATTTGCTGTAAAAATTCAAAAATGAGTAACACAGATTATGTGATCAGCTGAATCTTACACGTTTTTTGACTGGTTTCGATTGATGATCTTTTGGAGGTTAGACACATGGATAACGTCACTATTAACAACCTTTCGCTTTTTTGTAACATAAAGCAAACAGCTTCTATTTTAATGTTGCCATGGATCTGACGTCAAAATATGGTAAGAATATCAGTGAGACCCTTAGCTGCGCCTCGTGGGTCACTTTTTTGTTTATACCATGAAAAAAATTTTTGAATGGTCTTGGCTTTGCCCAGTTTCCCGTTGGCCCCATTTCTTGCGGGCGCAAGAAGAAATTGTCTCACCTCAGAGTTAATAATATCATTCTGCCCTATCAGTCCAACTTTTAACCAGTTGAATTCTCTTAGAAGGGCCACACGAGCCTTATTACACGCAGCGTCAGATGGTATTGTTCGAAAGAACAAAGGATATTTCTGTTTCTTTGATAAGGTTGGAGACGTTGATCCATAGGATACCTGTGTATCAAGAGGGTAAGGCATAGTTTATAAGAACTTTCATACAGGAAACGGTTTGGAAGCAGATGTAGCAGTTGACTGTGTGGTCTGATTGTTCGGGCGAGAGTATTCCTGAGAAGAACTGCCGTCGGTGATTGAATCTTGGTCAAAGTCAAATGGGATCTGCTGAAGATTTTCGCTCAGGTTGCGGAATAAAGATGAAGTAAAAAATTTTCTTCTGAGAAAGATTGAATTACAGCAGCTGCTAGCGCTGCCAATCAGCTTGACTCAGTTAACCACCTTTTTAAATAACATCAACATCAAATTATAAGTTTTTTTCATGATTTAAGGAATTTCCTCTGATGCAATCAGTTTCTTTTTCAATAATAGTAACTGCTTGATTGGTCTTAACACCTTGATCCATGGTCCATATTGATGACAACTTTTCATTCGACCTTGGCAAAATAAAACAGACTGCCAATATTTTCCCCAATAATGTGCGACAGCAGGCAGGAGCTCAAGGCAAACACTCACAGCTAAATGTGGGATCTAACTCATTCAATTCATGCTTGCATCAATAAATATTTAAATTTATTTCAGCAGGCACTTGCTAAGAAATAAACTAAATTGATTTTGTTTTTGTTTTTGTTTTTGTTTTTGCCTCTTGTCTTGTTCTTCCCAATCATGTACTAGACAAAGTCTGATTGCCTCACCTTCTTTTCCCTCTTACCACGTGTTTATATCGGCTTCCTTTTTTTAAGCTTTCATTCTGATTTCGTGAAAAGTTTTGTCTATTTTCTCAAATAATACTTTAACTAGTAACTACCTATTAGGCTTCCCACCTTCCGGAAAGGCGTAAAATAACAGCAAGTTAGTGTCAAATTATTTTAATCATTTTCATTATACTCTTATTAAAGGACATAAAACGCACGTCTCAGCTCGTTTGTCTATTTCACTTCCGAAAACTCTCAAACGAATCGAAAGCGCCTCCTAAAAGATGCCAGCTTGATATCAGCTCCGATTCATTACATCTCCGATTCTTGAATCCTAAACTTTTCACGGGATTTTTCAAATGATAATATTAGATTGTGAATCCTGTCGAAAGGATCATTCACGCGAGTGAATGAGACAGCCATAGCGTTTCGCCCGTAACAACGACACTGTCATTTTGTAATTGCAAAAATTTGAGCGAAACTGGCCTATGTACATGGAAGTTGTAAAATAAATTGAATGAAAGTCAAAAACGTTGATTAAAACCATTGTTGCTGGGTTCGTGCTGACTTAATCACAATCCTTGAACGACCAGGCATTGTTAAAATTAATAGGTAATACAAGTTGTTTAGGCGAAGCTTGAGTAATAAATTGCCACCTACATGATCATCTTCCCTGATAAGCTTAGTAATTTTTTCATGTGATTACTATCGGGATCTCTTAATCTGTTATGAGCAGTTTGAAAGGCAAGGCAGCTATTTGCAAAATGAAAAACTCAAAATCAGAGAACGAAGCATCAGATTTCTTCATCCAGACGAAGTCAAACTATTTTGAATCAATAAATTGCGTAAAATAATCGTATAAACAATGCTTGTGTATTTTAGGCGTCCCTAGTTTATTTAACTTGTTATTTAATTCATTTTGTTCCCAGACATATTTCTACTCTCTGGTGGAAATCTTTCCTCTAAATTTTAGAATGATGAGTAAACAAAGGCATCGAACTGAAGCACAAATTATATTTTACAAGGCAGTCGTTAACCGAAATTAATACCTTCCAGAGTGCAAAAGAAATGAAATATTAAAACGACACGGCATGCAAACAAGAACGATTTACCATAACAACTGAGCAATTTTTTCGATGAAGTTGATTTCGTTTTAAAGGTTAAACTTTGACCTACTCTTAAATCATTAATGTAAGCGCTTTCACCACCTCGGAATTTAAATTGAGGAATGATGCAACATTTCAGCTGACATTCTGCATAAAGAAATGAGTGTAGATAGTTTGAAATTAAAAGTAGATGAAAGCTTAGATCGTAAGCATTTGACGATCAAAGCAATTCTCCAAATCTGCGTAAAACTGCCGCATAGCGCAGTAGTTTAAATATTTCGCCAGAGCGGTGCTCTAGTTCAATTTGACATTACAAGAACTTTTTAATTTAGTTAATTTGTTACAAAGTTCTGCATGGCGCGACTGTTAACCTCAACCAATCTCACTTTCTGATTTCCCTCCGTACAGAAACACTCCAAGGAAGTAAAATAACATACACTTCTCCTCTTGCTTTAAAAAACATTTTGTGTCCCTGATTAAACATATATCGCGTCATGACTTATGACTGTGCTGTCATCTCCATTTCTAATCCCGTTGATACAGTTGGCCCTGTTGTCGCTCTTGTTCTGCTGGCCGACTGTGTATATAGCACTCGATCGCGTATCAACTCGCGCAGACTAGCTTTTAATTTGCTACTTCGGAGCACGTAAATAATGGGATCGAACACGGGCGTTAGCAGGACGGCCGATTCAGTGAGCGGATACAGCAAGTGAAAGAAATAATTCGCATCAATTGCTTTTGATTCCTGAATTATTACGACCGCAATTGTCGGCAAGAAACAAATTACAACTGCGCCAGCTAAGTAAGCAACTGTCCTTGACGACTTCGTCTCTTGAATGTCTGCGGTATTTCTTTGCGTTGTCAACTCATGGCCTATTGATACACGAATCCGTCGAGTCAGGCAGTAAACTTTACAGTACACAAAAACTGTTAGTAAAATACATGGAATAAGGAGGATTGCAGCTATAACACCAAGTGTACCCGAGCGCGCTTCCGGAGAAAATCGCACAAAGGTTATAAACGCGACCCATACGACCCAAACGAGGGAAATTGTTATAGCGATGCGACGCTTTGTAACGAAGGCTTGATATTTATAAGGGTGAAATATGGCGAGATATCTTTCTAATGTGATAAGAATTATTGTTATCACAGACAGGCCAGTGAACATAAAATTTGTGTACGTATACATGACCAAAGCGATACAGGAGAAATCTTGCATGGGAGTTGTCAACTTGCTTCCATGATATGCAATGAACGAAGGATGCGTTACCAACCCTGTTACCAAATCCGAGGTAGCGAGGAACAAAATTGAAGTATTGTAAACGTTTCGTAACTCCGGTTTTCTTAAAACGCCAAGGAACACCATGACATTTGCAACAATTGCACAGGGACATGCCAATGCCATAAATACACAAGTAAATACGGTCACAGAAGTCGTTTTGTTGTCTGGTTCATAACGCACGGTATTAATCACCAACGGGCGAAGATGGTAACACGCTGTCAATGGCAAAGAAGTCGGCGTGCTTGAATTGTCCATTTTGGCTCAGATTCCTTCTTTCCTTGAATGCAGTCACCACAGATGATGTCTCGTATTTCAGTGATCGAATTGGTCTATGCAAATAGTCGTCAGGGAGTATTACTCGGTTCTGACACCACTCAGTCTTCGTGTTTGAAAATTTGACATGCGAGCAAATCAATTCGGACACTTCATGTCGTATTTCAAAATTATTTGCTTGGTAAACCTTTTAGGCAGCTAGGAAATAAATGTTTCCAAGAATTTAAATCTCTGATTGGTGCAAACTCATTTCCGCCTCAAAAACACGTGAACTGAGTTGTAACGCAATCTGCTGAGACAAACAGGTTACTTCTCTGAGTTGACTCGATTTTTTCTGGATAAACATGTGTCAACGAGGTATATTTTATGGCAGTGCTTGACAAAATCTGAACATTTTTATCTAACCCCGAAATGAACAAAAGTTAGCGAAGAAATTACAGTAATCCCCTTTAATTTCGTTACTAAGCCTAATCCCATGGATTCCTTTTGTTTTTTCTTGAATGAACTTAACACCTGCTCTTGACAATTATCACTCCAGAAAAAAAGAAAAAAACAGCGAAATAGACTCACGTTTGTTGCCACTCTACCACGAATCTAATTACGACGATGAAAGCAGTCTGATAAACAATGAATTGGTAAGATGCATTTTGGCATATTGGCACTTCGGCGCTCAAACAGATAAAAATTACTGTCGGGTATCTATGCAAATTTCTTAATCAGCTATCGCTAACATTTCGTCTAAGTATTATATGGCGATCTGCTCAACAAGATTAGTGATGATTATTTTTTCATTAGGAAGCAATCACATTTTGAAAAATGTTTTGGCGCCCAGCAAGCGTCTTTTATCTACTGTAGAAACCTTTATGTCAGAGAACACTTGCAAATATGGTCACAAAGGTGTACTCTAAGTTGTCACAGTGAAAAAGTAAGCAATTTCCTCGTTAGTTCCCTTAACAGCTCTCAAGCTAAGAGTGTGCAAATTATGTTAAGTTTGTACGCAAATTATGTTGCAACTCGAAACTAGCCTCCGATCTACGTTCACTTACGCAAATAAACAGCGAGCATAACAAGGTTTTAAGCTGGCCTGATTGCAATATTAGATCGCGTCTAGAAAAACATTTCAACAAAAGCCAAACACAAAAAACTACGAAAGGAAATAGCGGAGAGAAAAAAACTTTTCATGTGCAAATCATCGATTTAACTTTCGTTTGCTGAACCCTGCAGTTTTTGCTTGTACGTGCTCAGAATTTCAAACGATTGTTGGCAGTATCAGCTGTATTTGTTTATGACGTAAATGGCATAGTTGGCTCAAGGGCAATTTTCATCGACCGTAAAGAATCTTTTATCGTTGAAAATCTTATCAGTTTTGTTTACTGTCAATTGAAGTCCTAATAATTCGACACCGCTTTGAAAATTGAACACTGTATTTTGACCTAACTTTTTACTTTCTTTCGAAACGTTCCTAGATTAAAGTATTTTGAAATTCTTGTTGATTTTAGGTCAATCTAACCTCTGATCAACCATTTCAGAAAATTTTTTCAAAATCTCTTTTAAGGAAAAAGCTCTCTCATACAGTGACTATAAAAGTGGAATTGACGTTTATGTCGACAGAACTAAGTCAGGAAGACTTGAAATGTCGCCTGTTTCAGCAAAATAGTAAACAGCGCGATATTAGCGGCAGAGCGAGAACGAGGGAGGGCTGGGTCGGGTCGCATCCGACTCAAATCTTCCTTGGTTTTTTCACTTTCCCGTTTCTATCGCGCCGAATATCATATCACACCTCTTTTTACTAACTGAACACCTGAAATAGGCTACTCAAAGAGTGACAATGACAACAATAGTGACAGTGACACAGCAAAAGCGACAGTGAGAGCAAGAACAAACCCACTCATGCCAACTGTGACACTGACAAAAACAGTCACAACAGATTGACCGTGGAAAAAACAGTCACACCAATCCTAGCAGTGGAAGTGACAAAAGCAGTCACGCCAACAGTAACAGTAACAGTAACAAAAACAGTCACACTAACAGTAACAGTGACAGTAACAAAAACAGTCACACAAGCACTAAGAGAGAAAAATACAGTCAATGCTTCGACTTCTATCTACATCATCAGTGACTATTGTTGTTAAAAGCTCTCGTAAGTTGATGACAACGCGATCAACGTTCGCGCAATAAAACACAGACAGCCGTTATGAGAACTGTTGCAGAGATACTTACCGTGATAAGATTCCAGGTCTTTGAGTCCTCCGCAATTCTCTCTGACACCGCAGAACACCCCGCTCCAAGTAAAGCTATCATTGTTGGTTCTTTGTTAATCATTTCAAAAAGAGCGCGAGAGGCATGGTCCATTCTGCACTAAATTGATAAAACAGTAATCAGAACAGTTATTTAGTTTCTCAGACAACCACAAGTTGAGGAAAACTGAATTTAAATTTTTGAGCGAAGGCATGTTGCAGTAGGATTTTTTATTAAAGAAAAGACAAAACAAAAGCCTTGGTTATGTTTAAATTTTCCTTATCCTATTCAATACTTTTAAAGCTCATGAAATTTTATCCTGTATCGAGAAGGGACATCCAAGTTGATTATTAGGGGAGGGGGGATTTCCCCGTTCCTTCCTTCTGTTACTCACGTACAATTTACCCTTTGTCCCAGTGGGTTTTAAAACTCGACTGAAAAGTAAGCAAACAACCATCAGGTGTACTTGAATTCGTTTTCTCTCACAAGTGATCTGAAAGAAGCTTCTTTTTTTATGCATTGTTAGTTACAATGGAATACTGATAAGTACCATAAAAATCTGCACCGACCGGGGAAATTTTCAAGGTCAGTAAACACAACACCAGTGTATGAGTATTATCCAACATAGAAACTTTGCACAAACATCGAATTGGAGTATATGCTTTAATAAAGGGAGTAAATTTCTAAAGAAAACTGTGGTGCTGCTTCGGTGGGAGAATATAACAAGGTAATTTGGTATTATCAACTGAGTTGTAATAGCATTGATAACATAAATTAACCACCGTTAGGAGTTTCAGAGCCGACGTTTCGAACGTTAGCCCTTTGTCAGAGCGAAGGACGAAGGGCAAACGCTCGAAACGTTAGCTTTAAAACTCATAACGGTGGCTAATATACGTTATCAACTCAGTTGATAATATCAAATTACGTTGTTCTAAGTCTTCATATCCTGCATGAAATCGTTCAGTTGGCGCAGAGGGAGATAGCGGCCATAGCAACCTAGGTCACTGGTTTACAGGAAGGGGTAATAGATATCTGCGCCCTGCGAGAATGTTGCACCTTAGGCACGAAATCGGTAAGAGCATTGCTAAGGCAATTAAAATAAGCTTATTTCCATCGAAGACATTAGCTAGGTTTTCAGAACTGAGCTTATAGAGACAATTAATTAACTTAGAAATCAGACAATGGCAACCTTCAGGAGTATTTACAATAGAGCATGATATGGACACTAAGCAGATTATTGGATTATTGGAGTTATAACTCTGTTTGAAAACTTAAAAGTCTGTTCTCAAAGTTCAACTTGATCGATGACGTATCCAGGGTACTTTACGGTGGTGTTAATACGGTTCCGAGTATATAGCTAATTTGTTGTCATTTATGAATGTAAAATGACAAGCTTTGTATATTTTGTATCACAAAGTGTTACTATCTTTGTTGACTTTGGCCAAGACACAGATCAAAGTCAGAGTTTATATTTTAGGTATACAAGACAGTAAATTCATTCTAAATACGTTCTGTTGTTGTGATATATGCCAAGATATTCACCATTTTGCAAAGTGAATATTACTCAAGGTATCCTTCATTCGGGACTTGAAGCCAACACCGTGTTTTCTCTAGCTAGACTTAACACATTCGTGTGAGAATACCGCCTACCTTTGTATCATTTGCGTGAAGCTGTAAGCTATAGCCATTCGGTAAGACTTTTTGTTTTTCCACATCTTCTACGGCCATGGAAACGGCCGCCCGAATAAACTCGCCTTTCATTGAGCTCTTGCTTCCATTAGACAATCCAGTGAAGGGAAAGAAGCCGCCAATATGAAGAGTTTGAAGAGCAAACGTTTCTTGCGCTATAAAGATTTTTGCTACTTCGAGATACAGGAATGTCACGAGAATACTAGTGGAGATCATTACTTTGGCGAAAGAAATCTCATGAGATAAATTGATTAGTAGTTCGAATGGTGAAATCAAATGTTCTCGTCCTTAGCAAAATCTCGAATTATATTAGCTCAGATATGAAAGCCTGCACTGTTGAAATCAACTTTGTTTTCGCATGAACTGTTTACAAAATTAGTACGCAGAATGTAACGACGCTTATGTACGTTCGTTAAGCCTTTTTGACATGTTAATGTGGCGAATATGACAGGATTTGTTTACTTAAGTCGAAAGGTCGCGTCAAATGGGGTCCATTGAGTGAACAGTATTTAACCGATATTTCCGATGAGCCCTTCCTTCCTTCCCTCCCTACATCCTTCCCATCTCTAACCACCTCGCCCCTGGCTCCTTCCACCTCACTTTCCGACCTTTCTCCCTCACTCTCTGGCTTCCTCGTTCCCGTTCTGGTTCCCTCTGTTGTCTCCTTCCAGCTTCCTCCTTTCATGACCCCAATTCATTTGTAAGAAGACGGTTTATGCAGTGGCACATAGTGGGTGAACTGCTACCATTCAAGGTATCGTAACGATGGTTACAATCTTTACTTGATTTATTGATTTCACTTTGATATCATTTTAAGCAAACAACCGGAAAGACTATTATTGCAACTAAAATCAGATATTTTATAAAAATATATCTAATGATAAAAGAGCGAACAACCACTGATACGATAACACTGTGCTTAAATTAACATTTTAAATCTTCAACCAGACAAGCCAGATTTTTTAAAAAATATTTTGGCTGGGGCGAGTGGTCTTTAGGGAAGTGACTCTTCCTGGACGTGAGTATATCGATAAAGTTTAATTACAAATTGCTTGCTAAAATTTACGAAGTATAAAAAAGCTACTGGCGAGCTATTTCAGTCGGGGGAATACAAAACCCTGTATGGAAATAAGTATCAAGTAAGTACGTATACCCGTGTGTCAAAAGTACATCTCGCAATTTTGGAGAAAACCACGATGTTTTAGCGTGAAGGAAATCACAAATATTGGTTCAGTAAAATATAAAAACAACTTAATATGAAAAAAAAATCATTAAGGAAATAAAATGGCTGGGATAGAGAAAATTGACGAGGATTAAGAATTTCAAATTTAAAAATCTGAGCCCTAAAACTTGTTATGCATAATTACTTTTAGCGTGATGGAAACCACAAAATACAATTTCATTAAGATAGCTGAATAACAAAACATGGAAAATAAACCATGAACGAGAAGGGATGGTCAGGAATGGAGAGGCTTGACGCGGATTATAAAAGTTGTACTTAAAAATTTTCAGGCACACAAATCGCGAAGAAACTACTGCTGAAAAAATTGTAGTCGACTGCAAGCAGTCTCTCGATTTCATGGCTGCCCAACAAAACTTTACAACAGATCTCCATTTAAAAATGAAGTAAGTGATTGACCTTTATGAGCTGAAAATAATGACGAGTCTGTAACTGACAAAGAGCTTGAGATGCTATAATCAAGAAAGTAGACACCATTTTAAAGACTCTGAAGGATGGAATCTTCCTGGAATGACAATAAATTCTGCAAACAAGCCATCGCATCCAGAGGTATTTCATCTGACGGCCTCTAAATAATAAACTCTTCTTTCACTTTTCTTGCTTCGCAAATATTTACATAAGAGAAGTCAACAAAAGACTGAAGATTCAGATAACCCTGGAATGAATATAAAAAAAAGACAGTCTGTTTCAGAGAGGATAAAATTGGAAAGGGAAAGACAAACCAGAGAGTATTATCTTAATGGGACTCGTAACGATCTTTAATTGTGAAAGCAGTGCTTTTTTGCTACAGTCATGTTGGCAGGATAATGAGAGTTTCTGTCAATGTAAACTCCAACGCAAATCTACTAAATTCGCAATTTATCGTGTTACTGATTACTAAGTACAACAGTTCGAACATTTGGAAGATACTTGGCATGTTTTGAGCCTTCTTTTGTTAAAAAAAATTAAAGTTACTGTGGTTAAGTTATCATCTCTTGTCATGCTATCTTCTTATAATGTTGCCGGCCACGCTACCCCTAACTGCTCAGTGCCAACTGAAATTTATGGTTTTTCTCTGATTATGCAATTTTCGAGCCTCATTTATTTAAGTCATTATAATTGAACGTTCTGGTTTTGTTTGCAATAAAATTGAACCCAATACCGTTTGTTCCTTTTCAATTTTCTCCAAGGCCTCCTGCAAAGTCCCAAATGTTGGTCGCTTTTTAGGATCTTCGTTCCAACAAGAAAACATGACTGAAAATCTAAAACACGAAGACGTGAAAGGTCTGTAAATATGTATTACATCAACGAATACCAGGTTATAGGTTATAGAGTATTCCCGTACAACTGCAATTATTTTTAAGGAGTATCACGCGACAAAGAAGAAGTCTCCTCACATTTTCGGTACATGCAAGCTCCTATATTGCATTAGCGCAAAAAAATAAAAAATTATGAAATAAAAAAAAGGATGACTCGCAAAAGTCTAACTTATTCACAATAATAATTAACCGTCTTATGAAACCTGTGCTTTATCAATGGTGTGAATTGACACAGTGCATGCGTAACTGTGAGTCTGACACATTTTTTTTGGCTCTAAAATTCAAATCCACAATCCAATAGGTCATTGTATCATTTTGATGCTCAACAGGATTTTTAAACTCAACTGACAAAAATTAAGGAAGGTTCAATAAACAATCTATCCTCTACGTTCTTGCAATGAGTATGGTGTATGTTTGTACTAACAGTTCCTTATCCAGTTGCCTTGGGCGTCGCATTCTGAATCCCTTCTCTAGTAAGTTCGCGATGTCACGTGCCTTAATTCCCGGATATGGTTCACCACCTAAACGAAAAAACAAAAAGCAATCAGTAAAGTAAGACCAGTTTGGTTTCTAATAATAATGACATTTCTTTCATGCCAAGACAAAGTTATGACGATTTTTATTAATGGAGCAAATCGATTGAAGATTTCTTAATAGAGGTAACAGCTGCTTCTTATCCATAAAGATGTCAAGAGGGCTTTTACATAAGACGCCATGGACAATTTCCGAATATTTGTTACCCACTTCCCAAATTCTAGAAGATATCATATTACAAGCGACCTCGTTTCTGTGAGCCTTCTCACCTAAAGTGAAAATTTCATACAAGACGATTCCATAACTCCACCTGAGGAAAGACGAATCTAAATGAGTAACAGAACCATGCACGAAAACAAATACGGACCTTAAAGGCACACGAAATGAGTCTTAAAATCATCAAGACCTGAGCTATACAGAAGCAACAACGCGTCAACGGTATTTTATTTTACACCATACCACCATCTGAATTGCCAAATATCGTGCCGGGCTAGATCATGTATTTGCAGATCTTTTTAAACCATAGCCCCGGCTATTTATCAACACAAACAAATATATTTACTTAAACATAAGTGGATCCCTCACATGGTTGGTTTAACGACGTCACGTGTTATTGATCGACAAGGTGGACGTCGTTATCCCCTATCATATTTTGAATGTGCATTAGCCGGCATCACAGTGAGTTGATGTCGCAGTCATGACACATTTTTGGTTATCACAACTTTACAGAGCAGAACTTGAGAATGATGTAAAATTGAAACTCACACATCACTCTGGGTGGTGTATATGCCATACGAGAGAGCCTCGTACGCTGTCCATTTGGCTGGTATCCGCCCCTAATGCGATGAAGACACAGCAATTTGATTTGACTTAAATTAACCAAATACCCGTCTTACAAATCAAGTTATTCTGGGCTAGTGACCTAAACTGCCTGAGCTTACGTCATTGTGAATTTCATCCACCATGGTTAACAATATTCACCCCACCCCCACCCCTCTCTTCCGTGGCCAGTCGTTTCACTGAAAATGTGTTGGCACTCATTTTGTAATCCTGGGTGGAAAGAGGCCCTTTGAGAGATGAGTCTCTTGCCCAAGAACACAACACAAAAACAAGATGGGGCCTTGACCCCGGAGACGTCGAATGAAAGACCGACGTACAAGTCGATAGAACAGCTGCTTTCTCATATTCTCGTTCATATTGTTATTGCACCAGAATGAACTGATTGGATTTTTATCGATTACCCCGGCTTTCATGGTGTAAATGTTACTTCCTTGCACATCCCTGGCCATTCCAAAATCTGTGATTTTGCAAACATTGCCATCTGCAACCAGAACATTGCGGGCAGCTAAATCACGATGAACAACCTAAAGAACGAAACAAGAACACATTTTGAAGATAAAGGTAAAGAAATATAGAAAGATGTTTTTTCGTCTTGTCACGAGCGTGGGATAAAGAAAAAATTCTGAGTCCCCATGAGGAATTCCTCATGGGGACTCAGAATTTTTTCTTTGTTCCACGCTCTTGACAAGACAAAAAAACATCTTTCTATAAGAACATATTTTGTTGTCAACTATTATATCATTTCACCCTTTTTCAAACAATTTTGAACGATGATCATTTTAGATGAAGGAATTTTTTCTGGTGACTGTAAATCCGGTTTTTGGTTAAAAATTAACCACCTCTGTTTCCCCCGTCACACGTCACTCCTCCGACTTTGCTGATTCTGACAATAGACATCAGGAAGGGGAGACAGCGAATTCAAAGGGTAAGAGCTTCATACCCAAGGGGTCCCTGGCTCGGATCTCACTCCGATCATCAGATGGATCTGTTCCTCGATAGTCCTGGGTTCAGCTCCTCGACCAAGATTGTTTACACCCAACTGGTAAGCCAGTTGAGGTTTTTCATCATGTTTTGTTCCATTAATGTGGGTCACGGGCTTATCATTGCATGTGTCTGCTACTATCAAATGTCATCCTTTATAAATAGAGCCTATCATTATAATTATTAATACTTTTTTTATCAACATTATTATTATTATTATTATTATTTTATTTATATCATCATCATCACAGGAAGCTGAACATCGTTAGACTGATAGTTTTCTGTGCAAAAAGTAACGAGGCATCTTCCCCTTAGAGCAAGGCTCCATCCATCTACCGTCAGTAGATACTCAAAGTTATTTATTTTTCACCTTATTTTCGCACAGGAAGTTCATTCCACTCGCAATCTGCCACGCAAACATCATCAGTTTCTTGGCGGTGACCCTGGTCAGTTTTTTACAGGTGTTATAATACGTGTCAGGAAGGCCTCGACTTTTAAGAAGATAGCCCAGCAAATCGCCATGGGAGGCGAACTCCACAATCACCAGAGGATTTACTGTTGTATTAGATAATTTACATCAAAAGTTGAACAAAGAATGCCGAGTATCATGGAATCATAACTCGTTATAAATTTCTGGAGACTTGCATCTCCCCTTCGATCATTCAGGTAATGTCTGGTAATGTAAAAGTGTTCAGTGCCTAACGTCATGCATGCATTTAAGAAAATAAGGGTTTCGACGGGGTTCGTCGAGGTTGGAACCCTTGCCTTCCAAATACCTTCCAAAAGAACCTTAATGCTCTTTGTACATGTAGTTCTCGGGGTAAAATACAAGATTATTTTGCAAGCTTCTGGCCTGGCTGTTCCGCTGTGAGTACAAAATTAACACTGCTATTATATGTACCAGATGTGGTGACACAGCCTAGAAGAGTCACGACATGTCGATGGTGGGGGAGTTTCTTCATAATTGACAGCTCTGACAACAGGTCTCGTCTGTCCGACTCCTCAGCATCCTCTAAAGAAAGATGAAAAGACTGAGATTTGTGTTTCATGTGTCCCCTACGTACACTGGGAGAGAACTGATGAACATCCTATTCAGGCGAGGAGAGAGGGGCAAGATGACCACTCCTATTATATAACTTTAAGAACCCTTCAATATTTAACTCCCAAATTAAGACTTTTTGAAAATTATACATGGCAACACAATCAAATATTCCCTCTAATTTGTTTCATCGTTTTTAAGTATGTATATAATGATCTATAAAAACTCTAGAAACTCACAATTTTTCAGTTTGACTGGGTTAGGTTGGCCCGAAAGGGTAAGTATCCGGCTTTCAATCATGACTTACAGACTCCTTCGACCCTCCCACTCAGGCAATAAGTACGCAATATTTCTCAGGAAATGCTAGCGTTATGAACTCGCCAACCTTTAAGCATCTTCACTGCCACTTCTGTCCAGTTAGCCTTCCCAGCAATTTGTAAAGCCAGTCCTTTAGCAACCTGTCCAAATGCTCCCTGGCCAAACACCTCACGAATTTGCAGTCTTGTTTTTGGAAACTCCCACCGACTCGAACGACGGGCTCGTGGAAACAAAGTAGGTGGGGAGGTATCAACTATCTCATCTTGTTCAGCTCTAGTATCCTCCTAATTTTAAAAAATGAGGTTAGCTTAAACGGAAACCTCCTGGGAGTCTTTTGAACGCTTTTTCTGTTCTATACAGAAATCATCTTTTGTTTCTATCAAGATTTTACGTCTTATTCTCTTTTTTGTTACATTCTTCTTTTTATTTTTAATTTCTTGTAGTTGTTAAGTTCCTGTTATCTGTTACACTACGTTTTCCATCCCAAATTGACAAATTTCTTTACTTTTATTATGTCCAACTAACGGTAAACATCCTGTTCTCGTGACTGATTTTGCGAACTGAACCAACATCTTCCTACCTCAACTTCTCCCTGTATCTGTGCTGGTCTGGGTACATGTGTCAATTCAACCTCTCTTTGCCTGAAAATAAATTAACGCAATGATGACGCTGAAACCTTGAGATATTCAATCGAAATAAACTTCCATGAAAGCCATCGTTGGATCAAAGTTATAAGAGATCTACAAGGTTAGCATTTGGTTGTTTCCGGCCAACAGTAAGGATGGGAATAGAACAATAGTAATGACCAGCCTGTAACTATACGTGTCCCCAAACTGTGCCGTATACAGTCATTAGATATTATTGGTCTGAAAAGCTGGCAACATAAAGGACGAAGATATGGGTGCTGCAGTTTAGAGTAAAAGCTCTCTAAGCCTGCGAAATCTCTTGTTTTCTGAGTAGACATTCTGACTGGATACGTTAAAGAGAAGTTTCCATACGCCATTCAGTTAAAAATGATTGGAAAGTTATAGAAGGTTTTCACAGTCAGGTCCATGAAAGTTAACAATAACCTATTGTAAAGACTGGCGTTACGAGCGTTTCCAACTGGTATACCTTTACTTACCATGAGGATTGCCAAACGTAACATTAAACGTTACGCTCTACCTCTGAACTGTCGTGACTTTAAGGAGTCATTAACAAATACTTTGGTACTCTTTAACAATCTTACCTCTGATTAAGGCCTTGCTCTGAAATATTCACAGCACCAAGAACAGTCAACCGAATAAAAAGGAAGGAAAAAAGAAGATAAAAACCATAAAAAGAAAAGCAAAAAGGTTTTGATCTCTACATGCAAAGTTATAAGTTTTTAATTATAAATGAGCTATTGAAACCGTATCAGATCTCAAAACTAAACATTTTTCAGTAGCTTTACTCTGCCTAAAAACAGGAAACAGAAACAATGAAACAGAAACTGATACTGTCTTTCTTTAAATGCTACACTTTGCCTGAAAGCCAGCACTCTTTCTGGAAAAATGATGAAACAGAACTAAAGTTTTGTTCAATGACAAATATGTTAAATGATTCATAACACAACAATGAAGATGCAACTGAAACATGAAATTACAAATAGGATCTCACTTGCAACATATTTGCTCACATTGTATCATTATCATCGCATTGATCTGATGAATGATGATGAAAATAAGAAACAAATTTGAAGAAATACCAGTCAATTTACCCTTTTCATCTTTTCCTTTCCGCATTTTCCAGCAGAACCCAAAAATGATTACCGAAAGGACGACAATTACAATTGCTGAAGTTATCGTAAAAATCAACAAGGCGGCAAAATGGTCTGGTTTTTTGGAACGAGGAAGATCACCCATGTCTGACCGCTTTGGACTCACCGCCATGGCTAAAATGAAAACAAAAATAAAATAGAATTGGGATTTAAAGGTTGCTACGATCTTGTGGTCTGATTGCTCTTCAATGGAGGACACGTGAGTTTCATTGACATTACCTGAGGTCGATACACCCATAATTATATAATTATCAATTTTAGAATAGTTCAACATGAGATTAACTACAAATGGCAAATTACTAGTTTTTTAAAAGGGTTCATTTAAGGGTTTTTTAGGAAAATTGTATAAAATTAGAGTTAATTTAACTGTCGTCAGCTAATGCCATAAAAAGTTAAAACATAACTTTTGTTTGATGTTTGAAAAAACTTCTGTGTCTGATAATTTCCTTAATTTTTTCATCTAGAGTCCTAAACTAGTAAAGAGATCGATGCATTTAACCTTTGGTTGACACAAGGGCCACCTCAGTGTTAGCTTCATCAAAGGTAGTAGTAGTTTGAGTACTTGTCGACGGCATAATACCGAGCCAAACGAAAAAAAACTAAAGAAAAACAAACCAAACAGACACAAAACGAACAAAGAGGCATGAAAACTAAAATACTTTATAACACTATTTTGACGCGGTTGTTAAGACGAGTTTAATTATAAACGCAAAGTTTCCCATAGATATTCTTAAATGTTTGGATAAAAAGTTATCCCTAATACACCGTATAGCACAATTTTTGCCACGGTTGTTTAGAGGAAAGTTTTGCGATAGAGTTTGGTGAGGTTGTCTCAAAGTAATTCCTAATATCAAAAAAAAGAAATCTCTGTCTGATAATATCTTTAATTTTTTCATCTGAAATATCATCTCTCCCCATTATTATCATTCCTGAAAAGTCATAAGCTAATAAAGAGATCGATGCGTTTAACCTTTGGTTGACAAAAAGGCCGCCTCAGTGTTAGCTTCATCCAAAGTAGCAGCAGTTTGCGAGCTTGTCGACAATATAATACCTAGCCAAACGAAAAAAAAAAACCTAAAGAAAAACAAACCAAACACACACAGAACGAACAAAGGGGGAAAGAAAGCTAAAATACTGTATAGCCCAATTTTGCCGTAGTTTTTGAGACGAGTTTTATGCAATATTAAGTTTGGCAAAATTAACATATTGTATAGCGCAATTTTGTCAGGGTTGTTGAGAAGAGATTTTTACGATACAGAGTTTGGTGAAGTTATCTCAAAGTCGATTCTTAGTATGGCAAAAAAAAAAGAAAATCAAACAAAAATTGAAAGGTTTCTCTTGGACCACAAATAGACGTGGGATTATAAAATAGACGACTGCTAGATTCCTCGTAAAAAAATTGATTAAACTCAGGTATACCGTTTATATTCAAACAAAATATGAATATAAAGATATTTTATTTCTCAAAATATATGATTATTTACTGACCCTTACCAGTGGTTTTCGGCTGCATATCAACATGTGAAGGTGAAGGTTTGTATGTTGACTTCGCTAAACATAAAAAAAGTAATAATAAACCTAACTGGAAAACCTTTTACCAGAATTGACAAAGATACCTTCTTTTGCAAATTTTTAAACCCTAACCGTAAGCGAAATTCTTCGAGTGACATATATTTCGAGTAACGTTTCAGAATCTAAAGATTAAGCTAACATGTTGAAAATTATATTCGAACGCGTGCATTTGGAAGCCTGTTTTATTTGAAGCTTTGATTTATTATTCCTTTGACACCATTTTCCTTAAATGATCATATTCGGTCATTTTTGGATCGTTTAACGAACTTATATTTATCACAGCTGATAAGCTTTTAGATCCTAGACACCGCCATTTGCCACTTGCTTGTGACGTAACAATCTTATTCCTTTAAATTTTCTTCCATCCCTTGACATGATAAAAAATGAATGGTTTGAGGAGCAAACTCCCTTTTAACGAGCTTTTATGTTATACCAGTAATTACCTGCCACAGTTACCATTAATTTCGACTGTGTCATCACCACTTGTCTTGATCCATTTCTGGAGGGAAGTATAACTTTCCAAGAAAGTTTATACGACTGGGCATCTGAGATTCTTACATCTTGAATTACAAAGGATATCTTTCCTTGGCTCGCTTCGCCTGTCCATCTAACTCGTCTGCCGTAATGGATTGATTTCGTGATACCAATCCAGAACCTTTCAGGAGTGTAGTAGACCCATGCAATTCGCGTCCTGTCTGTTACTGTATGTAACTTAAGCGTCCACGCCAGCATACCTACTGAGTGATTCCCACGAACACGACATGACCATTCCAGCGTTACATCGGAACCTATGGTTGTTACCACATTTCCTCCATCAGCTCGCTTGATGTAAATTTCAGCACTAGAATATTTGATTGACCCTGAAAATTTACAATAAAAAAAAATGCTAATGCAAATACAGAATAGTGGAACAAGTGGCATAACACAAGTGGCATAACACAAGTGGCATAACACAAGTGGCATAACACAAGTGGCATAACACCATTCCAGCGTTACATTGGAACCTATGGTTGTTTCCACATTTCCTCCATCAACTCGTTTGATGTAAATTTCGGTGCTAGAATATTTGATAGACCCTGAAAATTTTCATTAAAAAAATGCTAATGCAAATACAGTATGTTGGAGCAAGTGGCATGACATAAATTTTACAGAAAATAATTTTACAACCATTGAGGTTCACTCAAGCACGAATGCTCCAATTAAGGGAAAAATACTAACACGGCGAAGTGTGCTCATTAAATTGCACGTTGTACCGGCGTAATAAGACCTAATAACCAACTTGGAATGTTGAAAAAACGCAAGAAAAGTTTGTTTATCACGAGCTGGAGACGAGTAATTCAAAAACTTTTCAAATGGCCAAAATTTGTTCACAACATTTTGTTCATTGTGGTGACAATATCGTTGTCGATAAGAGTCGATAAGACCGCGCTAAACCACTGACGATTTGTTAATCTAAGTCAGTGCCAGGTTTTTTTCAACAAACTGTAACCAGGATGTAATTGTCATTTTACTGGGCGTAATTGACGATGCCTCTTCGCCTGGTCATATGATCTTACAATGTGAGTGCCACTAATAATCAACAGGAAGTGATATTTTTTTTCTTCGTTTTTTTTTTTCCTGTTTCAGTCAAAGAATTTTACAAAGAAGGCCCCGAAAGGGCCGAGCTTGCATGATCACGACAAATTCGTTACAAGCTCTCATAAGGAAAAACCCACTTTCGAAGGAATGGGCTCCGACTATTGCCAATTTCAGCTCCCATCAAGATTTTTACGAACTCAGTAACGAAATGCAAACGAGTTAAAGAAAAATAGAGATTATTTTGCTACTTGAATGTCAATGAGGCATCTGGTCTCTTCGATTCGACAATTAATTGCCTGACAAGAAAAATACCGTATTTGGAAAGGTTCAAACTGCTTTGATGAGGGCTGCTCACAAGTTGACAAAGGTTAGATCATCCACTCAGAGATGATACATTCGATATTTGTTTTACTGTTATAAATTTGAATTTCAAACGATTCCGCAGGAGTTCCTATTGTCTCTAACTTTATGAGATTACAATGTTTCCGGTCGTTTTCCTCTAAACGTACAATAACAGCTGAAGCAGATCGAATCTATGATCAGAAATAACAGGAAGTCACTAGATAATGAAAAGTGAAAGCAACTAGGAGTGGCCGCCTGAATAATTCACAGTCACTTGGGCATACTTGGAAGATACAAAAATAATTTGTCTGTTACATTTCGTCTTTCGGGCTCATGAAAAACATTGCCACAAATCGTTGGAAACTGAAAGTATATTCTGCACAAAAGACGCCCCCTCTCTTCGCTGAAAACATTTACCTTTCATGCTTTTGTTTGTGCTCATGCATGTTGTTGTGTCACTCTGCTAATAACGTTTCTTAATGATTATCTCTTTATCACAAATATATTGGGACTGAATTCAAAACAAAGGGCGTACTTTAGTGGTTGTACAAGTACTTAAATGTCTTATACTTTCCTATGATAATTTTAATACTTGTTTAAATGATTCTCGGAACCAATTTGCTTTTCTTTCTTCAATCCTACTCGTGCGACTTAGGAAGAAAGATAAACGGCTCGTCTTGAATGCGCTCAGCTTGTCAAAGGACATACCACATTTGTGTACAGTTGTATACTTAGAATGTTATAAGTACTCTCCCTGCTTCAAGGAAATTCTTCTAGTCGTATGGAGACTAGTGTTGCTCAATAGAGCTGGTCTTTTAGTGGCATCCTTAACAAGATTTTCAGTGTCCCTCCTTATAAACAATTAGCCATATGCGTTTACATAACAGTGAGTGTTTGAGAACTAAAACAATCTATTCATTTTACTAACCTGCACATTCAACGAAGGCTGAGTGGGAAAACATGCAGAGCAAGACACAACAGATGATGATGCGAAAGACCATCTTAGCTACGATTACGTTCCTCAATTTAGTTGTCTGTCTCCAGTCTAAGAGTCAGTTAAAGTGGTCCAAAGCTTATGTACAAATGGGAGTTCTTGTGCCCATTCCCTCACCGCGAGCATTCCTGATTTTGCCTTGAGGGCTGGCTTATTCAAATTTTCTGGGAATTTGGGAGGCTTTAGGCTGTCATCGTTGAGTATTGGAAACTAAGGATCGATCGTTACAGAGCTGAGACAGCTGGTACGGAAATAGAATTAGTCCTTTGTGATTCCATAGGAATCACGAGTAAATTTATTTATGCATAGCTTGAAAACATTGTTCAGAAAATTCAATGGAAGGTATATTCTCAAACGATTAAAACTGTCTCTGGTTTATAATGATCGCGAGGTTGAGAATGCATTATCTCTCCAGTATTTCCGGTTATTCTTTTTATTTTTAGCGCGTGAACACTCCACCTATAAAAAAAACCGCATGACATATTGTGAGAGGAAAGAAATTGGCACGCTTATTGATACCTTCCGAGAATTTGTTTCGAGTGTTTTAAAGAAATAGCGTTTTTGCTTAAGGGCGTGGTGTGATTTGAAAGTGAAATCAAACTAATTTGCTTCCCAGAAATACTAGTAAAGCTCATCGCTGAAATTCTCGACACTACCGTTCGAATTGTTTTTCGCTAATTAGTAACACAAAAACACTATGTAATTTCGTAGTTTTCCACACCATTAATTTGATGATAAAAGAATCTTTGGTAAATTGTAACCAAGAAGCGTTGAAACAAATAATTAGACTGATCGTTGGTAACTTTACCATAGTTTAGCCGACGAAGTCCCACGCAGAGAATCAGAAATAGGTTTTCGCGTGATTGAAGAAATGTAAAATGGTTTCCGTGTTTACATAGCTTGATGTAAACACGTGGGAGGTTGGGAGAACACGAGATAAGCGTAGGAAACCACGACGCGAAGCGGAGTGGTTTCCAGCTTATCAAGTGTTCTCCAAACCTCCCAAATGTTTACATCAGGCTATGTAAACACGGAAACCATTTTACATTTCTTTTATAAAATTACTAATGAAAGAGGAACGAAAACCGTGTTTCATGACGAGCTTTGCTCAAGAAAAGAATTCACACCAGGGATGCGTAAAATGATCCATAGGCTTGTCAAAGTAAAGCGAGAGGGCTCAATTAGCAAGTGAAAGCGAGGTGTTTGGCTTCGAGCGTGAAATTAATCGAAGTTAACAATTAAAATGTAAACAGGCGCGAGGATCCGCGCGGCTTGCGCGTTAGGAGTGCTACGTAAATTTAGGACTCTTTTGCACAATTTTCTCTTTAGAAATAACTACGCATTCATGGCGTGAATGGCAATTTTCATAATTGTAGAATGATTCAGCGATAAGAACAGCTTAGCTAAGCCGTAGTGTGTCATGGCATTTGAGGATAGCCTGGTTGTAGTGTGTGACATGACTATCAAGTAACAATTGTTGTACCCAGCATGTTTTGTCCGTGATCTACAGATCTATTGGTTTGTGACGCAAAGAGCGATTATCTGTTCTGTCACGACAATACCAAAATTGAATTGTGTTAGCCAACTTATATTTCACTCTGATCAGACCTTTGACTCTAAGTCAGCATGGAGGCCGGTGAGCCGCTCGGTAAGGACCTTGTTTTCAAGAGAGATTTCGACTGCAGTATGTTCTGGAGATACAAGAGTATCATTTAACACTTGAAACGATTGGGTAGATATTTTGATAATACTTTTCTGGCGTCCATACTAAGGAGCTCTTTCAGTATAAAATATCATTTTAGTAAGTCTCAATCATCAGGTAAGCGCGGGAACTTATCCCGCGAAAATTCTGTGCGAAGGTACGAGTGTATTCGGCGGTATCTGCGGAAAGGGGCCATCGTTCTTTCCTTAAGGTAAGGTCTTAACTGTGTATTACTTCGCGAGGAAGAAATTCTACTCGCTGGCCTGTCCAATTTGGCTTTTAGGTAAGGTTGTATGCCTGATAATTTCTTTCTAGAGCTATATGATGACGCGCGATAAATCTCGCTGCTTAATAACCTTTGAGCGGAAAATGATGATGCCGAAACCATTTAATCAGTAAAGCAAGGTTTACCTTTACTTCTGTGCTTTCGAAGCAAGAGAAGGAATTATTTCTGTGATAGTCAGGTGACAGATGCTTAAAATCACATGGTGTATTATCCAACTGTTGAAACCTAACATGAGCCAGATGAACTAATTATGGAATGAACCCTGACATCAGAGCTCAAATATTCCTTCCCTATAATAAGACGCACTCTTAGCAGGTTAGTGTGTTTTCTTACTAATCGTACTGTACTGTTTCGCAGTTTCGAAAGCAGAATCCTAAAGATGCTCTCGTTCTTTTGTTATTTCTTACCCACTCTCTCGGGTAATCAGTCTTTAGTTCCCTGACTTATCTCCGTGAGGGAAGAACCTTCATTTTTTCATTTTTTTCCCGGTTTTGTCATTCGTATGTGAGTTGTTGTTTTCTGAAGGCAGAACCTTTCCTTTTTTTTTCACCTGGTTCTGTCTCTCTTGGGTAGTCAGTCCTGTTTGGGCTGTAGTTATCTGAAGGCAGAACCTTTCCTTTTTTTTCCACCTGGTTCTGTCTCTCTTGGGTAGTCAGTCCTATTTGGGCTGTAGTTATCTGAAAGCAGAACCTTTCCCTTTTTTTCACCTGGTTCTGTCTCTCTTGGGTAGTCAGTCCTATTTGGGCTGTTGTTATCTGAAGGCAGAACCTTTCCCTTTTTTTCACCTGGTTCTGTCTCTCTTGGGTAGTCAGTCCTATTTGGGCTGTTGTTATCTGAAGGCAGAACCTTTCCTTTTTTTTCCACCTGGTTCTGTCTCTCTTGGGTAGTCAGTCCATATGGGCTGTTGTTATCTGAAGGCAGAACCTTTCCCTTTTTTTCACCTGGTTCTGTCTCTCTTGGGTAGTCAGTCCTATTTGGGCTGTTGTTATCTGAAGGCAGAACCTTTCCCTTTTTTTCACCTGGTTCTGTCTCTCTTGGGTAGTCAGTCCTATTTGGGCTGTTGTTATCTGAAGGCAGAACCTTTCCTTTTTTTTTCACCTGGTTCTGTCTCTCTTGGGTAGTCAGTTCTATTTGGACTGTTGTTATCTGAAGGCAAAATCGTTCCTTTTTTTATGTGGTTGTGTCTCTCTTTGGGAGTTGTTTCAATTTAGACTGTGTGTTTTCATCTTATGACAAACTAATTTTGAGTATGAATTGCGACATAATTAAATTTACTTGTCTTAATTTTTTTTCCTTTGCAGATTTCATTGAACGTTAACCGCGAAAAGTCGTGATGAAAAAGCAATGTTTGTTTTCATAAAAAAAGATAGTTTTCCTGTTGAGATGACTAACCAAATAAGTGCACGTTCCGTTGACTGGTAATTTTTACGTCGATGTTGTGTTTGCCTTGGTGGTGTCTGTCCTCAAATCCCGTGATGTTTCAATTAAAAATAAATAACGAGTTTAGGAATAAAATTACCAACGAGTAAAATATCGCTTCTCGTAACATATTAAATTGTATTTACATTTCCAACTCTTGCTTCAGACACGAGATGTAGAATCGGTCATAGATTGTAAAAGAGATTTGTGAGTAAAGAACTTTTTCTACTTGTCCTTTTTTATTTTCTCGCAGCCTTATACAAGAGGTTCGCTGTGTTCGCAGTGGCGCGCCAGGAAACCCCAGCAGGAAAATTTTTTTAAAGATTTTACTCCTTTAATGATCTCTTTAAAGTATATTACTCTCTTAGCATTTAACCAATTATATGGTTGCGGCGGAGGGTGCAAAAAAACTCCGTTATATATTTCTTTACAGGCCAATATTATCGGAAAAAACCCAAACAAACAAACAAAATGAGGTCTGTTGCGCTGTGTGATCCATGAGTGTTCTCATCGCGGTTAGGGCTTGCTGTTGCTTGCGGTATTATTTTCCGGAGTGGACATACCATTACTATATTTTTGTTAGCGTTTAAAAATCGGAAATACATGGTTTTGGTAAAAAACTTCATCTTTTTCAACTCTTAACGACTGTCGAGTTGTGTGTATCAATAGAGTGGGTCAGCAAATTTGCATTCTATGTTGCGCAAGGGGCAAGAGAAAATGGTTGACTCCCCGCGAGTGAAGCTGACGCTCCAGGTCGATGTCGATCCATTATTATCCTTCGTAAACGAAATTTCGATCATGTGGTTAAATTATAAAATTTCTTTGGCTTACACTGAGCGCTTTAAAGTAAACTTGAGTTGTTAGTTCCACGCGAGGGTTTAACCTTGAAAAATGCAATCACGCGAGTGAAGCTGACATTAACGCGTGTCCCTATCTGGAAAACATTCGTATTGTGACAAGAAGGGTCTACTTTAAGGTTTTGGGTTACTCTCGCCATGCAATTTGGACGCCGAAAAGTGCCAAAAAAGTAATTACTGAAATTTCATCCGCAACACCTCGGTCGTTCTGTGGGCGCGAAGTCAGTTCTTCTCTTACAGTTAATAATTGCCAGGCGGATCTCAGATCCGCCTCAGCCTCATTTGCATAAATTCTTTTGGTGAGCAAAGCTCGTCATGATACGCTCACGTAAAATGGTTTTATGGCCAATCAGAGCGCGCGTACTATTTGAATTATTTATAAAAACAATTGTACAATATATCCTTTACCTTTACATCTTTTATTTCTTATCAGTGTATAATTCCACTCAAGTCACCTATAATAAAAATACTTAGCACACACATGATCAATAAAGCTGTTAATAATCAGCTTTTGCTTATTTAAACATGATAAGTGGTCCCGAAAGATTTGATAATTAATAGAAATTTATTAATATTGTCTTCTTTCGCGTACAACAACCAACCATAAAAACAAACAACAGGACAGTCTCTTGAATAATTAATCGCATATCAATATTTACATCATAACTGACGAACAACTCGAGTTTGTTCAGCTTTCCCAAGGTAACATCATAACTCGTATATGGAAACAATCAAAATGACGGAAAATCTACATTTATAAATTAATAGAGTAAATTGCATCAGCAACGGTGAAATAATTCAATAAAATGATTAATATAAAATGCAGAATGGTTAATACCGATGAAATGAAATAGAACAAACAGGGTACAAATAAAAGAACTTCATGCTGTATAAAAATTAAGTATAGTAAGATAAATATGATAAAGACTGGTATTTTCTACGATGTAATAAGTTTCCAAGTAAATTCCAAACAATGCAATAAGGTTCCAGATTCATTTCGAACAAGGTAAGTCTCTCACGAGCTTATACCTCGTACATAAAGATAAGCAAAACCTTTTTTCGCGATAGCAGAAAACTATAAATCTGTAAAATGATAAAGTGAATTACATTAGTGAAATAATTCAGGAAAATGATTAACATAGAATGCAAAACGGTTAATACCAAAAATATGAAATATAATAAAGAGGTACAAATAAAACGAACTCCATGCTATATAAACTTACGGTGCAATAACATAAATAAATTATAGAGTGGTATTTTCTACAATTGAAGTGGAAAGTTTGAACGTTGACAGCTGTGATTTTAGGTGTGTCATATTCTCAGTAAAACTTTCACTGATAGCATTTAATGAAAAAAAATCAATGGGTCTTCATACAAACTTAACAAGCATGCATGTTATCTATTTTTGAAAATTATCTTGGAAAGGTTTCTCAAAATGGTAAATGAAAATTTAAACCAGACTAGGCCGAAAATTTACTTTGGCGCCCAAATAAGAATCCTTCTTTCTGGTGATTTCACAAATTTCTGTTCAGCCCGCTATTGTTTCCTTCTTATTAAACGAAATTTTAAGGTTGAAAAAACTTTGACATTTTGCACTAATCATTGGCCATGGAGAAAAATCTTGAAATCAACTGCCATTTTGAGCGATCATTTGAATAGCAATGACTTGAAAATTTTCAGTAGAAAGCCTGTAGGCCGTAGAATTTCTATCAGTGAGAAGTGTTTGTTATTGTGCCATATGAATAAGTTGGGCGTACATTTTTGTGAAATGGTCTATCATTGTGCGCTTGTCGAGGTTTCATCATCAATATAAATCTATACTTCCTAACGGACATTTTATCAGCCAGCTCTTCCTATGATATCTGATAGGAAAGTTCATTGAAACTCTAAGGGTGTTAAATATAGGTCACTTGAAGCTATCGAAGCTTAAACAAGTTTAAAAAATTAATTTAATTTTTTACAGACGAGTACAAATTTCTTGGAAATTGAAATAATATAAATTAGATATCTCGTAGACAGATCGAATCAAACGCCTGATTCAGAGCTGTTTCCGATTGAGTGTCGTAAAAACAAAAATAACGGGATCGAGATGATAAATCAAATCAAAGATAAATACTACGCGAAGCTGCCCAAATAGCTCCGGTCAACCCAAGCGCAGTGAAACGGGGAGCGGCAGTTCGTGATTCCTTTCAGCTAAGCAACTGATTGGCTACGAAGGAGGTGAAAGTTTCCTACAAGAATCGTGGATGGTACTGAGGCACGACATGTGCAGTCCCAGATTTTTATCGACACTCAATTAAAAGTTGCTCTTATAACAAACGCTTTTGAGGTTGCATACTACAGTTGAACTCAAGTCAAGACTCGTTATCAGTCAAGAAAAAAAATTATAAATGCCAGACAAGATAAACACTTTTGCCTACAAGGTACTGATTTTGTTTTAATGTCCTTCCCATGGATAATTTTCTTCATCTCCTCAGTGTTACAATGAACTACATTTTTTACTGTAATGTTCTCGGTTTTCTTATTTTCTAGAGGGGAGTTCGTGTTCTGTCAATATTTAACAAGGCAGCACCATTGACTGCATTTCAAACAGGAGTTTTGTGATCTGCGATTTCTTGCATCAGTGATAAAACAAAGCCAGTTTCTATCTCAGCGGCATTAAACGTTCTCGTACACTCTTCCATTGTATGTCGTCAGGTTGATGCAGTCCTGGAATAGTGAAGGAATTATTCTTCATGAATCAGATTTTAAACAAAGGAACCAAACAACACAAAACATTCAAGAGAGTCTGATTTAATCGAAGAAACCCGTCGGGTCGCGTATAAAATTGTGTTTGAATAATCCAAGCTAAATGTGTTGAAGCTAGGGTGCGGGCTTACAACTGCGCAAATCGTTTTTGTCAGCTGGGCCGGAAATGATCAACAAAAATCGCTATGAGTTTTTGTGTACAGTTTACCTCAATCTCCCCATCCAGTTGCTTTAGAGCCCTGTAAAGTTGTGAAAACGTCAATCGTTTTTCGGGATCTTCATTCCAACAAGAAAGCATTAGGTCATATCTGAAATAGAAACATCCACAGCATAAACAGGAAATTCATCACACCTATTTATCTTAGTTCACTTAGACCAGTTTGAGGGATTTTTACTCACACTTTTTCGTCTAAATGCTGCGGCTTTTCCATTCTGTAACCTCTTCGTAATTTCTCCACCAGCTCTACCACGTCCATGCCGGGATATGGGCGGCCACCTATTGATAACAACAAACGTTTATCACCATTTAGTATTAAAAAAGTTATTAATAAACAGATGGAGAAATGAACGGAATGATCGATTTTATCAATGAAGAAATTAACTAAATTAAAATAGACGACTAAATGCATGGACCAACAAGCGAACATGAATGGATGATTATTGAATGGATAGATGGACAAATAAATGGATAGTTGGATGGATGGACGGACGAATGGATGGAAGGACGGAGGGATGAAAAGAAGGATGGTTCAATGGAAGGATTGAGGATTGAAGGATGGATGGAGGGAAGGATTAATGGATGAACAAATGGATAAATAAATGCAAGAATGAATGGATGGATGGATAGATGGATGGAGGGATGGATGGGGAGATGAAAGGATGGAGTGATGGATGGAAGGATGGATGATGGGATGGGTGTGTGCAACGATGAATGAATGGATGGGTGGAAGAATGGATGGGATGAATGGATGTATGGATGGGAGGATGAAAGGGGGGATGGGAGGAAGGACGGAAGTATGGATGGATGGATGGAAGGATTGAAGGATTGAAGGATGGATTGCTGGGCTGAAGGGTTGATGGATTGATAGATGGATGGATGGAAGGATGAATGGGAGGAAGCATGAGTGGATGGAAGGAGGATGGAGGGATAGATAGATGGATGGATGGATGGATGGATGGATAGATGGATGGATGGATGGATGGATGGAAGGGTTGAAGGATTAAAGAATGGATGGATGGATAAGGAGATGGAAGGAGGATGGATGGATAGGTGGATGGATGGATGGATGGATGGAAGGATGGATAGATGGATGGATGGATGGATGGATGGATGGATGGATAGATGGATTGGATGGATGGATGGACGGATGAATGGAAGGAAGCATAAGTGGATGGAAGGAGGATGGATGGATAGATAGATGGATGGATGGATGGATGGATGGATTGATGAATGGAAGGATTGACGGATTTCGGAATGAATGGATGAATGTATGGAAGGATAGATGGAGGGATGAAAAGAAGGATGGATCGATGGAAGGATGAAGGATTGAAGGATGAATGGATAAGTGGATGGATGGATGGATGGAAGGATGGAAGGATGGACGGAAGGATTGAGGGAGTGAAGAATGGATAGATGGATGGATGGATGGATGGATGGATGTGGAGATGGAGGGATTGACGGATTTAAGGAAGGATAGATGGTTGGATGGATGAAGGTAAGGAAGGATGGATGGAGGAATAAATGTGTGGAACGATGAATGAATGGATGATTGGAAGAATGGATATGTCAATTGACGGACGGAAGGAAGAATAGGTTGAGGGATGGATGGAATGTTAAATCTTGAAAAATTAAAGAATGGATTGATAGATGGATGGAAAAATCAGTAAAATCAATAAATGAGTGTTTCAGTGAGGGAGTGAATGAATTAACCTCATTTAGCAAAAGAAAAGATTCCAAAAAAAAAAAAAGAAAAAAAAATGATGTAGAAGGCAAAGAAAGTGCTTTAACAATTTCCTAAACTCAAACTGAATATAATCTTACCAATAGTGACTATTTCAAAGAGAAGCACCCCAAAGCTCCATCTGATAAAGGAGTAAAAAGAAAAACCAAAAGGTCACAGTGATGTTCAATTGTTCACAATTTAATCTAAAAAATCGTAAAAATGTAAAACTCACACGTCGCTTTTTGTTGTATATTGTCCATGTTCTAACGCCTCCAAAGCTGTCCATTTCACTGGTAGGCGTCCCTGAAAAAGGATTGTGGACGACATCAAGAAATAATAATCTGGCTATTCTAATTTGGTGTTAAGGTCTTATATTCTCATGAACGCTACTTGTGATAAATGAAACAAGCACGATCCATATCACTCTTGTTTAAATGAGATCTCTTGAATGCTATAAATGAAACATTAGACTTCACGCCTACGCATATTACTTACCTCAGAACTTTTTTGGTACATGCCCCTTTCATGGATGTTTCGCGCCATCCCAAAGTCTGTAACTTTACACGTCAAATTCTCTCCCAACAGGACATTCCTAGCTGCTAGGTCACGATGAATAATCTAAAAGTGTGAAGAAGTATACTAGCTGTAAATGACACTAGGCTTTGTAGGTTATTTGATAAACTCGGTCAATAAGGCAAGGCGGGTAGTCAGTTGGCAGGGATCCGGGTCGAAAGGGGACGGCTGCAAGCCTCAGCTGGTTCATTTCGTTCTCCTCTTGGGCAAGAGACCTTGATCAGTAGCAAAAGCCTCAAGTGTAATTGTTTCCTACTCCGCTTATAAGTGTCTGCCTTTCCCTTCACATCCTTTTTACAATCTCACAGTTTCTATATCCAATTTCACAGCTAGAGTTCAATTTCAGTCGGTAGTAGAGAGAATCTCTGAATCGGAAGAAAACCTCAGATTTTACAATTGAAAGGATTTCAAAAAAAGTTACCAGCAAGATCCTCGGGTAAACTAAAAAAATAGTTGGGAGGAGGGCTGCTTCATGTTACATGAGATGCAGAAAGTGGTGAGCTACCAGGCTAGTGGAACCATTTTATATCTGCTACCATAATGAGCCAGTTAGTTACCTTCGCTGCGCTAAGATGCGCCATTCCATCAGCAATCTGCCACGCAAACGTCATAAGCTGTCGTGAGGTAAGTCGTACGTTAGGAAGCTGCTGTATATTGTAGTAATCGTCTTTGAAGCCTCGTTTCTTCCTCAAGAAGCCCAGTAAGTCTCCGTAAGGTGCAAATTCTGTGATCACGCACAGAGGCTCTGATAATCAAACAATAAGAAGTATTTCAAACCCTTGTTAAAGGTGAGGAATAAGGAGAAATCTTAACCTTAGGAAGATTCGAACACCAGCGAGTTCCAATTCTACCCCTTGATGCTCAACCACTGAGTTTTAGAGCTCTTGTTGGTGAGCTAACGAATACTCCAAAGTCATGTGTGATAAGCATTTCACGGAACAGTTGTCAATGGAGTGTAGAAAGTAATCCATGGTTGCTTTGATTTTGCTTAACTTCGCTCTAGAATTAGTCCAGGAAACATGCACTATTTTCCCAACCAATCAGATTCAAAACAACCCATCATTATTTTGTCTCGCGTTTTCAAGCGTTTCTTACAGTTTGCCTGCTTTCACTCAGCAAAAGTTGGTGACCAAGCATCTAATTTCTCCCTACAGTATGACCCCTGAGTCACACATTAAGGTCACGATCACAAAATAAACTCTTGATTTTTAAGAAATTATCCTTGTCAACACCTTAACATGTGTGCTGAGAACAATGTGAAGAATATGTTATGGTGTAAACAGTTAATGAGTGATGATTTCCTCACCTGATTTTGTAATGCAAGCGAGAAGTTGTACCACGTGTTTATGTGGCGAGAGTTCTCTCATGACCTTGAGTTCAGATAGCAAGTCTTTGAGATGTGATTCACTTGCATTGTCTGGCAAAATGAATTAATAAATAAAGACCCATCGATCAATTTAGAGCAAAGATAAGTAACCTTCGTTATACCGTGGTGTGGGTCAACCGTTGGGGGTTTAATCTCACAGGTTGAAGGGTTCTTTACTCATATACCCAATGAAAATGGCTTTCCCTGCTTCAAGCAACTAAATGTATCTTTACTACTCCTGGACAGCCTGTTAAATTGTGTCATTTTAACTCCAGAACTTTCTGCCGGTTGCTGGTTAGTGTTACCAAACCTGATTGGAGCGAGGGACTGCGATAAACAAGTTTGTTGAACAACAAAGCACAATCAGCCGGTAAGGTCTCGAGCCAGGGCCCGTGGATTCAGAGTTCAGAGCGCAACAGCCAGAATAGATAACCAGAAATAATATATGCACTTGAATGACTCTTTCTCTTACCTTTCAATGTTTTTATTGCGACGACGCTCCATCCTCCGTCATTGGTAACATCCAAAGCATGACCCATCTTAACAAGTCCAAACTCTCCACGACCGATGGTAGATTCAATCCTTATTCTGTCCCTTGAGATTTCCCAGTGACGCCGCGGAGAAACAAGAAATGTTACATTAGGTAAATGTGGCCGGTTACGCTCTTTGACTGGTGATTCACCTCGAGAAAGATGCGAATATTCCCCAATTTCTTGTCTCTGTTTGTTTCTTCCATTTTTGGATTTTTTCGATCGAGGAGAACCAGATGTTTCGTGCAAATGGTTATATTCTGAAGGACCTCCTGGGACATGATAGTGATGAGTCACGGGTGCACTCTCTTCAACGTTTTTCGACTCTTCTGAGGAATATCCAGCGTTATAATGTACCTCTAAAATTTCTATGCTCTCATACTGGTTTTGAACCTGCAATGGATATCATCATTATCTTCATCATCACCGTTATCATGCCGAGGGAGAAGTCTACACTGACTGAGGGGAAAGTCCATCTCCGAGGGGGCAAGTCAACTTTTGCGAGGGGAAAGTCGACTAAGGCGAGAGTAGGTGCGACTTGATTACGGTTCTCCCCCGTCATCATCATTATAATAAGGCCATGCGTAAAAAGATTTCCCTTGAGACCTGAAAACAACCTCCAGCTACAGATCTTTCGATATTCAAATTGGTATATTTTATTTCTCCGAACTGCGATGTTTACCTGACCATCTCATACAGAACCAACTCTTTAAATATTTTAAGATGATCTATCCATTTATAATTTTGGTACGCAAAATAAGAATGAAGATAGCTAAAAAATTATGTCTCTTTTTATACAGTTTTATTTTCATAAGGTTCCAGAGCATATATTTTAACTCTAGTTATCTTCTTACTTACTGCTAACTTACCTAGATAGGTACTTATGCGCCCTTACTCCATAAAATAATCTCTAAGGGGGCTCTTTAGTAACCCCTTTGGTATTATAAAAGCAATATTTACCGTCAGTTCTTTCGGTTCTTCCGCTGTAGATATTGAAGAGGCATTGCCCAATTCCCTCTCCCTGTAAATTTAGCAAACATTAAGTTATAGTATTACAAAAATACACCATTGCAATTAAGACCCAGCAATTCATAAGGTTTACTTGTACCCATAAACACACTTAGGTAGAAAGATGTAACGCAATGACTTGGCTAGGACTCGAAATCAGCCCTTAAATCCGGATTACAGTGTGCTGCTATTGTCACTGGTCATTTCCCTAATCTATTCCTTTATGCTATGCAAGCTACGCAAATTTGGTTGGATCACATTTTCAACTATTTTCTCCTTAAGATGAACATTTTGTGACCAAGAATACTGCAATGCGTCTGTATTTCCATTGTGATGCTTTAGCTTTGAAGCTAATGAAAGCTCAACGAAGAGTATGTAAACAATAAAGAACTTACGTGAGATGGTCTGTTTTTCTTTGATATCTGCATTTTCTTACTAACAAAGGGAAAGAAAGTAGAAGAAAATGCATGAACTTTCGACTACTTGCATGGAGTGGCTTAAACCCCATCGCCCTGTTGCTACTAACTTTCTGACATAAAAAAGTTAACTCACACCTCTTCTCGATTCAGTAAGAGACAGAGCATACGTCAACGGGTCTCCATTACTTAAAACCAAACAGTTCGGCCCTTTATGAACAATTCTCTCTTCCTTTAAATACATAATGGGTTTCAGTACGGCCATCTTTGATATTTTAACAACGTCTTTTAAGAACAAGTGAAGATTGCAGTGTACAAAATATTTTGATGTTTCTTGTTTTTCAGAGATAAATAAAGAGGAAATTCTGCTTCAATTTATTCCAGGACTAGTAGAAATTTGAAGAACTGAGTTTGTAGATGGACCCTTGAAAACTATTGGAGAATCATCAAAAATCAAGAAAAATCTCAGCGCACATGAGATGTGGTTCGGACCCGTCGCCACATTGGTGGGAAAATGCCACTTTCACTAGTACACCAACTCTTTTTCACAAATACGTTCCCGCAAGACAAGGCTTTGTCAAAGTTTTTATAACTATACGTTTCCCTTATCTATACAATATCTTACTCTTTTGTGTGGCTTTCCAAAGCAGGAATACAAGGCATGCTACTATCAGTGCCAATATTGCAATCCATATCAGAAGGAGGTGATCAAACTTGATTGGACTGCCTTCAACCGCAGTGTTACTGGTTTCCATAGTTTCTGTTTAAAAAAATGCAACAAATTTGAAAACTTTCACAAAGTATTCCCATCAAAGGTTCTCAAGTTGACAATCATGTAACTTCCATTAACTACAGATAGAGTCGAAAGGGAAATATTACCAATTACTTACTGTCTGACTCAGTTGTAGAAGCCATGGTTGAAGCCCCTCTTGTACCCTCAAGGGACGTTGCCTCTGTATCTAAAACCATTAAATTCCCTCTATCAGAAAAGACACTGACTAAGACTCACTTTAAAAAGAGTCTCTTCTTACAAGGCAAACACAGAAACATAACTGTATAGTAAAGAAGAAGGCCGGATGAATTTGTAGTACTGCAATAAGAAAAAAATAGACTCGGTAGAAGCAGCGCAAAAGGCTTATCATAAACAACACAAATTCTTTGGAATGTTGCTCGTTGGCAAGATGATTAATTCTAAAGCTTTTCTTTTTAGGTGAGACAGGACACTTACCTTGTGTGTGAATGGCAGTAGGAGCATTAGTAGTCCTCGTTACAGTAGTTGAGCGTATTACTACATAAATTTGAAAAACACAGAAATAAAATGTTACTAATTGAACTCTACATAAACTTACTCTAAGAAAGGTACACATGAGGTGGCAATGAGGACGCTGCTATATAAACAGGAGAGTTTTTCAGTGTCTCCAAAAACCGAAAAATAAAACAAAACATCCACTTTAAAGTACAACGTCATTGTTGTATTAGTGACTACGTTCATAGCCAGTTTAAAATTTTGTCTTTGTTTAAATATAGGAGAAAACGGATGAAAATTGATTTCAATTTAGTTGATTTTAGATGGTTTAAAAATTTGTTTGAGAAAACCCTTGGATAAAAAGATCAGATTTTTAGACCCCTATTTTGTGGTCATTTAATATGCTCTAATGGATTTTTCAATGAGTTCGAGAGATGAGATTATTTGATATTTCTTGCGTTAAAATACAGCGTGTCTACTCAGTTTGACACAGAACTGATCATATAACAACAAAAGACAGTCGCTACCTTGAAGACCTCGTCCAATCTCACAACGTTCTTTTATCGATGAGGAGCCTTTACCGTATTTGTTCCACGCTGAAACTGCAACTGTATAATTTTGATTCCATTCAAGGTTGAGCATGAGAGAAAGTGTCTTTGTGGTATTACAGGTTTTGAATTTTATCCAGCAAAGTGAACCATTCAAATGAACTTTGATTTTCCAGACATGTATAGTATACATCGTGATTGGGCTTTTTCCATTGTATGGCTCCGTCCATTGCAATGAGCAGTTATTTCCATGAACGGTAAGGTTTGATATTGAAGGTGAATCAGGAGGTCCTATAACAGAGAGAGGGGGAAAAAATGTTAAAAGTGAAGTCTTGTAAAATGCCCCTGTCAGGTATTTTAAGGATACCGAAAGAGTTCAAATTTGAAAACTTCTTGAGTCTAAATTATGATGTCACCCCATTCCGGCCAAATTCTTAGCCTTTATCACAAGTTCTTCACAAAGATATTAAAACAAGAGCGATAGGTGGTCAAAACTTTCCCGCAGTGTAACATAAAACCTGGTTTGTATTAAATGAAAATTGAATGATTCCCCTTGTTTTTCGTTGCCAAATATGTTAGTAATGGCCCAGAACATGGGTTAAAGATTTGAGACAAATTTAAAACCTCACCAAAATTTTTCTCAATTTCAAGCAATTGCTGAAACCAATCAGAAGACTTAAAATTTAAGGTGAGAGTTACATTATTGAATCGAAGCAACTCGATGGTTACCTTGAGGAAGAGTGGTCCCACTGATTTTAGCTGTCTTTCCGTAACCGACCTCATTCCTTCCCTGAATCTCAACCACGTATGAACTGTTTTTCTTCAGATTCTTAATAATTAATGACGTTGTTGGGATACTTTCATATTGCTTAATTGATTTTTTGGTGATGCCATCCAGGACCTTTATTCTGTAGTCCAATACCTCGATGTTGTTGTCTTCATTTGGGGAGTACCAAGATATGTTCAAAGAGAGCGCTCCTGAACTGGCAGCTTTTATGACTGGTGGACTAGGTAAGTCTATGAAGAAAACATTTGTTTAGTTTCGTTATTCGCGTACTAGATGAATAGTGAATCACGGTCGTTCTCTTTGGCTTGGAATAACTGTCACTTCCCCCTTTTCATGCCTTTCTGAATGGCCGACCGTCAGACAAACCAGCCAACTGTTTTTATGCATAGGGGATGGTCTGATCATCCTAACCTCCTGACCTTATCATATGGATGACTGACTAATTGTTTCACTGCTCAGACGATGGACTGACTGACCGACTGACTGATCGACTGACGATCCGATAGAGTGGCTGATTTATCATCTGACTCTCCGACAGAAAAACAGAGCGGTAGATACACACTCTGACTTGCTGAAAAAGTGGCTTATATCTCCCACATCCCTGTTTTCCTCTCTGTCTGTCTGTCTGACTGACTGACTGAACACATTGGCTAAAATCTTCTGGCAATAAGTAACTAGTTTTCACCTGCTTCAAGCGTTGTAACTGTGATATTTTTTGACTCTCCATAACCAACGATGTTTCTTGCTTGTAATATGATTATGTATGTTCTGTTTTGCCTCAGATGTTTGAGGTGGAATGAGGTTTCTTTAATTGCGTTCTGTCGCCTCACCATACTTCCATTTGCATGCAGTAATGTTATCATAAAGTCCAGTATGACACTGCCTCCATTTTCAATCGATTTGTTCCACGTGACGTTGAATTCCAACACGTTCCGCGAAATGTTATGTACCACAGGAGGGCCAGGTGGATCTGAAATATTGCACAGGTTAACAGTGTTTCATTGATATCGTTCATACCATAGTGAGCAAGATTTAGCCCAGACCCGAACATGCTTTTAGGACCCTTGCTAAAATTACTTCTTAGTTTTATTAAATGCTTTTTTCAAAGGGCAAGAGGGAATAAATATTAATTATCGTTTCAGTTAATTCCCCTTTGGGCCTCTTTAATCAAGCAACACTGTTACAGTGTTGAAAAATATTAGTTTTTTTATCTGTTATTATTAGAGCTTAAGCTTCATCTTAATAGGCAAGAAAAGTAGTTTTAAGGACATTGATCTTTGGGTATTGAGTTTGAAAAACACAACTTTAGTAACTCTGCTATCTTTGGGCATCCATTTTTGTCAAAAGTCTGATAATTTGAAGAGTTTCCGGACCCGTGAGCTATGTCACCTGAAACAAGACAATTTCAGTGCCACTGAGTTACGTTTTATCTGAGTATACCTCCAAAAACACGATCAGGGTTTTAAGTAAATACTGCAAAAGCGCACGGAATGGAAAACATCAAAACGGAGTTGGAGTTATTTTGTACTTACAAAGTTGTTCCACTGTGATGTTATACCACGCAGGTCCTTTGCTGTTTGATGCATTACACGTGTACAAACCGAAGTCGCCCACAGTTTTCGGTATCAGCGTCAGCGTGCTACCATCATGCGTCGAATGTACTCCGTTTAAGATCTGTCGGCCATTTTTAATCCACGCAAATTTCGCCGCAGGATTGGCATAAAATGCACAATGTAGGGTTGTATTGTGATTGAGCCATGATTTTATAGAAGGACTTGTTGAAGCTGTTTTGTTGATGTGAGGTCTATCTGCATATTGGTAAAGAGAAGAACTTTCAAAGAAACCATCGAAAGGAAACTATGTTGGGTTTTATTTTGAGGCAATGAGTACAGGTAATTAGCTCATGGTAAGTCTAAATGAATCCTGACCATACTGGTATGATTGCTATTTAATTCTTGTAAGCTAATAAGGGTGTTTTTTTTTTGTGTCGTTCATAAATGTCAACAAGTTTTAAGCAAATCCCTTATCTAAAAAATATGTAAACTTTACATGTAAACGTTGGCTTAAGTTGACATCCTGGATATTTATTATTATTCATACATCGATAAAAAGTATTAAAGAAAATAACCCTAGTAAAAATTGCATTCAAGCGAAACACTCAGGCAATAAAGAAAAGAGTTCCTCTTTCGAGGGGTGTCCTTCAGTGAAGGCAAAAGTTATTGGAGCATTGTCCTTTGAACATGATGGAGGTGTCCACTGAAGGAGATGTAACCCTCTTAGAAGGCACCACAGTAACTGAAACTGAATAACGAAGGAAATCAATTTTAAACAACAGAGATCTTCATTTACTTACATCGTATAACTCGCATTTTAACTCGATGAAAATCAGATCCAACTTTGTTTGTTGCATTGCAGGTGTAGGTGCCAGCATCTTTCAGTTGAACGTTAGGAATCTGTAAAACTGTACTTGTATTTCCACGCTTTAATACTTTACCATTGTTTTTCCATGTGATGGAGAGAGGTGGATCACCTGTTGCGTCACACTCCAAGTTGACCCTCTCCCCATCTTCCACATCGACTGTCGCGTTTGGTTTTGTAATTATTTTTGGTGGAACTGATGAGGAATTTAAGGGTATAACATATTAGTTTAAATAACTGATAAATCCACCAGCGTTCTATCACAAAAAAAGCTGCAATCCGATTTGCTACACTGCTCGCCACTATTCCACGATAGATAATGCATGAAGTGATTGACATAAGCCCGTCTCGTTGTTGAGTTTGAACGACCGGTAAATTACAACCAAAAGGTGATCAACACCCATTCAAAAACGAGAGATGAAAATTCACAAATAATGGCTTGCAGACTGAGGTGCAAGTGTTGGTTTGACGTTATTTCACTCCCTCAATGATTAACTTTCGACAAAAGTGGTCAAACATCTATAAAGAGGGAGGGGGAGCTCAAACATAGCAGCTCGTAGGGACATACCTGCTCTATTGACATTTCTTATTTAAAGATTTGTTGAAGTTTGATTTTCAAACATTCAGATCCTTTGCTTTTGGTTTCAAGGACCACAGTTGAGAATCATTCAATTACAAGAACCAAAATGTCTAGTTAAAAATTAAGTCAGTTTACTTACCCCGAATGAGGAGTTTTACTGAGGCACTCGTCTTACTAGTACCATCCATAATCACCTTGCAAGCATAATCAATTTCGTCTGATTTGCCCACATTTCGTAAAGTAAACAGTTGTACACTTCCGTTTTGATTGAAATTTCCACTCCAATGAAGCCTGGAGGTAATGGATGAGGAAACTTGTGTGTTCGCCGCCCAAGTTCTTGGCGGTGTAACTGTTATGAATTTGTCCTCAAAGTAACGGTATTTATCTACCTTTCCCCAAATGACCCACGTAGAGTTCTTCAAGTAACCCATTTTACCATAGGTAAAATCCCAGCGAAAAGTGACGTTAGAGCCCAAACTTGCCAATAATAAGGATTGAGGTTCCTTCGTAAACGACGCTGAAAAGTCACGAATAATTAAAGATAGTCACAACAACTATAAGATCGCCATTTTTCAAGTTGTCTTGAGTTGAGATAGATCTTTTTAGTTGATCATTTTTACTTGGCACGAGCGGATAAAATGATTGACCATTTACTCAAGTGCCACTCCGCTTAAGAAAAGAGGGGAGGGGGAAACCCCGTGAAAGAACAATGTCAGTTGCGCGAGGAAACTTAACAAGGGTTCAATAATTCCCTTAGGTCAGCGATCCGTAGTAAGACTTACTTATTGTCAACTCACGTGTGTAATGAGGATAGGCTTACGATGTGAGGCTGAGCTCATGAGACGCCATCAAGGATAAAAAGTAACGTTACTCTGTCTATCATATTCATGCATTTTGAAGTGAAATTATGAAGCTATCTGTGGGTATCATTAAGTTTGCTCTAGATTTGTGAATTCCTTTTATCGCTTCATGGGGAAGGTTTTTTCTTTTGTTTGTTTTTTTCTGACTTGTTTTTTTGGCAACCATATCCTCTAGTCTATTTCTACTCCCCAGCAGCTTCCTGCTTAAAAAGGATTAAGGTTTCTATCTTGCTTCTATTTCGCAGCCAGCTTTTCACTACTCAAACTTGTTCGTTACTTAATTATTTTAATAAGGACATTCCAGGTATACTCACGACCAGCGGTGCATGACAAGTTAAGACTGAGGTAGAAAGCCAAAACTGGGATAAGTTGAACAAGTAAAGACATCATGTGGTAGTCTGGTAGTAACTAAAACCATTCCAGGCTGCAAATAAGGAATGAAAAACATAAACCATTAGCACATAAGTAGACGGTTTAAACTATCAATTGTTCAAGCCCACGTTGGATGCTTGAGTTAACTTGAGCTTGATTGAATGATTGAAGCATGATTGTAAAATGCAGGCAAAGATGTATACACGTATAACAATCTAATCTTCTCAGACAAGTTGCACGGCTAAGTCTTAGAAGCGGATTTTCGGAGGAAACATGGCTTTACACTTTAGCACTCGATTTAATGCAAGTATCCTTGAATTCTCAGTATTTAGTCTTCCGTGCAAACACCGTAAGGAACATTTCGCTTAAAATTTTGCTTTTATGTCCGTTGAGGCCTCGGATTAAATTTGATGAACCTAGCCCAGAACTGCTTGAAGTAACTGCTTTACAGTTTTTGCACCTAGAAAAAAAGACTACAGTTTCTCGAATCCATTTTCTCCATCCTTCGCTATTCTTCTTTTTTTGCGGGGGAAAATGATTGCGTCCTGTGTATCTTTTTCTATCTAACAGCAAAGATATAGAGAAGTCCCCTGAAGGTATATTTTGCACGTCGAAAAAAATCCCCACACTTCCTACAACCACCATGGTAATGACTTACATTAGTCTAAATTGACTTTAAAGGGCTGCCTCCACGAGGTCCACGGATCCACAATAGACTCACGATTTGAACAAAGGAAACACAGTTTGATATGATTTAGAAAAGGTTCCGTGATTAACCTTTGACTGCGAACTTGCCATACAATGCATCTTAACGCTACCACATGGGGCTAAGACGATTAGAATGACTTTTAAGTCTGTTATTTACTGTTAGCGCCCTTATGTAGGTTCGTTTACTTAAACACGTTCTCTGTCAGAAAAAAAAGTCAGGCAAGTTTCGGCAGGCGAAAACCTGTTTCATGAACAAGCTTTGCGTGTCACGTCCGTCAAGTGTTGGAAAATACAATGAACAATATAAAACTGAATAAAAGACTTTTGATCAAATTACTTTTATCAACAAAGCCAGTGAGAAGGGAATAATTCCAAGGATCGTTAAAGAAAGGAAACTAGAAGTTTTGTTCTTTCAAAACTGATTCTTGAGGGATTTGATTCGTACTTTCAATTGCCCTGTGGAGCGATTAGTTCGCTCGACAAGGAAAACATCATGGCAACAAACTTCTCCACCCATGATGCGAGAGCCAAACCAAATAGATGCTGAATAGCTTAGGCTAAATCTCACCACCTTCAGCGCAAACTTCAAGTTTTTAATATGTGCATTGCTCTCAACCAAATGTCTGATTCGAATCTTTTACTCACTACCTCTCTATGGGTGTCTCTTATAAATATGGAAGGATGGGCAGTGCCTCGATAAGCTGATGATAACCGTGACCAACTGACTGTAAGCTTGAGATAGTCCAAGCATATGAGGATACATGTGCATCACCGCCCCCTGTGGCTCCCATCAATTTACTTCTGAGAAAGCTATTTTCATTTTACGCTGATATTTAGCATATTCATGTATCGTCTAGCGTAACAGTTAAGAAATAAGTTATACCTCGCCTTAAATTTTCGATTAATATTCCCAAATCTTTAAGCCGCTTGCCATCTCCCCCAGGTATGGAGGAAAGTTTGAAAAGCTCGCAGACACCAGATTTTCTTTGTGAATTTTTCATTCTTAACTCAAGCTGAAAAGTTTGTTGTGTCTAATTTTACTGAATTTAAACTCCGCAGATTTCTTCAGTTCTATTTTGCCCACCCTGAAACAACAAATGCTCTTTGTGTCTTTTTTTTAAAATTAAATATCAAAAAGTTCTTCATGCACGTCTTGCTAAATTCAAACTCCTATGTTGCACCCAAAACTTTCTATCTTTTCTAGTGAGGCTTCAAAGTATTTTACAAAATTCGCGTAAAGCTATTGTTACTTTAAATTACAGTTAATTTGGAAATAAGGAAATTTCTCTCTTTCTCAGTTATATGATGAAAAAAGAGCTTTTTTGTCCAAAGATACAAGACTTTTCCTATTGTTAGTCAGATTGTCTCCTACTTGGTTGAACAACGGTTAAAAAAAAAATCCTTCGACTTGCCAGGACTCATCGGTGATTCATGGAGGATCGAACGAGACACGTGTAGACGCTTACACGTGTTGAAATGATCATAAAACAGAAATACCAACGGATTACTTGCAGTTGCAAGAATTAAAGCTTTGAAACGACTCCAACATTAGGCTCGTTTCTTCTCTAGGTCTTGACTTTTGGCTTCACTGACATGTGTATGTAATGAATTAAACAGAAGGAAGCAAGGAACACTAACGTCCATGCCTCCACTTTTTGCGAACACAATCAAATAAATAACTAAGCAGTGGATTTTAAAACTAAGTATGTGCAAATAGCCAATGACAGGACAATGAAATATTGCCTACAGCAGCCTACCTTCTTGTTAAAGAATCTCTCGCAGTGATTTCTCAGAGGAACCCGACGCTCATGCCAAACTGAACCCTTAAGTCTGAAAAGATCGAACTTTGTTCAACGTTCATAAAGAATCTCAAATGGTTAATCTTACAAATGTCAAACCTCAAACCTTACACTTTCCCATTTAAGTTTAGTATAAACAAATGGCCCGAATGCTTAACCGACAATTATCACGAAGGTACGTACTTAATACATCCCAACCACTAGAAGTGGCTCACGAAAAACGAGTGGACAAGAATTATTTTTAAAGACCACCAAGGATGGCATCCAAGACGCCTAAATTGGAAAAATCAGTTTTGCATCAATATCTTTATTCTGTATCCTTGTTGAATTTATCAGAACGGGAGGCAAAAGGATTCAGAAATGATTACATGCGCTCAAAATTATTTTTCTGATGAACAACGTGCGTGTGCCGCTATTTACTGTACAAACAATTCCACGACTTTTCGGAGAGAGTACTCGACTCGTGACCCCCTCTTTTAAACATAATCATCTGGATAAATACCCTTCGGTAAAATATCTTGGGCTTGAAGAACCCAGCTCTTTCACCAAACCTTTAGTTTTCGAAATTCATTAGGGTGCACCACTTGGCAAATTAAACCTGACATGATTAAAGTTAACTTGGTGTGTTGGCTTGGTCCGGGATAGAGAGAAATTGGTATAGACCTAATGACAGCCTTTCACATATTTTGCAGCGCAACAGCTAATCCGTTGGATAAGCAGCATGGCTAGTAATGATACAAGGACTATTTTTAAATCGCAGCATTACCAACGCGATATTTCCTTCCAACTTACAGCTCTCATAAAGTATACAACAGGTTCGCTTTCATTTGGTTTTTCTCTCCCAGTGTGCGCGTAACCTTAGAAATTCGCATCTCATACGACTTTAAGCCGGTGCTCAAAGAAGGCACGGACGAAGTTAAAGCAATAAAAACGTTCCTATTTAAACGCTATAGCTTCAGCACGAGACTTCAAAACGAGAAAATTACAACCGTGGACCTCAAGGTCATCTCTTAGCTCTGTAACCAAGTGCTGCAGTGATACGGGAAACTTGTTTGATGTGTGCGAAGTGTCTACATCTGGTTCAACCCAAAGATCACGTGGATAATAATCATTTGGCACGAGGCAACTGGGCGAGATCCCAATCGTGAAAGGTCAAAGGGCAGTGAAGACCTGCCAGTTAACCGAGGCAATGTTTTATATCAAATAACGATACACGCCATCGCGTCTTAACTGTCGATCATGGAGCTAAATAAAAGCTCGCGTATACTTTATGGCGTGGACCACCCTCGGTGAAGCCTAAGTAACAGGGTGTGTACATTGCATAACACTAATAAGATATGTATGGTGCTGACAAACAGGAACGAACCCGTATGAAGAGAAAAGAGAAACGCAACAGAGGACAAGATATGGTCTTGAAGATCCTTTGAAGAGTTTTTAATTGTGAATTCTGTCAATCCCTTAATATATTTCCTTCATGTAAATTGCTAGTAGCTTCTTCTAGAGAGGCTAGCTGCTTTTGGACTATTTGGTTCTTTCATTTGCAATCAGCGCTTTATATGTTCACAAACCTCAAACGCTTCTGTTCCTGAATTGTTTAGCCTCATGACTTTGGTGTTTCCTTTTCCCGGAAGCAATTAAGGTGTGAGGTGCGTAAAGGGATAAACCAACAATAGATATAACTGGCTTTGAGTAAATACTGTTAACACTAAATCCAAGCAGAACTGAATACATCATTTCCCATCCAAGGCAGGAATTCAACTTTAAACTCCACCCACTAATAACATTACCTGGTGATCCCTTAGATTTTTCTTTACGCCCTTTATGCTCTAACATCAGCATGCACTTTCTCTATACTGTTCTCTATACAAATCCTAAGGCGCTGGCAAGGAGAATTTGTTTAACAATCATGAGTTTTTTTTTTTAAGGTGTTGATCATTTCTCTTATTCTTGTGAGCTTTATGTCTGATTTGGGGATGAAATTGTAGGGAGAAATTATATGTTAGTCACTCTGAGCGGTCAACGAGTTAATGTTTAAATATATTGGTGTAATTGTTAGTTCTTATTCATCATGGAATGATCATATGGAGTACGTTTGTTCGAAGATCAATGAAAATATAAATATCATAACAAAAGTCAAGAAATATCGAGCTAGAGAATCTTTACTTTGCATTTATTACACTCGTATTTATTCTTATTTGAAATATGGATCTACATTATGGGTTAATTTTCATTTAGTCCTCTATTTCAAGTTTTAAGGCTTCAAAATAAGGTTAATACAATTAATTAATAATGTTCCTCTTCGTGCCAATATAACACCTCATTATTTTAATTCAATTATTTTTGAATTTCCGGACATTGTGAAACTTTATCCCTTTTTTATACTTACTGTTATTTGAATATCGTGAATTATATAAAATCACATTTAAAATTTCTAGACATGGTAAAATTCATATTTATTTTGATTCTTATTATAAGTTGAATATCGGGATTTATATAACAAAGACATAAAAT